CATGCTACTATGAGCTGAGGGCCGTGATCCTGTGTTCCTGTATTGAAGCACGGTGTGGATTTCGCTAGCCATGTAGGAATTGTATGCGATGAGTTCGCACTAACTAACGCTTCCTGGTGTGTGAGGGAGCGGTGGCATGGACGGCTCCCGTGTGATGAAAGGTCGACCGCCGAGCCCAGTGGAATTACCGGAGGGTCGAATCGGAGATCGTGAGGGCACGCCGCAACACTGCTCCGGCGTCACAGAGTCCAGTGATGCCTATGATAGATCTTGAGCGTGATCTAGTCCTTGGCACTGCTGTTATGCAGGCGGCTAATTCTCAAAGTGGTGAACGTCTCAGGCGGGGTGGCTGGTGAGTCGTGGACCGAACTGTGACTGGGCTCTGTTGCACTCTCTCATATTCTGCCGTATGCAAGCAGGAAGGATGGTGACTGTGGTCTTGGACCACGAATTCTGATGTTCTGAACAGAGACTCAAAAGTTGCAGTGTGAAGACACGGAGATGGCCGGTTGTTGATGGTTTGGATTGAAAACAGGTGATGCTTGAGCGCTTGAACCAGCCATGCACCCATGGAAACAGAAACGCGCCGAGCAGAAATAGTGTAATGGGTAATTAGTGCGCAGTGGGGTGGCACGGCCTGGTTGGAATTCGAGATTGACGACAACTTCAACAGGACGACGGCGTGTTTGTGATTGTTTGCGCCTGAGACGGATGAGACTGATGAGACGGACGGATGCCAGAGAGGGGAAGGGCGGTACGTACCGCGTAAGGTAGCTATGGTCAGCGGTCATTGGTCACTGGCTAATGGTCACTGGTCAATGGTCACTGGTCAATGGTCACTGGACTTGCCCGTCGTCTTCAGCCTGGAAGGAACCGAATGTCCAAGTCGTGGGCTGTTGCTAAAAGCGTCCAAGTGCCCGGTTAGAATAAAAGGTGGAAGGAAGCCTTCGGGGGGGGGGGGGGGCAAGTTGCAACGATGAGGCAAGCACGCAAGGAACCGCGCAAAAGATGGGGAAAGCAAGGAAAGACCTGACGTGGGAAAAAAACAGGGAGGCTACCGCTTTCACCGAGAAAGTGCGAGTACGTACCTCGGGTCTTTCCATTGAACTCTGGGAAAGTACCCCCGTACCGCACCGGCGGGTCCTTTAATTCGGTGTCCCTGAGTCCCTGACCCTGCGACCTTCGCACTAAGACAAGCTGCAAATTTGGTAACTGCCCTGGGAAGTACTTTCTTGAGCACTTGACCTGAGGCATTCTTTTTCTGCCCACATGTCACGCTGGCCTTCCCCACACATTGTGACGTTGGTCGGGCATGTCAGCGCCCCGGTACGTACTGGAATACACATGATCTTCTAAGGTACGGATAGGTACGTACTCTCCATAGATAAGTTTTTTACGGTCTCCCTTCCGTTGCCTTCTCTCGGGCTTCCACTTCCCGTCCCGTAGCCAATTGTAATTTGCTGGGTGTCACCGTGCCACACCGGACGAGCTTCCGTTCTTCTCATTCTCATCCTCGGCCTCTCCTTCCATCCTGATTACTCGTACTCCTCCGGGCCACCTCCCTCTCCTTCCTGACCTGAAGGCATCTGCCTCTCTCACGATACTTCGACGACTCCATTGTCCGCACCTGACAACTGCCACGACTGCCTATTATTTGCAATTCCCTCTGGCTCACACTAGTAGGGTGCGACAGACACTAAGGCAGGTGGCGCGGAGTCTTGCCGACGTCGCTCCATGTGATGTGGCATGCGTCTCGCTGAGAATGTCCAAACTTCAGACTCCATCTAACATTTCCCCTTTGCCCATCGCCTTTGCTCTATTTTCCCATATCATACCAGCACGATAGTGTATTCGTACCGAAATGCCTCGTCTACCTCTACGGGTCAAAATGTGCCAATTCACAAATGCCACCCCTCGTCTCCATCGCTCCCTCTTGAGTCTTGACTCCTTGAGTTTTAGCACTGCTGTGTCACCGTTAATGCCGCCGACCCGCTATCCGCTATATTGCTGCGTACTCCTGCTTTTCTTCTACTCGGCATCATGCAAGTGGTCACCACTTCCGCCGAGCAATTCAAAGGGAACCTCCAATGCAGGAAAGAAAGCAACAGCTTGCCGAGATACTCTACAGATTCAACGACAAATGTCACAGCGTACGGAATACAGACACTCACACCTGCTAATTACCCGCCTGTACAAATGGGTAGTATAGATAGGTATCAAGACTTGTCTTCCCCGACGCATCCCAAAGATCCCTGGATCTCTAACCAACCAACCCAACGACATGCTACAAGGACTACACAGTACGTCTGCTCCTACGCTGTGGCTCTGCACCCTTTGCCCGCGTCTCGTGGGATCAAGTGTGTGCGAAGACGGATAGATGGATACGGAGTACTCCGTAAGAAAAGCAGCAGTACCCACGGAACTTACAGTATGCACATCTGCCAGTCGACGCAAGTAGAGATACTTCAGACTCTCCGCCGTTGAACCCCTGCTGGCCCAAATTGGCTGATCAGCGCCTGTGACGCCATACCCTCCGAGGTCAAGACTGACACCCCCGATCTCCACCATCCACGACAGGAACTCGAGTTGGGCTACGGATACGGATACCTATCCATCGATTCAATCCACTGTCTGAATACACAGAGAATTGTCTGCTGCCAAGCTCAACGCTTGACTTCTCACTGGCGCGCGAGCCTCCCCGCCGTCCACTCCCGGCAGACAGCAGCCGGTTTGGCGGCGTTGGCGGCGTTGGCGCCATCCACCCGCCCCCGTCTTGACTCTTGAGTCTTGAGTTTTCACTGCCAGGAGACAAGCGGTCGTAATCATGATTTCGTCTCCAGCACACGAGCGGATTCCAACTCCCATATGACTGTCCGCCAGTTGGGCCGATGAGGCGTAGCTGCTCGCTCAACAAGGACTCAAGAACTTCACCAGGGACCGCGCTTAATATCCGTAGGTATCCGTACGAAGTTCAAAGTATACGAACGGATACACCACGCTACGAATCGTACAGGGCATCGAGGGTGGCAGGTCGCGAGCGAGGTGGGGGTTTACGGTCCCCTTTTCCTCTCACGATGGAGCAACCGTCCCGCTCTCAACCGTTTCCTCCCAATCCTGATCCTCCCGTTTCCCGTGTCACGCGGCCAAGACGATGAGAGACTCGCCCCAGTACCAAAACGTTGTGACAATGACATGACGAGAAGAGAATTTCTTTTCATCGCCAGCGAAGCCCTCCTCGAACCTCCGTCACCGATCCCGCAGGACCGAGAACCCGAACTGCGACTACACGGCTTTGGGCATCCACGATGCTTATTCCAAGACACTGACCAACATCAGCAGCCGCCAGCGGTCAAACCCACGATGCCACTCTGTCACATTTCGGGATACCGCTGTCCGCAAAGATGACAGGATCCCTTCCCTCCCACTACGGCAGGCTCCCAAAACTCACTCGTCCAGTAACTCCCCACCCACCCAGGACCCTCTCGGCCCCGTTCCTACATTAGAATAACCGCCCGACCCAAGTAATATTCAACGCGACGTTGTACAGGATGTATACTAGTTGTTGCAGTTGCACACTACATTAGCTTGGCCAGCGCCACGGGTCCGACTGGGACAAGAGATGGGGAGCACTGCGTAAGGCAGGGACAAAGAAGGCAGCAGCACAAGGCAGAACTAGCAAGGAAAGGCTCACCGGCCAGGTAACCGAGACAGCAAAGCCGCTTGCTCACCTGTTTGCTTGCTGCACTTGCATGCGCTGACCGCAATGGAAAACCCAATGGTTGAGGGAGAAACCGAGAAAGAAGCATATCCTTTGTGTGTCTCCGATGCAGGGACCCCGGAGAGACAGGCTGAGATCTCGGAAGGCTTTTTCTTCTCTCTCGCTTCGCTTCTATCAGGGCCACCTTGTTCTCCTTTGCACTAGTTCCCCCCTCCCTGCTCTCTAGAGTCGGCGCAGTACGGATACAGTACGGAGTACGTTGGTCTTCAGATACGTTTTGCCCTTTCTTCTCCCCAAACTATCAAAGAGTTCGCCTGTACGGATCTTGACTCTTGCGCTCCCCCTCAAACACACACAAGATCGGGGTTTGGAACCCTCCCCGAGGATCCCTCCCGCAGTTTGCTTTAGCTATGACGCGGTTGCTGGCGGCTGAGAGGACAGCCGACGACTGCTCCCCCATGGATTCTGGCATTCTGCCCGTCTGCGCCTCCAAGAATGATCCCGGCGCCACAACCGTCGCATCTTACAGGCTGTGAACTCTCGTCCACCACCAGGAAACCTGACACACCGCAAGGGGCCTCGGACAAGGTACCCCGGAGCCCCTGGCATCGGCCGAGTGATGTCATCGGATCAGCGGCCGAAACTTGTCTCTCATTTTCATCAGCCTCTCAGATCGTTTGCTTCGTTCCCTCAATGTTGCCTCTTGTCATGCAGCAACTGGCAGCCTGTCTCCCTGCACCGTTCCGACAAATCACGAGTCAATCCTTCTGCCCATCTGTCGCCGTCATTCAATACAGCGTCTTCCGGCCTCTTCAAGCATGTCACCGTGGATTCCGACTGTCTCTCATGCTTCCCACCGGCAGCCGTTTCACCATTTCAACCACACGTCGACCTTCTGAGGCAGAGGAGGCATACCTACACGCAGCATCTGCATCGGTATTCGTAGGCATTCACAATCACGGCACTATAGACATGGGAGCCCTCGTCAATTCCCCGCAACAGAGCAACAGACGATCCTCTCAAGCCCGTGGGCGAATGGCTGCTCCCAAACGCTTCTCTCACATGGTTCAACCTTTCAGCGGGGGCTAGCTGAACACCTTGCTTGGTACTGACTTTATAGGAGATGATTCGCACAAATGAACCACCAGAAACACGCTTTCTCTCAGGCTTACGGTTGAAATCCTCCGTTGCTCGAAGCTAAGAGCAGATCTCCCTATTCACTAAGCTGCCACCGCTGGTGAGGAGCAGATCACCATCGTCTGCCCCCCCCCCCCCCCGTTTTCTCCGTTGTTTTTCGACACTCACGTCCCAAACAGTCATGTACACCGGGCATGGTGAACGGACGGATCATCACTGCGTCCCGTGCATATCGTCAGGCGGTCTGACTCTCCCAGCAATAGCATCGTGTGTTGGCGATGGGCTGCCAATGTCCAATGGTAGGATGAACGACGGTTCCACTTGCGAAATCCCCCAATTCCACTTCTCCATCGCACAACCTTTGAGTCATCTCCATCCGTCCATTCTTGACTATTCCAACAAACGCAGCCAAGCATCCGGTTTTTTGCTCAACGCACAGCCTGCCGTGTTGCAACCTCGTCTAGCATGCCCCGGCACCAGGCCAACATCTCTCCCGTGCTCAGCGTCCGAAATTAACATCTTGCCCGACTGGGAATGCCTAAGTCAACAAGGACGTACCCGTATCAATTTCCTGCAAGCCACCCGGCGATGGCTCCGAAAAGCAGGAATGGGAGCATGGCATTTCGCAAAAGCCCAAGGTCTCCAAAAATTTCCACCATCTTCCAGGCTCGTACAGTGTTAGCGCACCGGTTTCTCATATTGTTTCCGTCTTCCCTGTCATCTGGAAAGGACCCTTCCCTTCCCTTTCCAGCCTTTTGCCAAATCAGTGTCCCCCTCCCCTTCCCCCTCCTCAGATTCCGAACGAGGTAATGGCAACAAGCGATCGGCGGTGCCCAGCATGAAGACCAGCGCCCGGCACTCAGAACAGCAAAGCGACGGTCCCACAATAAGCCCGACTCAGCCGATCGTCTCCGGCCAATGGCATTCCCGGTATGGGGATCGTCATCAAAAGGGAAAATCCAAGGGGTGCTTGTCAGTGCTGCACTTTGCCTTGTCTGCGTGGACGGTTCAGGTTCCGGAGGGATGCTGTTGCAACGCTACAACCTCGCTCGCACTGCCATGCCCTATCATGAAGCCTACTCACATCTCATCAGCAGAGGATATCAGGAACAGAGACGTCTCCTCTCTCACTCGCTCACGGTTATTCGACAGAAGAGCTCCTATTACCCTCTCATTCGCATGTTCCACCGCCAGACCGACACCGAACACGCCGCTCTGCCCCGCCCCCAAGCCGGGGAGAGACTCGGGATATCCTACGGAGTACGGACCACGGCAATATGGTGGTGGGATCATGGCCGTTCCTCTTGCCGCCCACCCATGTCAGCGGCTTCCCTGCATTATCGTGTGTGCCATGTTTCGTCCCCCCCCCGCGCAGGTCCCCTTATTACACGCTTCTATTTCATTGCTCCCCTTCTTCCAAGTTCCCAGCGACTCTCGTACAACACAATATCATCCCAAACCAGACGTCCGTGGTTCCTGGCTCTTCTCCGCCAGACGTGTTGGGATTGGGACCATTGGGTACACCGTACAGCACATACCACACAACATGCAAGTCGCGCCCCGGACGGCTTGAATGCCGGGGCCACGGAACGGGTCAGCTGAGACCGGACGGCGACTTCCTACGACCGTAGACGCGCAATCTCCCTTGTTTCTTAATTCTCTTTTTTCCCCGCCCCGCCGGGACCAACACCCAGGTTGACATCTTGCGAGTTGATTCCCAAAAAACTTGCTGCCCAGCGGCGGCGGCGGAGGGAGGAGGCGGGCGGCGATTTCGTTGTGCGAGTGGCCCCGTTTCTCGTGTTACCGTCGTCACGCTGTTGACGGCCTTTTGCCATCCGGTGCCGTGGCGCCGTGTTTTTGCTTAGTATGTAGCTTTTTTTTTTTTTTTTTTTTGCTTTCTTTCGGCTCTTTTTCTTCCGTTGCCACGAGGTAAGTGGGAGTAAGTAAGTTTGGCGTTTCTATCCCGTCAAGGGACGTTCCAGTGTCCAACCTCGGATCGTGACCAACTCGACTCCCCAGTGCCCCCTCATCAACGACGTGTATCTGCTCGCCGCTTCTCGCTCAGAGGGATCCTTTTCTCGGCGGTCCGGGGGCGGCAAAGACATCATCTGTATCTCACGTGTGCAGATACTTGGTGTTCCTCGGAAGCCGTCCGGGATTTGACTGAACCGGACCACAGAAATACCTGTTGGCAGATCCTGTCGGCAGAAAGGTCCGATTATTTGCCAAAGAAATGGATCCCAACAGAAAACGCGTAGAAGTTTTTGGCGTTGCGTGTGATTCGCGTTGACTCCGCGTACACATGGAGAAACAAAAGAAACTGGGAAATTTTCTTCGATAGAGGTACAATCCCATGGACTCCACGTGGGAATTTTCCAGGTATTGGGAGTACCAGCAAGCTAAGATTTCGAATCCCGGCTTCGAATCCGAGGGCAGATGGAGACCCCTCTCAATTTTTACAAAGGGTTTCCCGGATTCAACCCTCGGTCCCCTCTCTGCGGCGGGTAGTAAAAGTTTATCGCAAGTTTTGCAGAATTGTTACCAGCCAGCCCATATGGATCTTTCCGGTTTATAGAATGGGTCAAAAACCTGGTTTCAAGTCATAAATTGCAACGTCGAGACAGCCCTTCCAGGTTCTAACGTGGTAACGTGTCGTAAAAAAGCTTGACTCAGCTGAGAGTCTGAGCCCAAAGCTGGGTGGCACGGGTGGATAAAGAGAAACAAAGCAATTTAGCAGCTTCCCCATAACTGTAGTATTCTCTCTCTCTCTCTCTCTCCGGAGGATTTTTTGTTGTCCAGGTGGTTCCTTGGAAGTTGGACGAAATGACTCCCAGCTTATTCCCATCACCCCCCAATATGCAGAGCGAAACTTTACGATTGTTGTAGGCAACGATCTTCCTACCTCTGGAGAAAGCGTCAACAGCGTCGCGGGTGAAGCCCCTTCAAACGCTAGATATGGATTATTTCCATTCTGCGCATATCGCGGCTGGTTTTCTTTGATGGTGTCGTCGTCCATGGGCTGTGCTTGTGGATAGGCTTCGTTTGGTTGGTGTATGGGTGAGCTTGGTTGAGCTAGTTGTCATCGGCATCTAAGTTGCCTCCCACATTGATACATGAACACATGCCACGAATGTGGGATAAGCGCGCGGGTTTCAAGCTTTATCGTTTTGAGCGGACTGGGGTGAGTTCGTGGCAGAATTTACACGCTGAGACGAGATTAAGACTGCCCAGGTTCAGTGAGAATAAGGGAACGTTATTCGCGATGATGGCATGGCCTTTCCCCTCATCCTTCTTACGGAGCAGGGTGGGATAAGTGAGATTTGTTGTCGAAGATGGATAGAAGGAAAGGTTAAATGGGTTGAATCGGTGTCATCATATGACGACTACACTGCGTCCACATAGATGGTTTGGAGAAAGGGGATCTCAAGGGTTCGATGCTGGGGTTTTACGAGAGGATGGATGTTTTTTGGTTTGAGATGGTTGGAGGGGTCATCCTGACTCTTTTGGGGTTATTTACACTTTTGGGGTCATTTACACTTTTGGCCTGCGTATTGCATGTGCAAATGTGTGTGCGTGTATTCCCCTTGGCGAGCTCGTGGACGTATTCACTGTGTGTGCGTATCTGATGGGAAGAAGGAAAGTCAATTCCGCACCGGCGGACTCAACTCCTAGGTTTTCTTGAAAAGGGGAGTTTGACGAAAGTGCTATTGGTTCGACGGTTTCCCCCGTCTCACGACTGCATGTGGTCTTCGGGTTTGAGACGGCACGAAGTTGGAGATATTGCGTGATGGTTTGGTGATTTGGCGCTTGCTGGTTTGAGGTTTACGAGGATTTGATGATTTGTTGTCGCAGCGCCACACGTGGCGCTGCCGGTTACTGCCGTACGATACCGCGTTCCACAACCCGATTACCCGTCTTGTACGGTATATAGATATGACCCTCATACGGATCTTCCACTTAGAGGAATCAAGCCACTTTCTACTATACATGTCTTCCACTTGCTACCTCGCTTTGTGATATTTGTTATCGATGATGACGAAAACGAGGGGAGAGAGATCCTTTGCAAACTAGCGGGCATGTTGGACCTTGATGAACGGTATGAGGTGTCTTGGCTGAACTTAAAAAGTGTCAGTGTTGGTCTCTTCCAGCAACACATGTAAGTGGTCAGATTAATGGACGCTGTGATCCCTTGGTTAGTTGTGCAGCATTGCGATGCAATGCACGTGGACTGATCGGAGGTTTGAGAAACGAGTCCCAACCTCTTCATGTCTTCTAGTAAAACCGAAATAACAGGCATTTACCTCTCCCGCCATGGAAGTCTTGATATTTCATCTTCATTTTTGTCTCCAAGGTGGCTAAGATTTTACGAGTAGGCTTCGTTACGCGTGAGAATAGGTCATCTACAATTTCGGATGGCCTTTTATATGGTCTCTGACTTTTTCATATATCAAATGCGCTTGGCATTCACTTGAATTTAAAATTCGTAGCAGTCTATTCATAACCTCTCCTTGCTAAATAAGTAATCATAGCTTCATCATTCCATCAATATTGTGATCAACTCCCGACTTATGCATACAAAGCACCGTTGTCTAGGCTGGGACTTTAAGGGCCATGCTTCAAGCCCACATCTTTATAGGCATTCTCATGTCTTGGTTGCTACCCCTGAAGGCTGAAGCAAGTGTCTGTGGGTTTGAAGTTCCTTGAAATATTGATGATAAAAATGGTCTTAAATTGCTGGGAACCACAGAAGTTGCGGGAGCTTATTATGCTAGCTCTTTAGAGTCATAACTATTTCGAAAAGACAACTTCTGTTTCCGGACCCAGAATTGCGAGTTCGCGCAACGTGCAATTCCTTGATAGAGCCACCACAAAGCTCGTATCAGTTTTCGGTGTTTAGATCCCAAGTTGCAGATAGGGGAAGATGAGTTGTGAGATAAAGCTCACATTCGACGATGTCTCTGATTGTTGAGAAGCATGTGTAAACTGATTCAAAAGAAGTTCGGCATTAATTGGTCAGCTGAATACTGTTGCTTCTAGTCGCTCAATGTCTACTACCTACGTAGCCCACGGGTTTAGTCGAAAATGATCATAGATGCTAGTATCGGTACTCGAAGAAACTCCTCTTGGAAAAATGGTTCTAGGTCATTTGTTCCATGAAGTGAGAATGAGGATTGTCTCAAGAAACCAACCGGGCTAGTCAAGGGGTTGTCTTCCACATCTAGTCGGAGTCTTGCTCATTACACCCAATCCTACAGTATCCGCCTATTTCACAGAATCTTTTTGTTGTTGTATTTAACGCCGTGGCGGCAAAGGCGCTGCCGCCCTTGCGGCCGACCTCCCGAGGGGTATATGGCGTGGAGGGCCGCAGGCTCAAGCTATATACTCTACAGTACACGCCTCGTCCTATCGTCCTCCAAGTCTTGCCCGTGGGCTGCTATGTGTTCCATCCGTTCCTAGTTCCCGCTGGTTCCCTGGTTCCGTTGTTGCTATCTGCCCCTCTAAGAGGGTAGGTTCGTTTGCAGGGCCTAGGTCAAAACCTAGTCCTTCATACCGCGGATAGATCTTCTGGAAGAAATCTGTTATGCGGAGGAAGGCCTGGAATCCTGTAGGATCAGTGATTAACCTCTTATAGTACCGCTCTAGAGATCCTATAGGTCCTATAGGCTCCAGTGGGCTAGAAGGGTGGAGGGTAGGCCACTGATGCCTCCTCACTAGGGTCTTCGGCAGTAGACTAAATGGTCTACCTCCTTTACCTCCCCGCAGGAGCAGGTAAGCAGTGCTTCTATATAGTTAAAGCGTTGGTGGTATTGTTCGAAGTCTCCATGGCCTGATCGGGCTGCTAGGAGATGATGAAGGATAGCCCGCGGTAGGGCTAGTTCCGGAGGGTAAGCGAGGGTAGCCTTAAGCCCTAGCTGGGTATATTGGGATGTTGCTTCCCGTTTCCACCATCTTTTTATATTAGCGATATGTACGCTCTTTAGTAAGCCGTTTGATCCCTGATAGGGTTGCTAGCTGTCCCCTTGGGACTGGCAGGGTTGTGCCCTCCTTAGCTAGGCTGTCTGCTTCTTCGTTTCCTTTGATGCCTTGGTGCCCGGGAGACTAATGGGTTTGTATATCGTGCATCTTGACTGCCTCCTGGATATCAAGGAAGGCCGCTTGTGAGGAGTCTGGGACCTTGCCACGAATCCCATGAATAACGCTGGTGTTGTCGATGCAGATGTGTATGGGCTGGCCTTGGGAGGTCTGAAGGGCCCGTCGGAGCCCAGTATTTCACAGAAGCTACCTACCTTAAATTGCTGTATCCGAATTCATGGTGTACATCACGTTCCTCTTGTTGGATCGATTCCCCCGTATTTCCTTCACCCTTCACTGAAGCCTTCACCAGGGTCACCCACTTGCTTAGTCGACAAGCCCTAGGTGTCGTACTGTTACCTCCCCGCAGTTGAAGGGCTCGTCCAGTGAAGTCAACAAACTTCAATTGATGTGTTCCCTTCCAAAGGCAACATTTTGAGAAGGAAGGTCCTTATCTTTCTTGAACCTTCTTCGCTACACATCCTTCGCTTTTTTTGCAACCTCGCAAATAAACCCTCATCACCACCAACAAGAGGTGCTCTTTGGACATTTGACTCTGGATCCTTCAACTCTTCCTGGGACGAATCTTCAGAAGCATAACCTCTTTGTTCTGTTCTACGGTGGTATCTTTCATTGCCGAAGCCCGCAGACGATTTCTATCTCCCGCCCTTTCTCCATCGCCAACGCCTTTGCCTGCTCCGCCAAAGGATCTCAGGCTCTGACGATTTTCATCTCTCTGCTACCCATATGGTATATCATCGCCATGGCCGGTATGACTATTGAGCCGGGCCTCCATTTTGGGCCCGATAGACCTGGCCCAATGCCCCAGAGATTCAAGCCAGTGTCAGTACCCTCTCCCATCCCCATCTGGCGCCATCTGAAGCTGACATGGCGCTTTAGCATTCTCGCCATCGACGTGGGAACCGAGTCCACCCGTGTGACGCTCTGCTACCATGACGGAGTCAAGGATGTCTTCGTCGATGTTCCCGGCCCGAACGGTCCCAAGGGCCCCAATGGCTACGAGTTCCCTGGAGTCACCAGCCTTCCGGGTAACCTCAGTGACGATGGTTCTGGCCTAGGTGTCGAGCGCACCATTCCGACCAAGTACTTAATCTACCAGTTTGCCAAGTCTTCAACTTCCCTCCAGGAAACCACCAACATCACCATTCCCGAGAAAATAGCCGACCGCATTCAAACCACCTTCCTGAACGTGATGAAGAGCGGAGAGGTCCTCTGGAGATTCCAGGTTCTCGAGAAGATACTCCCCCTCATTGAGGAGTACTTCACGAAAATCGGCACCGCGGTGGCATCGTTCTGCCAGGAGCACGGATACATCGTTACGAGCGTCGTCGCTACCCATCCGCACCGCGATAACACGGCTCTGCAAGAGATTTATCGAAAAATCCTCCGAGCCATGTCTCCTACCGCGCCGAAATGGATGAACGCCTTCAGCTTGGTTGAAGAGACCCATGCCTTGGGCCACTACCTGCTCCACCACCCTATCCGTTGGACCAAAATGGATGGAGAGATGCCTCAGCGGCTGCTCGTTCTTGACTTTGGTGCGCATTGCCTGGTAAGTAATTTTGGCTTTCGGAGCCCGAAATTGACGGTTCGTTGACTGATGTGATGAAAAGCGCGCAGTTGTCTTCCATCTCAAGTGGACGACCTCAGAGGACGGCAGCTTCAAGAAACTCGACTTCTACTCCGTCGACACTGGTATGGAGCATCAAGACATAAGCTCGCCCGACGCTTATGGAGGCGTTGATTATCACGCCTACCTCATCGAGCAGACTATTCGATCTGACATTGGCGGAGAGAACATGGCTCCAGACGAGGCTGACAAGCTTGAGACTATTGTCAAGGCGATGATGACACACTTCCACGAGAAACACAAGGCGAGGGAGATCGGCGAAGGAGTATTTAAGCTGCGCGGCGCAAACTACACTTGGAAGTGCAACGTCAATGACTCGCGGAAGCACTTCCGAAGCGCCTATTTCAATGCCTTGGTTACCATATATCAGTACCTGGTCAACATGTGTCGCCTCAAGGGAGGCCGGAAAGTTAAGACTGCCATTGCTCTCACTGGTAGTAGCTTCAACAACAAATCTGTCCTCAAGGTGGCCAACGACTTGATTCAGCAGGTTACGGGTGGCGGAAAGTTGAGCTTCTTCCACGGCCACAGCCAGGCCGACTTCCCGTGAGTAACAACTGCTTCGTTCAAGAGGGCCAAGTCTACCGGGAGGAAGTAGCTATTTTCATGCAAGAAGCTTTTACTAATATCTCACTGAATAGTTCGACTGCTACCGCCAGAGGCGCAGCCCTGGCAAAGATGTATCAGAAGACTGTCCGCCAGTTCTTGGATGAAGGCGCTGCATTCGCCCTTCAAAGCCAATCCCCCACCGCGATAGAGACTTCGCCTCTCCTCCTTCACAACGGGAAATCCAACAAGGTCAAAGTCCGTAAGGGCACTCTGAGAATGACTATCGTCTGCAAGCCTCGCTATGCTTCCGACGACGGCAACCACCACCGGCTCAAGGCCGAGGACGGCAACTACACCCTCTGTCATCTGCCCATAATCGCCAACGGCTGGGTCAACGAGTACACGCTCAGTTACTCCGGTTCCGAGCCGCGACCGGGCGAGTTCCTGATCCTCGACGTTACCTCGACGGGTGCTGGCGCCATCCCCGGTCCGCTCTATCGCCGCTTCAGGATCCCTGTCCATATGGATCCTGGTGGTAGAATCCTGAAGATGGACGCAGACTATGAGTTGTAGCCTGACAATAGAGGTAGGCCCAGCCTCGGGCCTCCCGTCACAGATGTTATCAGGTATCTCGACGATGAGAGCGCGATCCACATTCTTGATCAGTAAATTTTGGGATGGCGGTTCTTCATGTCAGGAGACATCACAAAAGAAAGGGAGCGTGGAAGGATGCCTGTAAAGGCCTCGGCCTAGGGCCTGGTGACTTCTTCATCTGTTGTGGGGATGGTGGCCTCGTTCAAGATAGGTGGAGGATAGACAGCCCAAGACAGAACAGCACAGCTGCATGCCAAACAGAAGATTCCCGTCATTAGGGCCGTGTATGATACCGGAACATTTGATCCTGAGACCGCTTAACTTCGTATAAAGGAAAATACGACAGCTTGGTTCTACTGACGAACGCTTCAGGAGGGTGTTAAAGTGGTGTTATTGTTTCTTCTCATTATTCTAGACACGAAAGTACGTAAAAATCCCACTCTTTACACATATCCCTGTACGTAATTAACCCTGTAATAGTGTATACTAGCACATACGTATCTGTGTGGTTTAATCCTACATTAGGATCCTTTATCCCGCGCAGAGCTTTAAAGGCAGCGCTTCACTCAACGCAACTTCAACAACCAAAACAACAAGCAAAACAAACAACTGCCAGAAATCTGCCCTCAATCAATTCAACTTCGAGATCAAAGTTGATTGTAAAAGTTGGCCGGATTAATTATTCGGAATTTCCTTAATAAAAACCGGAAAACCCCCCTTTTTTCTTTATAAAAGTAGGTCTTTTTAAGGAAAAATCGTACCTACGGCGCATATGTAAGGCAATTAATTACAACTTAATTAATCAATTTTATCAATTATTAGAAAATTTTCTCGTAATCAATCAACTGGAAGGCCAGATTTGCGTTGATTGCGTTGAGTGAAGCGCTGTTTAAAGGTGGTGTTCTAGATCCGTAAACTGGTCGCCCTGAAACCCTTCCCTTCCGGTGTCATCCAGTCGGTTTCACATCTTCACATGTAGCGGACTCCATGGCAAATCAAAGAGAAATGTGGCATACCTGCCATCTAACTCCGGTTGAGCCGAAGAGGCAATCATGGTGATGCTCTGTTGCTGTATAGACGAGACGGCAATCTCGACTTTCGAGAGTGAGGAAATGTTTTTTGGCAACCCCCGCAGGAGGGAATCAAGGACGGCTTGGAGGGAAGGTCCATGTTCAAAGTCACTTCAAGCCGGTACTTGACACAAGGTATGTCAACACGAGTGACAGATCGTAATGTAGGTGATGGTGACTGTGGGCGGGCCGCCGTTCGAACTAAGGGGCACGATAGTCAGGTCAGTCATGCTTGCCCTCGAGGCGAGAACGCCGTGGTACCTCCCAACCCATTTCGAAATGGGTTGAAGCTCCGTCTTCATTCGTGTAGAAGAGCATTGTGGCGTGAACAACATGTGGAAGAAGAGGAATGCGTGAACCTATCATTAGCGATGTCGCGATGTCACTATCGACAGTCCTCGTGGATGAAGGAGAGACTTGTCCTTTGCATGTTGATACACTTTAGTCCTTAAGAGTCCCCCTATGGTTGCCAAAAACAAAGATAAAGCCTATGATACCCATCAGACCATGGCAGCCACCAACCGAGGCTCTTCATCAGTCGCTTATGCATGGACACTTAGGTAGCGCTGCTGTCTACTTCCGGCGGTCTTGTGCTAGTCCGCCATTCTGTGAGCACCTTTCCCCGGTGTACTAACCGCCGGATAGTTGATCTCACGATTCAAGGTTTCAACAGACGAAGTCATAGTACAGAAAGCGATAGGCCGGGAAGGTCCCGAGGTTGAGTTGGGGACTATTGATTGTTCAATGGGAGAAGTCCCTGTAGTTCAAGATATATATATCTCGCTCTTCATAAGTCCGCCCTATGCACCTAATTAAACCCATGAAAAAAAAAATAACAGTAATGAAATGGATAGACTTTGTGCCGTCTCGTAAAACCCAAACGCTGATAACCACGCCATTTGTTCCCCTTCTCTGGTCCTCCTCTTTGCTCTTTGATCTCTCTGTCTCGTCTGGGTCTGGATCGTTGCTCTCGCTTCTCGCTTCTGTCCGCTGTCCCGCTGTCCCGCTGTCTCTCTCCTCTTTTTTTCTACAAACTCCATCAAGGCTTTTCTGAACGGAACACCTGCTCGTTCAATATCCAAAACGATTGAAACTCGTTCTTATTGCACCTCCTTCTCCTTGCCCTTCTCATTTGTTGCTGTGTCGTCTTCGTTATACAGGCCGTGCTCATCAATGTACTTGATGACTTCAGCAGGGATGAGCTAGAAATATGTTAGCCGTTGATTGCCTTTAAAATGTTTGACAATGCTTTTGGGGGATCGGAAACTCACGTAGTCGATGCTCATATTCCTCCTCAGCAACAATCGAATCTTGGTACTCGAAACATCGTTGGGAACGACTTGCGGGATGTAGTAGATCTGGTCCTCGTACTCCTTAAGGTTACCGAGAGCCTCGTCAATGTTCACACCAGCCCTCTCGAGCACAAAGGCGCCAAAGTCGCCAAGGATATGTCTCAAATCAGAAGGCGACCAAACACCCGGCTGACTCATCGTATTGATCAGGTCGGCGCCAGCAAGCACGGCAATACGCACGCGCTTCCCGTTGCAGCCGCCGCGCTTGACATTGATTTCGTGCTCAAAGTGATCGAGGACAACGGCAGTGGGCACGTAGGCCGTCTGCTCAGCCTCCCAGGGGTCGACCATGAGGAAGCGGGAGGTCTGCTCGGCGGCGATCTCGCACATGCGGCGGCGGTGGCAGGCGGGTGCGAGGCCGCGCTTCTTGTAGGCGTCGGAGACGGGGGAGAGGTAGGAGCCGATGAGCTCAAAGTTTGTGTTGTAGCGGACGTAGTCTGCCGCCATGACGGCCATGCGCAGGTGGAGGAAGGTGATGGGGCTGTAGGAGCCCGGGGCGACGAGGACGAGGGGATCGCGGTCGGGTTCGGACTGCTGGAGGCGGAGGCGGTGCTCCGGGAAGGAGTAGCCGGGGGGCGCCATGGCCTCGATTTCCTCGGGGGTGGCGACCATTGTGAGGGTTCGCGAGCGGGCGGCGGCGGACGCGGCGAAGGGGTTGTTGCTGCGCGGCGTGCTGAGACGCCGGAGGGGAGGGGTCGGCGGACGGGGGTAGTAGTAGGTTGGGGGCGAGAAAAGCCGGAAACCAGCTCTCATCAACTTTTTCGTTTTATTTCCCTGTTGGGCGCTCTGTCGTCGGTCGTCGGTCGAATGACTGGTTGGATAGTAGTCCTGTGAGAGGAGAGAATGGGTATCGACTATGGATAGGGCGGGGAGGGCTCCGTGATGTTCCTTGAGGGGTTCGGTGTCTCGGAATGCGGCTATCGGTTCGGTCGGTGCCTGGGCAAAACGCAGCAGCGGGCGGAAGGGGGACGGGGTACGGAGAATGACGGGATCTGCCTGTGAAGAAAAGAAGAGGTGGAATTAGTCAGCCTCGCGCCAAGTACGTCATGCGATGATGGCAGGTAAGAGAGAACTGTGATAAAAGCGTACCTTTTTTTTGCTGAAAAAAATGTCGTTGGACAAGGTGATTGAACAGTGACTTTGGGGGTTTTTCTTGGGACGACACGGGAAAAAGGACGTTTCTGGTTGCTGAGGGGTGTGTTTTGGAGTTTCTGTGTTCCGGTCGGGGATTGCGTGACTAAGGTTAAGAATGACACTGAGACTTCCCTCTTCTGGGGGGGTAAAATATCTCGTTTTGGTTCCGAACAAGGCCGGGGGGGGAACGAAGTGGGAGACTGGCGAGTGGGAGTGGGAGTGCGTGCGTATGTGTGCGTGGGACAGCGTTGCGTGCTTCGCATCGAGGGGTTAGCGGGGCTGTTTAGTCATCCAGCTGCCCCGCCGCGGGTTACTCTGTGATTGGTGGGGCTGTACGTCGGCCGCATCGGAGAAAGACCGGGTCCATTACGGAATTGCTCCAGGCCCGGCATCTCCGTCTTCGGGGCTTAAGGTCCCAGGCGTCAGTGATCATTAATTGTTTATCTTATTATATCCTTCATTTCTCTAATATGTTGATATCTTGAAAAATATGAATGGAGACTGGGAATGATGTCCGATAGATACCTGAGGGAGCTTAGAAGCCGACGATGCAGTTCACGGCGTCAAGTGCCGAGGTGAGGGGTAGGCGAAGTGCGATGGTCGCCCGCCAAAGGCCGTTATCACCGGCAGGTTGCGCTTACCCAGTAATCAATGGAAGCTGACCAGAAAGAACATGACTTCATGAATTTCCGATGAATGAACATGTTCAACCGCTGAGGGTCCGTCATCAAGGCATCTCACAGAATGCCATGACGGCAACTCTGAGTTGCGCCAATTCACTTCAAACGCAGGCCCTTGAGCTACCTTAGGTACCTACACTACATGTGTCTGTCCGACGCTGTTCTAGTTTTGAACAACGACCTCCAGCCGCGTGTCAGTTCAAGCTAAGGTACCTACCTACCTTACCTTACCTTAGGTACACTGGCGTTGTACTAGCATCTCCCACTCCGAACTTTCTGTCAAGAGCACCATATGAAAGCCTCGGTCAACACAGTTGGAAACTCAACAATTTGCCCGCCAGATCAACGGGCCTGTTTCTCGTGCCTGAGAGATCGACGCGCCAGAGTCTGAAGAAACACGTGCCCCCAGCTTCCTCACCCGCTTATGCTGTCTCACTACCCCGACCTCACCAACGTGTCGTGCGTGTGCAAGGGAGAATGAGTCGGTCGAGAACTTCGACGTCTCCCAGCCGCCACGTGACTCACGCAAACGGCGCGTGACCATAGCTCTGTTGAGAAAAGGAAAAAAAAAAAGTAACTAGTTTTTTTTGCATTGCCATCTTTTGACCGCAACGTCTCCCCTGCCTCCGACATCGCCGTTCCCCCAGCTCTAGAATCTAAGGTAGTCTCTCAGCGGTCGCTTTGGGAATTTCCTAGCCCTCAGCGCTCCAATTGTCATGCTGCCGTTTCACTCGCCTGGGCCAAGACGGTCCCCAAGCTTCCCCCGGCACGAGCTGTCCGATTTTGCCGAGGAAAATGCCTTAAAAAGCTTTTTCGGCGAAAACGCCAATCGCCGCGTTCACTGGCATCTCTCAAAATTTACCCACCATGAGTCAAGGTCGTCCAGAGTGAGATTCCGAAGGGTCGTCGGAATGAGAAGTCTCGCTCAGCCACTTGCACTGGCCACTGCGTCTGAAGTGAGATCGGATGGCAGGTGTGGTGTGATGAACGCTCATGGCGGAATCTGAACCTTAAATCTTGGAGGCTTCCCGCCTGAGCTGACGCCTTGTGGTCTCTCTCATTTGCATAAACGCGTCGATGAGATGATTGTGAAGCGCGCTGGGTTGTCAGCGATTTGGTTCTCTGCCACTTCAGACTCGAAATTCCAGTCGCGACTATCGAAAAGCAAGGCCAGGTCATGAGAAGAGGACCTTCAAATGATCGCCTCTTAATCTTGTAGGTCACTTGATCTTCATGATGGTCGCATCACAGACTTGGGCAACTCATGTATAGCACTATCGAGAATGACGTCTGACAGGTGGAAAAGTCATCGGCCGAGTGATGCAGAGTAGCATCCCTCTTCAACCTTAATTCAGCATCTCACTTTGCAGATTTACTACCGTAGGTGTGTATCCGTACGGACGGAAATGGGGCAAGGCACCGGTATGCGCATGCCCGAAGAGCATCCCCTTTTGAGCCATTCCATCTTACCACTGACTACCTTACCTTAGTCCCTTGGGTATGAATACAGTAAATCCCAGCCTCGCACTCGTATTTCACAAACAACGCCATATCAACCATGTAACTCCAAAACAACTCTCCGGCCACCATCATCAACCTGAGAATCCAAAATCCTCCGCCGCCCGCCGTTGTGTGCCTCTCACACGTTCACACCCCGGCCCCAAGTGGCCCCGTCCTCTGCCCCTTCAATATCACCCAAACAGCACCAAACGCCAGGGATTCCCCACCAATACTGCCCGTTTCGGAGGACGCCTCCCGTCCGCCGTCCCCCTTAACTTTCTGCCCATTTCCCGCCAATCGTCTATGGATGGATGCCATCAATATCCGAATGAGGCAGGCTGGTAATAATCAATGTGCTATACAGTCGAACTACGCTGTAAGTGAAATCAAAATTGGGAGGAGATCATCGGTCATGGATCAATGGGCACGGAACAATACACCATACGCAAGGAAGCTACTTTCTCTACCTCATAGTCTTACAGACACCTCTCATGCGGCCAAGCATCCCCGAACCAGCATCCACGGCCGCCATACGGTTCAACACCACCAACAGGAGCCGGCCGCTATCCCCATGTGCATCCACGCCCCTTTCCAATTCCCGTAACTGTCAGGGCGAGATGGATCATGGGGTGGATGATGACAGGCCGCAGGTCGAAGGCCCCCCCCTGAGCAACCACCACACCACCCATCCCGGTGGATCATCACCGCGAAGAAGCTGTCCATCGAGAGTGTAACATGCCCGAAAAACGACCTACAAAACTAAACTTAGGACCCCTTTTTCGTCCCATCTTGCACTGAATCTTCTCTTGAAGTCTTGGGATCTCGTTGCTATTCTCCTACGCGTGCCGTTCCATCCATCCATCCCTTCGGCTTGCCCCCTGGTTATAGCTTCTTTTCAAGCCTCTTTTCTCTATTCGACTTGCTTTGTTTCGGGGATTGTCTGGTACATCGCTTCCGTTTCACTCCATCACTTTAGCCCCCACTCGTTTCTACCTTCCGACCTTCCGACGATCCTGCAACCATGAAGGCTTCCGCGACACTCTTAGCCGCGGCGGCCATCTTCTACCAAGGCGCGGCCGCCCTCCCCGCCGCCGGCTGGACCGGTACCGCCGTCTCCCCGGCCAAGGTAGTCGCCCGTGCCGACGCCGCTCCCTCCGCCTTCCCTGGTGCCGAAGGGTTCGGCCGGAACGCGATCGGTGGCCGTACGGGTACTGTGTACAAGGTCACCAACCTCAAGTAAGCTCTCCACCCAACTTGACTCTCAGCTATCTAGGTTTGAACTTTTCTTGCTGACTCGTTCTGTGCTGCAGTGACTCCGGCACGGGATCTCTCCGCGATGCCGTCTCTCAACCCAACCGAGTCGTCGTCTTTGACGTAGGCGGCGTCATCAAGATTGACGCCCGCATCGCGGTGTCCAAGAACGTTTACATTGCAGGACAGACAGCGCCCGGAGGTGTAAGTATCAACCAGAAGAAGACACAGACTCACAACACCCAACTAACACCAACAACCAGGGCATCACAGTCTACGGAAACGGCTTCTCCTGGTCCAACGCCGACGAAGCCATCACCCGCTACATCCGCATCCGCATGGGCAAGGGAGGCGACTCGGGCAAAGACGCAATCACAATCGCCGACGGCAAAAACATGATCTTTGACCACGTCTCCGTCTCCTGGGGCCGCGACGAAACCTTCTCCATCAACGGCGACGTCTCCAACATCACCATTGCAGACTCCATCATCGGCCAGGGCCTCGAGACGCACTCCTGCGGCGGGCTGATGCAGACAAACGAAGGCGGCGTCTCCCTCTTCCGAAACCTCTACATTGACAACAAGACGCGCAACCCGAAAGTCAAGGGCGTGAACTCCTTCATCAACAATGCCGTGTACAACTGGGGCGGTGGTGGCGGGTACATCGCGGGAGACTCCGAGGGCGCGAGTTATGCGAATATCATCCAGAATTACTTCATCTCCGGCCCCTCGACCTCCGTCACGGCGTTCACGCGCGGTAACGCAAACTTCCGCGGCTACGTCAAGGATAACTTTTACGACTCCAACAAGGACGGCGTGCTCAACGGCGCAGCCCTCTGCGTCTCGACGATGTGCTACTCCAACATGGCCATCCAGACGACCGCGTTCGACTACCCTGCCCCGGCAAAGCTCCTCACCGCCACCGACGCCGTCGCGCACGTCGCGTCCAAGGTCGGCGCCTCCATTTCCCGCGATGCCGTTGACGCCGCGCTGGTAAAGGAACTTCTCTCCTACGGAAAATCGGGCAAGCTCATCTCCGATGAGGCCGACATGGGCGGCGCGGGCGACATCGCGGCCGGCACGGCGAAGAAGGATACCGACGGCGACGGAATCCCCGACGAGTACGAGACTGCGAACGGCCTGAACCCCAATGATGCCTCGGACGGTATGAAGATTGGTGCCGGTGGGTACACGAACCTCGAGATCTACGTCAACTCGCTCGTTCCCGCCGTGTACTAGACTCTGTCTACTTAGTCTTGCAGGCTTGCTCCTGCGTATGGGGATAGTTGGAGGTTAAGAGGGACCGAATCTCGATGGAGAAAAACACCTTGGCTGTATATAGCACGCTCTTTTTTCATATTTCCTTGTGTATACCTACTACTCATCGTCGTTCTTGCGACGAGGTACATATCTTCTTTCAAATGGACATAATCCACTACTTTTCCAAATCTTGCTACTTTGACGAATTTCCCCACGATCCAACCCAAGTTACGAGCCTCCAGTCTTCTTGGTCTTTCCTCTGAAGGATTGTTGGCAGACACACGCCTCAATTGGTAGCTCATTTGTCGAGACCCGGACCTGGTATTACTGCCCGGTGCCGGGCCGGGCGGCGGAGGTGGGGCACTGGCGCCACTTCCTTCCGGCCTAGCGGTCTACCCGACCTCGCCCTCTCCGAATAAGTGGGACAGGCACAACCTGAAGAGAATGACCTTCCTGAGACGTATCTGCCTTGGGAACGGCTCGAATGGCACATAGCCTGATGGTAATTACGTTTTAAGACTTTAGCCTTACGATCATTCAAAAGAAGCTGCTACAAGCAGATCTGATCAAGTCGCTCAAAACATTGGCCCCCCCCCCCGAAGCTCAGCCGACACTGAGAGTGGCCAATGCTCTATCGGAGAGACCTCCCCAGACACTACGTTCAGAGGTCTTCATGGCTTGTTTGAAAAATGTTGGCATGTTGCCTTGATTAACATTGTGTATCGCTGACATGGTCAGGCATTGTGCAGGTACTTGGGTCGCGCGCGTGACCGACCGCCGCGCATCCGATTAATATACAACTCCAAAATCTTCCGTAATATGCGAATGTATGTTGGTATCCTCGGTCAAAAAAGTCCCGCTCAAGTGTTGGCCGTCCCCCCAAAAGCATTCCCTGCATTGACATCCAGAGTCATCCCCAACCACAATCAGACGGTGTCTCTTGAAGGACAACCTTCGCCTGAGGACTCAAATGTCTGGTAGGCGCAATCGACGAATCATATACTAAAGGATCCTCTCATCGCTCGGACGTTACCGACTCCTGAAGGGACTGTCAACTCGAGCTCACTCGTTTGGTCGCTGCCAATTGCTTTCGTGTGCCCATAGCGACCGTTTCGAAATCGGTCGTGTTGGTCGCGTCGAAGCACGTCGATCCTGACGGCACCCTGTCGACTTTCGGTGCCGCAACTTCCAAGTCGGCCCTGTTGACGACAGCGCATGTCCTTCCACTCTTCTTTGAATGTCGTCCAACTAGTCATGAAGAAGATGACGGCATTCCAGACACCTTGAAGTGGGAGAACCGTGGCGCTGGCAACATTCAGGCCAAAGCTGACTACTTCAGGCTTGAGAAGGTTGATAACTCTGTTGATCGAACTTGGTGTCCATGTCACCAAAACAGAGATAGCAAAGATAAAACTGGTCCTGAGGTATGCAAGCTTGACAGGGTCTAGACGATCTAGTCTGGCCGAAAACTTTGTCCCAACACGCCCAATTCGCTGGAAGACAGATCGCTGCGGCTTTGGCGGTGGAGGGTCTGATGTGCACGTGGTCTCGAAACGAGGGCTTGGTGTACCGTGTCCGTCCTCTTCGCTCGTACGCCATGATTGCTGGTGCCGAGGCTGTTGATCGTCTGACCCCTTTGTAATGGCTATGGATGGCACTTGAGGTGACCAAGGCCTTGGTACCATAGTTGTAATCTGGATATCCGTTACGGCGGTCCCATAGAAGAATTCGGCACGGCTCGTGAGATTCTGGAGAGTGTCAACTTCAGACCATTTTCTCAAGTACCTGTGCCTGCTAATGACATACCTTTTCCGCTGAGTCTCGCTCATCTGAGCAAGATGTGTCTTTGCAGTCTCTTCCAGTGTTGCTGAAGGTGAGGTTGTGGAGTTGATTGCGGTGATGGAAGACATGGTATCCGACGGCAAAGTAGATAACGCACGACCCGACGATGCAGGTCCAAATGGGAATATAGTAAGTGAATATACGAAGCTTGGACCAATCATGGTTTATCCAGCACCATATCTATGAAGGTTAGTCACGATAATTCCTGGCGAAGTAGAATACGATCGACTACGTACTGTAGCATCTCCATAGATAAGATCATCCGGACCACGAGGTCGGACTAGGAGACAAACAACGGCCGGAATCATGGGGAAGCCAAAGCAGATAGCGCAATAGACCCAAATGTAGCGTCGGAAGGAGGAAGGATTGGCACCGGCGAAGAAGACGAGGTAGACGTTGACAGCCATGGCGAAAGACCACCACGGATCAGATTGCATGAACCTATTGCATCGCACCATCAGCACAATTTTCTCAAAAGAAGATGGAAAGAAGGGGAGATCGAACATTTCGAGCAAAAACGCCTGTGCCTGACACAAAGCGGATTCTGCTCCAGCTAGCATGCCGTCGTAGCCCATTGCGCAAGCAATGCTGGCACCAACATTGGCAACTGACGCGAAGACGATGAAGAGATTTGGAACACTTCGAATGCGTTTGAATTGCCAGTACGTGATGAATATTAGTGTGACTCCGACCAACGACAAGGACGCCCCAATTCTCTCCAGGGCGATGATAACATCGATCTGAGACTGGCTAAGGGACTGCACTTTCCCACCCATGTCGGCGATTGGTCCGTCCGGACCGTCCATGGATTTGTTTGAGAATCAAGGTTTTCGCTTCGATGTGATTCAGTAACTTTGGTAAGTGAGCGAGCTATCGAACGAAGCAGCGACTCGAAGGCAGGCTGGGTCATAAGGTCAGTCATCTTTGTTGCCTGCGCAGGGAATTGCTTCTAGGGAAAGAGCTGCAAGCATACCTGCCTCCGTGTCCCAGCAGCTGAGATGCAGTCTGCAATGCTGCAAGACGCGGCCCCCTTGATGTATGTGAAAGGACCGAAAGATGAAGCGTTGGTCGTGGCTCGAACTGACGGCAGAGGTGGCACAAATGGCTGCCGTGGCACAAAGAGGAACCGAAATTCCCAGTTGATAAGAGCCGACAGAGACTAAAAGAAAGAAAAGGGTTGGCCGGCAGGAAGTACAAGCCTCGAGGACCCAAAGGCCAAAATGGTATGCCGTGTTGCTGGACGGCAGCTCTGTGTGACGAGCTGCTGGCCTCTGCAGCACCAGAGAAGGCGAGGGTTGAAGCGGGATGGAAAGATTCGAGCGTATTTGAGAAGGTAGCAATCGAGAGGTCGAAATAGAAGGGCAGGCGAGATCATGTATTAATCTCAAGCAGCCCAGACTGTTAGCCACATATAGTCGAGACACTGAGGTGCATGACCGACTGCGGAATTCCTGGCTTGGGTCGGGGAAGAGGGCCGACGCAAGGAGATGTTACACGAACGCGAACGGGCGAAGAAGAAGAAGAAGAAGGGACATGGGTGAAAAGATCGATGACGAGCGGCGACGGGTACGAGAGAGGATCTTCTGTGAGATGCCAGGGGGAGCCTTGAATGAGAGAAAGAGCCCAAGATGTTCGAATGCGGGGGTCGAGGAGAGGTAAGGAAGCGGTGACTGTTTCCGATTCGAGGTAGACTTGACGGAATTCTTCTGTGATTGGAACTGGCGGCAATATCAGAATAGATGTGGCTTGGAAGTTGCAAGTGTCGACACGAGGGAGGAATACCCAGGATGTGGTGGTTGCGCGTGTGAGTTGAGGTGAATGAACGCGATGAAGGACTGGGGGGAGGGACGAGGGAAGGAACGTATACATCCATCCAGAGGCAGTTGCCAAGAGATGAAGTCAAAACAGAGCACTGTGGAGGGAAGGCACGGTGGAGGTGGATTTGAGGGATGAGAACTGGGAAGGTGTGAAACTGCCACAGCCTTGCTCGAGGAAGCAAGTACAAGACGAACGAACCTACCTTGCCTTAATCTGGGGAAGTACCCTCTTCTTGGAGGTGGAGGCGGAGACGGAGGAAAGAAACGAATGAGGATGTGTAGATGGCTTACCTTGCCTCAATGAGTCCTGATGAGATCTAATGCTGTCCGGGGGAGCGGCTTCAGAATACTGAGTGTTCGCAACCTCCTCCACGCGGGGTGCTGGAGTACTAGTGTGAGATAGTATGTAAGATGAGATGCAGTAGTCTGAATGAGGACTGACTGGGGATGAAGTCGATGGATGGCATCTACATTGGAGAAAAAAGGCGGAGAGGCACGACGGCAGGATAGTAAGACGGCACGACGGTTCAGTGAGAACATCTCGGGCACAGTATCTGTCGGGCGAGTGAAATGCAAAGCCCCAACCCATCCGCTTCATCGTGGCTGCCACACTGTAAGGCCAGACGCCAAGTTTCCAACGAGCCCTTGCCAGACATGATGTGCGGATATGCATCCTCACAAACATGCCTCTGCAGGCCAACGCAAGGCTCTTTTCTACACAGGGCTGGGCAGGACTGGGCAAGGTAGCAGTCAAATGGAGGTGGTCCGGGCAAACAAAGAGAAATGTTGACGAGGGAGAGGCAGAGGAAGCTCGGCAAGTGGAACGAGAACCCGATGGCATAGGAACGAGATTAACACGAGTGATGCTTGCCACTGATGTTTCCGGAAACGAGAAGAACAAGTGAGAGATAAAGTGCCAATACCCGGCAATCTCTTCCAAGCCCCAATGGGGATCACCTCAGTGACTAGCATCGTCAAGATGCGGCCGAGAATATCTTCCCCTAGGGAGTGAAGCAAGGTGAAGAAGTTGAATGCGCCTTACGGATATTGTCGATGAGTACGTAAGACGGATAGAATGTCTTGCACCCTCTTGATTGTCTGTCTGCCCTGGTGTCTCACTCCCACGCCGTGGCGGCAGTGTACCCGTTGGGTGTTGCCTCAAGACGTCGATCGGATGACTGCTTGGCTGGATCTCAGTTTGGATGAAATGTCGATTCGTCGAATCCTGGATGAAATGAGAGATGAGACGACCAGGGAAGAGGCTGAGAGTCGCTGCATTCGATCCTTCCATTCTAGCCCATAGTGAAAACGACAGGAAGTACTTGCCTCTACTAACTTGGGAAAGAGGGAACGAGAAGGAAGTCGCGTTTGGCTGGACCTCAAAGTACCTCTTCCCTGCCTCAGTATCCCCAGGTCCACTTCCTGCCTCTTGCCTCCTGCCTCCTGCCATCTCCCACTTCTTGCCTCACTCGGGTGCCTTAACACCGTGTATCAACCTCAGGTATCTACTGAAGATCAAAGGAAAGGGCAAAGAAAGAGAGAAGGCATCGAGTCTTCTGGTCACCGCATACCTCACCTACTTTTACTATACCTGCAAGGCCAACGCTTCAACCTATTGGCCTTCCATTTCTCTGACCGCCCTTCCCAACGCACTTTATTTCCCGGGCAGACGTGGACGTGGCGTGAGAACTTGGCTGCGTTAACGGCCGAAATATCGAAATTTCATTCGCCATGCTTCTTTGCATCTTGCATTTCTCTACGCAGCCCGCCGTTTTGTCGGTCATATCGGTCGAACCATGCGGCCCTGAGGCGTCATCATCATCAACACACGGTGCGGCCTCCCCCATAGTCCACGGTAAAATCGACGGATCCGAATCGCTGCTGTTGATCCTCCACCTCGTGGCCCGTTATCGAGATACAAGAAAGCCATTGATTGGAGATTAACGAATTGAGACAAGAGGTCCACTGGCAGCTCATGGTTCGATCTTCCTCTTTGAAATCCAAGGGTTCAGTCATTGTTCTCTTCCCTCGAGACTACTCCGGAAATGAGAACTGACGTGATTGCCTAGCCAAGTCACCCAGTTTGGCGTCTGCATCCCTGGAGCCTGGCCTCGGTGCACCCAATCTTGTATGCGTTCGTTTGCCTGATATGCACTGTCTATCCCTCTGTGCCGCAGCTGGGGCTCACACCATGGATGGCTGAGCTGGCAGTAGACATACCGAACATAGAGGCAAAACACACCTATGCCACAGGGACCCCGCCTGCATCAACAAATGCCAGCAACCTGGGACGCAGTAATCGGGAACACCCTCTCGCTCACAACTGATGTGACGGACTGCGAATACAACGTGGATGCGTGGAGGTGCGGATGAGGTTCAACGGCGCAGCAAGAGCAAACGACTAGCCCCTCATTACGAACTCCAACCAGACTTCAAAGTGCACTGCACTGTTGTTTGCCTGCCTGTCGCGGGCTGGACTTGACTTTGTCTCCACGAATCACGGATCGCAACCCGCTCCTACACCTACTCTTTGGTTTGCCGGGATAGCCTTTGTGAACCGAACGAACTGCCCACTCGAGCTCGAGACCCGCAACCAAACTTTCAGACCAGACTCGAGAAATCCGGCAAACGATCCCGTGGAAAATTCGAGTTGCTCAAGTCTCTGCCCAGCTACGTTACCACGGTTGCGTTGGAGCTGCTACTTTTCCTTGTCCTCTGCGTTCGTTTCTCGGGCCAGGACAGAAGCGAAATGCGGACTATCCATGGGTGTTGCAGAGTTCGGTAGCGATCCAATCGCCAGCGCATTCTGTCTCTCACAAATGCATCCCGCCTGACTGCATTGTATTCTTTTGGCCAACGAGCGACGACTGACGGACCAGGACCAACGCACGTAAGACCATCTCAGCGAAACGATCACCAGCCTAAGCGGTTGCGAGCGGGACCTATCCCAATATCTCTCGGTTTCCAGGTACTTAACGCTGGAGGCAGGTGATCTTCGCGTGTGGTGCAGAATGGCAATCCTGCGCTGTCGCTTACTCTCCAACCAGCGCGCAATGTCCTTGTTGTGGACTCGCACCGGTAGCAGTTTTCTGCGCCCGCCCAACACCTCTCCAAATCCCTCTGACGGCCGAGATACACAAGCAAGGTCTCCCTAGGTTGGCAATGGAGATCATGTCATTCCTCTCCCTCGACCGCCAGACCTCGATGTGGCGTCTGCAGTTTGCTGGGAAAAGAGGCACACCTTCAAACCCTGCGCGTCGCTGCCTCCCTTTTTGAGCAGTCGTCTGGTCGTTCTCATCTCAGTTTGCCAGAATCATTCGACCCATTCTCTGCTTTCGTACGGCTTGTTTGCTTCCTTCGCTGCAGTTAACCGGCGAAACACTATTCGTCGTAGCAACGCCGGTCGAAGACTCACCACCCACCATGATGAACCCTCCGGATGTTCTCTGCCGAATTGATTCTCCGCAGCTTGAGCCTGTCAACGATTTGGAGCTCTCGTCTCGCCTGAAGCTCGCCCGAAGAAAATAGTCTTAGAATGTGAAAACGATTGTCATCCAGCTCGCCATGAACTACTGCCATCAGCGACACCCAAAAACACGCTTCGACATAGTTTTCACAACCGTCAAGGTTCACAACTCGTTCTCTGATATGTGAACTCCTTTCTCCTTATCCTGAAACGTCATTGGTATCATATTCGTAAGTTCCCCGTCACTATGGGAGTATTTCCGTCCCATTTTCCGACCGTGACCCAGGTGTACATGCACTTTCTTGTACCCGATTTCCTGGCCTTGTGAATGTTCCAGTCGCTCTGATCATGTTCCACATGCTTGTGTAGCTGAAAGCCACTCATCGAAGCTATTGACATCAATCTGATAGTCCTGTTTGGCCACCAGCACCGTTTCAACAGTGCCACGCCTTAGTGATAGTGATAGTGAAGCGATGCTTTCAAGCACTCGCAGCTTCCACACCAAGGCCAAACCCCGATTCCGTAGTTAACTCCAACATCTTTTCTGCTACCCATCTGCCATTATGAGGACCTGCGAAACATGAAGTTCGCACCATGACCATTGGCCAGAACATTGTCATAGTTCGGTAAGCAAGGCCCTCGATCGGCGCCTCTTCCTTCCCTTCGAGCCCGAATACTGTCCGGATGTCTTCGAGAACATCTTCAACGACTGACACGCCATCCGACCAGCTCGGCATAGGACCTAAGCTAGTGGCGACTTTGCCGCTGCTCTCCTTTAGAATGTTTCGCAACTCGATGATTCGCTCTAGAAGATATACACGAAGCGAACGATAGTGGCTTCGCGCGATAGCAACTGATGACTCAGACGACAGTGAAAACAGACCGTTGAACACTTTTTGCTGCTGTCCGGAGCACGTTGAAGCGCCAGAGAAGCCGAGGAATGCAACGGCTGCCTCAAGATCGCTGTTCAGATCGATGCCGCCTCGGATGAGGTCCAGCAAATCCTCCGGCGGGCTATCGGTTAGCTTGGTCAAGTTGTCCTGTACTTGTACCTTGAAGTCAAAGGCTCTCTTGAAATCGACTACCTGTCGAACAAGCGGCTCGAGAACAGGGCCCCTACCCCACGGAGTTTCTACTTCTTCCAGCATTGACCATAGAGGCGTCAAGTGGTCTCGCTGTATAAACATCTCCATCAACTTGTCCCCGGAAATATCAGCTAGGGTGTCCATCAGAGAGGAGGTCCAAACTACTCACCGCTGCATGACAGAAGAAGGTGAAGCAGGCTTTGTCGACTTCGTTGGTCAAGCCATGATCTGCGCGAAACTTGAACAGCTGCAAGCCTCCGACACCGTGAGGGAATACATTCTCCTGCAAGTCGATCGTGCTTGTGCCTCGCTTGCCGTTGATAACCTGCTGGGATTAGCCGGAATACTAACTACACCTCGGAGTCGAGGTGTGGTCCCAGACTGGTAGACACAACATGCGTCAACGTCGGTAGGACCAACTCAGGCGTACCTCGAACATGCCAAACAAGAATAACGTGACCAGGTTAGCATCGTCTCGCACTGCAACTGGATCTTGAAGGGCCTGGTTCAGAGTCGAAATGGCTTTGCCGTAATGTCGCCGGGCTCCAACCATGAGCCCCGACTGACGAAGTGACCGAGAAGCACTCGCCAAGGCCACAGCGTGTGTGGCGTGTCGTGCATGGCTGGCATCGGATAGGTCAACGTCGTAGTACTCGGGCAATCGACTGAATATCAAGATGCTGGCCTGCGCGGCATAGTTGGTGTAGAACCGGCTCACCGACAACACTTCCGGGCCGATTTGGATAGACTTTGAAAGAACCAGTTCGGGCTCCTCCTCCGAATCCAGCAATGTCTGGGAGGAGTCTCTTCGAGCAAGGACCAATGGCAAAGGTGAGCTGTCCTGCGATTGACTAGGAGGTCTAGTCGGTGGAGGTTGCTGACGGTGTTTCCATCTAGACGTCCATGATGCTGGGTACCCGGAAGATCGTCGCTGTTGGGAAACGGAGAGCAACGTCCTGCGTGGTTTGGGGCCGTCGCGCTTGATTTACAAATCAGCATGACAGTTATCATCTCATGGCCGGGGTCTCCGAAGCTTACCGTTGTGCGCTTCTCCTCGACTCTCGAGTGGCCCTGTTGCGGTTTGGCCAAGCTGGCCATGGTGACTAGGTCTCGTCAATCCAGCGGTGGTATGGGCTCGACATTCGAGCGACTCTCTCATCAGCAATATTCCAACAGAACCAAAGCTGACGCGTCTGAAGGGAAACGGAGGACATTGAAGCTATGTAAGGAGGTCAGATCGAGTTGGTAAGGTTGGGGAAGCTCCCCACGATAAATGTGGAAATTTGGAGAATGTTTGATCTGACTGATCCCGGTTAAGATCGCTCGCAGTCGTAGCGGCATATACCATGTAGTCGACGTCGACCACCCATCCACCCTCGGCAACGCGGGCGAACACGGCGCGTGCAATAGCCCCCAGGCCAGGCGAACGACCTCGGTGAGTTGGGCCAGGACAAAGCTTATTGGTGTCCGTCCGGTGGTGGCGGACGTGACTGAGACGTCACTTTGACCTGCCCCGAACCGGCCAAAGTCTAAAAGAGTGCGAGTAGCGCGCCGCGCTTGTTACTAGAGTGCCAAATGTCACAAAGAATCCTCCGGGGCAGGTTCCGGTGGTTAGTTGTCTTTGTTCGTTGGCTCTTCTTTCTCGTTGGGAACCAACTGTGGACTGACTTGTCCCACAGATGGTCGTCAGCAATTCGAACGTCGAGGACAGACCTTGCAGGCGCAGACGATGCTGACCCCGATGCCAGACCTGCAATTATAGCCGTATTCAGAAGGCAGACCGAGGTGTCAAAGGAACCCATGATACGCCGAGTCTAAGGCCGAAAAACTCTGAGCTGAGACTTGAACATGAGGCTTAAGTTGCACAGACGACACCTTTATTCCATGCATCAGGGTCTCTGGCTGCTGGAGAATCACTCACACGCGTGAAAAGGGTCTCGTTCCGTTGGCTCGTGCCCCCATCGAGCTGCAGGATATTGGACCCTGACAGCGGCCAGATGATCTGCGGCATGCGATGCCGCTGGATCCACAAGCCACGACGAGCCAAGACACACTATTGCTACTATTTTCAACATGAAGGCCGCTCAGCCATGGCAAAGTCTCTTCAGTTGGATGGATGGCAAAGTCTCGGATGCCAAAACGCGGCAATTCATATGAAATCGAGGCTTATCGAACCTTGCCAGGCACAGAGAGGCTAGAATTTCCTAATCGGCCGAACCAACACGTTGTAAATCAGGTACGAAGTTTACCAGAGTTAGCTAATGGCACAATCTGTACAACCCAACTATCATTAATGGAGGCCAAAAAGCAGCTGATAGCATGAGCTGACAACCACCATCGAGATTTGCTCTGTACCTTATTCGGTGATTCAAGGATCAAGCAGTCTCACTTACTCAAGAAAGAAAAGCCTTTCGCCCCCCTGAAAGACTTGTAGCAGCAAGGAGACACAGGCTTTTGGCGTCGTCGGCAACCTTCCGCTCGATGCCGTTACTGGACCTCTGTTTTGAGCCATGGACTCTGACGTCAAAGATCCCTCATAGCTATGGTGGGGGAGACGCCGTTGCATTGGGATTCTGAGGAGGGGGGAGGGCAGAAAAGGAGCTTGGGTCTGTTGTTGAACCCCTCGTTTTGCTTCCACCCTTACCCATGAGTATGATCTCCCCGTGGATGAAGCAGCACAGACGAATTTCCCCAACTTTCCCCGGCATTCACGGCACGCACATCGCAGAGAGAGCGAAGAGCTCGGATCCTCGCAACGCAACGATGGAGAGGGACGGCAGCGGACTCGTCCAGAGTTTGCGACGGGATCCCAGACAAGGGCCGCTACAGGCCGACCACATCGCCGACGGACTTAGTCGGCAAGCAATTCATGCGACATGACACACCCAATTGGACGGACGGGCGGGTTGCCGTTTTGCTGCTCAGTCGTCCGTCCGTTCACGCACACACAACGCTCCAGCCACCTCGCTCACATTGGAAGCCGCCTTTGCCGCTGTTTGACGCCGCAACAGTGAGGGCGTGCCGGCGTTTGACGGCAATGATGGCCGGAACTGCGGGGCCTCGGCGTTGCCCACGATGAGCGGCTCTTACACGCCCAACTCTATCGCGCTTCCGATGTCAGTCGTCCCGCCATCGTTTTCCAGCGCCGGCTACTGGCTCCATACTCCATCGGCGACGGACTCAATCACCATCCCGTGAAACCCTAATACCCGCTTCGGTCGGCAGGGCTGACAAGACAGACCTCCATCTCAAGTCATGGTTGCTCGAAATCCCAATTGCCGGATAACTCAATGTATGGGAGTTCGACTCGTTCACAGGACAACTAGCCAACTATATCCCAGGATGCAACACAGAAACATCGTGGTGAACCGAACCCCTTTATTTTGTGCCTTGGTTTAAGGCGAGATCAAGGTTGTTTAAGGTTACGAGAAGCAAGGCCGAAAATGGAGGCGGCAGTAATACCTTTCACAGCCCCGGCACGGTGCGTCCTACACCATGCCGCAAATGGGGCTTTTACCATCTGTGTCGCCGGCAGACGGAACACCGTAGACGCTGCCGGCACTTGGACTTGACCTCCCGAAACCAACTCACACACACATACTGGAACACGACCTTGCTTTCATGACGCCGCGCCTGCTTTTACCGCCGGTAGCACGCCGATCTTTTGAAACCACCTCTTCAAGTGCCCATTAAACTCCTCGCTCTCGAGCTGATGAAACCAGTGGCCCTTGCCCTCGATCAACACGATCTCATCCAGCGCCTCATCACCCTTCGGCAGATGCTCACGATCAGTAGCGACATACCAATAGTTCGAACCCAGCGTCAGTCGCGGGCACTTGAGCTTTCCTCCAAAGGCCTTGACTGCGTTCTCTTGCCTGCCCAAGCTGTGCTCTGCGTCGCCCCAGCCGCCCCAGCAGAGCGCGTACATGACGGCTCCGTCGAACTGCGCCATGCGGCGGAGGTGCCATGTCTTTTGCCAGGCTGGGCATTCGGGAGAGTAGCAGTATGTGCTGAAGAACTCGACGAGCGTCGGGACGATCTTGTCCTTGGCGTCGGGCTCGTCAAAGAGGTAGGCGTCGCGTTCGCGGACGGCGTTGGAGAAGGCGTGGATTGGGTCTACGCCGATGGAGGCTTTTACGAGGTCCGGACGGGATGTGGCGATGTAGTACCCCGCTGCGTCGCCTAGGGAGTGAGAGACGACGACGAGGTTTTTGGTGATGTTGAGGTGGGATAGGAGAGCGAGCATGTCTTCGGCTGTGGATTGCGGGTAGTAGTCTATCACCTCCGGGTCGGCGGATTTCTCGGGGCCGGGCCAGGTGCGGATGGTGGGGTCGGGCGGCGGGGCGGAGGATTTGCCCTGGCCGCGGCTGTCGATGGAGATGACGCGGAGGTTGTGGGATAGGAGGAAGGGGACTTGCCAGGACCAGTCGTGCATTTCGCAGGAGAGGCCTGTGATGAGGAGGATTGTGTGGGTTGCGGTACGGGGGCCTTCGTCTAGGTAGAAGAGGTTGAAGGAGGGGTTTCGGGAGAAGTAGGGCATTTTGGGCGGTTGGAGATTTGGGTTGCGAGAGGTGGTGCGATGGGTTGTGTGAGTTTGATTTGAGAGATGTCACGATGGGTTGCGTGAGTTTAGTTGCTAGATGTCACGATGTAGATGGGTGCATTCCATGTTTTATGAGGTTGTGGGCGATGAGGTTTGTAGCGTTCCTTTGTCATACGAGGAAGCCATTCCCCCATTCATGTGTCAGCGTCCGGACGAGTTGCACTGGAGCAGATAAGCTGGATACTGGAAGGTAAGACATTTGCCCAGCAACCCGACCCCGCGAATTTACGATACCCAGTCGGTCTAATTGCTAAATCACTGGTTGAGAGTGTTGTGGACGGTGTGCTATCGCGGGGTTTGTGGCGTCTGGTTCGGAGAAGTGCATCTTACGTGAGATTGATTGTTCAGGCGGTCCGAGAACCGAACTTTTTGGTTCATGTGCAAAGTGAGGAGGCTTGGGAGGTCTTTCAGGCAATATATCAGCCATCATATCGTATGGAGTTGGTTTGTTATGCTTCAGAATTGAATGTTCGACTAAGTTGAGATCGACCGATGTACACCCTCCGAACAATACCTGATGGGCGACGAAGTTCGGGTTCGGGCTCGGTGCCGTGGGACCCGGACTGCGGGGTCGGGATCGGGGATGGCGGAGACTTGTCTGCTTTCCGAACCCGGGAGGCTGCATTATGTCAGCTATGGCCAATAGGTAAACAAACAGATGTGTGAGTGATACGAAGACGAGGGAAGATTTGTAAGGAAGGTACCACAGGAATTTGAACTATAGGTGAGAAGAGCGTGGCCTGACTCGGCCCGTGTTTAGCCTTTAGGTAGAAGAGTTGAACCCTGACACACTCTCCAGCAACTTTCCGGGCGACATCGTGCGAATTCCGCCCAAGCATAGCAGGTCTTCTGAATAGTCTAGTTTGGTTTGAGCTCTCGTCAAGATTATAGCTCTTCGACGACTGACTTTGTAAACATCGTCAATGAGGCTGGGCTATTAGCTGAACAATCTTCACTGACATGGCTTTGCTGTGCGTCGTGAGAAAAGTCATCATGACGCCTGGAATCCTTATGGAATGCAGTGAAACAATAAGACTGCTTAATCTAGATGATGGAATGAAATAACTTATAATAAGAAGGCTCTTCATGTGCTCTTTTGATACGCCCTTTTAAAAGAGAATTGCACTTCAAGCGACAGTTTCTGCGAGCTGTTTTATATGTATTTGACTTCCTAATCCACGATAACAGGTTTAAAACTATACGTAATCACTTTTGAAGAGTTTAACCCCTCAAAAACGGTGCAGGGATAACATTGGCAACTTCAAACGTCTGCCAGCCAGGTCATACGGCCAAATCTTGAAAAAGGGTACGCCACTGTGTTATCGACTGCTAGATTGTGTCAGTACCTGCCTTATGTTGCTATGAAGGGCAGTAGTAAGTTACACGTCAGTCCGACCCTTTAAAGTCTCTTCTACCTAGCTAACAATAGGTTTCAAGAAGGAGCATTGGTGGTAAAAGAGTAGAGATTAGAGATAGCTAGAGTCGAAAGTCGGCATCCAGCCCATGGCACTGAGCTCACGAAGACATGATATAATTAAATAGTACACCTTAGAACGCGCAATATTGTGATCCTAAGCGTCAGTCACCAGGTTCTGTCAGACAACTGACCGTCACACTGAGGACCGGAATTTAGCCTTCAGCAAGCCTCTCAGCAATGACTCAGTAGACTCACCAGCGCAAGTGATAGGAAACTTTAGAAACATCGACAAGTTCAGGTCGAATAGTATTAAGGGTTTGAAAATATTACTTAGGAATGCTTTCTGTTAAGTCACTTTCAATAATTTTGTCTTAGTCTCAGTAACAGGAGGGCAATGGAATTAAACGTGCCCTATGTCTTTAAACAGTAATAGTTCATCACGGAGCTTGCGGTCTACCCTTGTATAAGCCCTCGTGGACTCACATCAACTCCGTGTATGGAGTTTCTCTTTCTTCGTTCGCTATGTGATAATTATACAAGCCAAGTTGCATCCGCTCCATATTTCCATTGCTACGTACCATAACACTTGGCACCTTAGTCCCTAACATCCTGAGTCATCTGAGTGGCTGATTGTAACGAGACATGAATTTGGTAAGTGCTTCCCAGTGCCAGTAGCATTAGTTGCACTTCGGTGACACTTATTCATAAGGATACGGTAGACCTAATCTCTCCTAGCAATAGTTATGGCTTTGTTCCTCGTCGCTCCGTACCGCGAGGTGAGGTAGGTTTGGGGGCTGGCACGGGCTCCCCGCGCAATCAGGCTGGGGATATGTCGGACTTAGCTGCCGGGGTGCCTTTGGGAACATATGCAAGTTGGCTCACATCTGAATCCCAGAATCGCTGCCATATCTCCGAGCGATTGGCGCACCACTGACCGAACGTCTTGGCATGATGTGCGTTGCAACCAACAGAGAGACCAGTCAGGATCACGAGCCGACATCGTATGGGGGCCATGATAAGGTTGTCTCGCGGAAGCCTATCGCTGACCGCATGTAGCCTGCTTGAATAGAGACAGCTGTCCTGGGCGGAGGATTCCTCTCCGAAATACATGAAGGTCCTATGAACCAAGATATCCTACCTTAGACACATGACTGTTACGGTTCATAAGGATCGTTTTCTCAAAGTCGAATGCACGTTGGACACTCTTCGCGCAGTTGGTAATTCGCCAAAAGTGCAAGCGATACGACCAACCGAGAGACTTGGTGTATTCTTCTTATTATCCACCTTCCCACCTCTGTCTGTTCCCCGCCCTTTCCCCCCACACTCATCACGCAACACGCATGCATTAACAGACACATGCCTCGGTGCTTGAGCCTCAGCCTGCCTGAGCGCTTATACGTTTCCATTCAGTAATAAGGCCATGTCCGGTCTCAATGACACCCCTCAACCTCGGATTCCGTCAGTTTGTAATGATGCGAACCACCCCCGGCGAAGCCAAACAGGCGCAAGGCAATCAAGAGGTGCGCCACCTTCTCAATCAATCCAGTCAGAATTTGTGTGAGGAACTGGCAAGGATGCGAGTGATGCCGCCTAAAGCCACGTTCTTCGTGATGGTGTGCAGGTGCCCAGGTATCGCACATTACTTTATCTACTTTGACCGGTCCTAAAATAGGGACCACTCCCAGTTCAAATCGTCATATGAAATTCCCAGATCACTGCCTCCTTAGACACCGTACTATGCGAGGAGACGCTGTCACGGTCTCGCATTGTGCCATGCCCGACTCTGGAACCAATCAAGGCTATTCTGATAGCACGAGCAACAGACCCAGTCATTCGTAAGAGATCGAAGTCTACTATTATCGACTCCCAAGTCCTCTTCTATGCAAATGTGAAGGGCTCTTTTCATGGATGTGTTTCGGCTGACTCGGAGAACTGCGGTGTTACAGGTCCTCGGACTACAGAGTTATCTCCTCATTCGGCCAACGGATTACAGATAACCTATGCTTTAACCATGATGGCAATGAATTCTTACCGAATGACAGATTCGCTCAATTCTTCGATCAAAAAGGGGTGGCCGAAATTCTAAGCACGGCCGGCCTTAGCACTGACCCTAACCTCATCCATTTCGTGACGAACAATGCCACTTGTTTATTCCTGACCCTCGTGTCTATGTCAACGAATAGTGTTGAGAAGGTGTCTTTGTTGAGAGCTCTTAAATCCTATTCTCTCAACAACAACTCACTTCCTATTACATTTCGAGTGACGCAAGATGCTGCCGGCCGCAATACAATCTGGAATTGGCATCCTGCTTCATCCCTTGGCAGCTCCAGCTCACAAGACGCTCTTCACATTCGGGGCTGGGGTCACAACGAGAAAGCACTTTTCAACGTCTATCAGTGGAGATTCATCGCCCCGACATTCGGAGAAGGCCAACGTTTTCGGTTTTGGTTCCCGAATGAGATGGTACTTCCGTACGTAGCAGTCAATCGCAGAGCAGAAAGCAAGGGATTTTTTGGCGAGGTGTTCAAAGTCAACGTTCATCCAGCACATATCAAGGCCCAGAGAACGGCTAGAGTAAGCGCTCAACTCCGGGCATCGCATGCTTACCTACATTGATCACATACTGATGGCGCTACACAGAACCAAGACGGCACCGTAGCGGTCGCATTGAAGAAGGCAAATGATGATCCTGGACTTCGCGAATTCTTTGACAGGGAGGCAAAGAATCTCCAGGAGCTCAGAAACTACAAGTCATACCACCTGATCAAGCCCATTGCGGCTTACGAACACCGTGGAGATCGCTGCCTTCTCTTCCCTTGGGCAGAAGGGGGAAATCTGGCCCAGTATTGGAGTCGTAACCCTGGGAATACTCTGACTAAAGTCGAGCTTGCATGGACTTTTCGCCAGCTCACTGGCCTATTCGGTGCTCTCGAAGAACTGCATCAGAGCAATTGCAGACATGGGGACCTGAAGCCCGAGAACATTCTATTGTTTATCGATGTGAACAACAAAAAGACGCTGCAAATCGCCGACCTAGGGCTCACTACTTTCCACGAACTAGATGCTGCGACCAGGATCCGAAGAGCCAAAGAGATTCTCACCATGACGCCGCCGGGAACTTCTCGGTATGAACCTCCTGAGATGGACAAAGATCGAGACAAGAAGCTACCCGCCCACGAAACTCGTTCAAGAGCATATGACATCTGGTCCATGGGCTGTGTTATCTTAGAGGTGCTGATTTGGATTTCCTACGGCTTTGACACAGTGAAAAAGTTCAGGGACGAAACCGCATACCTTTGGGAGCGGGAGCGAGCGAGAGGCAACGAAAAGAGATATCGTGTCCAAACCGACACACGAAGTCATATGATAGCTCTCTCGAAAGCATTTCAAGCGCAGCCAGCGTGGAGAGAACTCTTGACGCTTGTGGAAACAAGGCTTCTCGTCGTCAACGTGTCAGACAACTGGAACGTTAGCTCGCCTAAGCACCGCGAAACGGCATCTGCAGCTCATAGGCAGATGATAATAATCCAGAGAAAGTACTACCCTGTGTGAGTTTCGATAGGAGAGAAACTCCAGTCCTCGCAGGTGATCAATGGCCAACCCAAAAGTAGCATCACGGACGAAGGACTGGCCACAGGATACGACTCTCAAAGCAATGGCCACAAACCTTCGCTCCCTGCCCACGAAGACAATCTCGACGAGTTTGACGGACTCGTTGGTATTGAGCGCAAGGCTACGGATGAGCTGGAGCCAAAATCTAAGCAGTCTCTGGCGGAGGGCAAGGCATACGAGGGGACTGCTAGGCTCGAAGAAGTAAGTGGACTCATCGGCAGGGAAATATAAGAGAGCGGCCGAATACTAACTGGAGACTGTCTTTAGTATGTCAGGATATCTTATTATTAGAGAGGTGAGAGATTTATCATGCTAACTTTTTCGCACATTAGAATGTAAGTCACCAACCCATCTCAACGAAATGCTTTCGGATACCGCAGCTATTGATTCCGTTCTGAACCAGTCGGTGAGTTGAAGCTCAGGTTGTAGAAGAGCGCAACTTGCTAATGATGTGGCAGTTTGTAAGTTTACTAGGCTCAATTTTACTTTGATGCACAAGTCCGAAAGTCGTTAACGTCTGGCTTGCACAGCAACGAAGCCAGCTCAATGACTCTTGGGATTCTTTTGCCGACAATTTATTTGCTTCCCAGGTTTTAAGCAAAATTGACTGGGGTGGAATGGGACCTTTATTCACAGGGAAGAAGATCTTTTGCGCGAAATGCAGCGCAGTGTCATCGCAAGCTCTGTTCCCACACGAGTTCAGACCGTCAGACGCTCAATTACACTGCGATCTGTGCAGTATACTTCTCGGCGCTCTTGAACGAGTCTATGCTGTGGTTCCAGAGCTTGTGAGGCTACGCCAGAATCATACGATAGTTGGAGTCGAAGACGGGCCAAATCTTCTCTCAATATATGTCGAACCAGGTACGCAGCTAAGAGTCTTGAAGGATTCAAACTTTGCTTCAGCTAATATGTACACCAAGGTCAAGACATCCCGCCTGGAAGACAGATCGGTTTACCAAGACTTCCTGGAATGAACAGCCCAGAACAGCTCACTCTGTTGAAACAGTGGCTACATAGCTGTGATTTGACACATAACGCGTGTAATCGTCACGCGGCACAAGAAGACCTGGGAATGCCAACTCGCCTTGTCAAAGTCACGGAGCCAATTCAAGTCTTGAATTGTAGTACAATGGGGCCTTCAAGTTGCCAATACATAGCTCTAAGCCACTGTTGGGGTCAGCTGAAGAAGCACGAACGATTTTGCCTCTATCGCGACAACTATTCTCAACTACAGGAACATGTAGACTTCGATAACTTACCAAAAACCTTTCAGGATGCAATCACAGTCACTCGCGGCCTCGGAATAGACTACATTTGGATTGATACTTTGTGTATTATTCAGGATGACAAGACGGATTGGGAAAGGGAGTCAACAAAGATGGAAGAGGTTTTCAGTGCGGCATATTGTACTATCAGTGCAGCTTCTGCCAAATCCTCACTCGATGGCTTCCTATCCGATCGTGCGCCTAGGCCCAGCGTTCATCTACGGGTGAAGGATCTGCCAGACGTGCTCTATGTGTGCGCACACATCGACAACTTCCATCAAGATGTCGAGCTGGCGGAGATCAACAGGCGAGGCTGGGTCTTGCAGGAAAGAGCTCTATCAAGACGCTCCATATATTTTACTCCAACCCAGGTATACTGGGAATGTGGATTTGGAATACGGTGTGAGACTCTGGGTCGGTTGTACAAGTAAGCTGAAGCTGGGCCTGATCCCGAAGACGGAGATGAAAGACTATCTAACTTTGTCACCCATAGCTCGAAAGCTGTGTTTCTTGGGGATGCCAACTTTCCCCAGTCTGCTTTGGAATACTACCGAGATGGGAGGCAGCTTCTGATTCAAGATCTGTACGAGAGGTACTCTGCACTTGCATTTACGATGGCTTCCGATAGGGCCGTCGCAATTCTAGGTCTTCAGACGAGACTGGCTCGGGCACTCAAAACTCAAGCCGCACACGGGTCCTTCGAGAAATATTTCGCGCGGAGTATCCTGTGGAAGCGCGATCAACCAGCAGACATGACAATCATCACTCAGTCGACGTGGCTTGTTCCAACTTGGTCGTGGTTCTCTAAGACCGGAAAGATTCAGTATATGGACCTCGAATTCGATAAGATTGAGTGGGCGAATACAGACTTTGAAAGCCCTTTCTCTCGTCATCCAGATATGCTCTCAGGAGCGTCATATTATGGTCGCGACGAAGACCATACTATTCTTCGGGGGGTTGCAAGAGGCATTGACGTCAGCGAAGAGCAGATTGCATCACAAGTTTGTTTCGACCGGGAATATGAGCTCAAAGCCGAAGACTTACGGGTTATCATCATCGGCCGTGACAAGGAAGACCTCTGCGCGAAAGTTCACGTACTTGTCATTTGCAAAAGCCAGAACGATTCTCGAATCAATCGTTACGAACGGATAGGGGTTGCATCCATTCTAGAGAAGCAAGTTTCGAAGAACTGGGCCTGGGTCGACATCTGGTAATTTTCTGCTTCTTCTCGTGTCTGTACTCTGATACAGAAACGAACATAACCTCTATTTCCGCATGCCTTGGGGCTTGTTTCTGCATTCAGATTATGTAATTTCATCACCACCTCCGTCCTCAAAGCCATCTGCCTCCAGGCGTTCTGTCATTCTCTATGATTGGTTTGTAATGGTGTACAGCGGCACAACTTGAAGAGGTAGCTGAGGCTCAGGGGCATAGAAGGGGGGTAGGTGGACGCCCAGATAGCCGCACGGGCATACAAAACGACCACCGGGGACTCCCCCCTGGTCTTTGTTATTGTTTGGCCTCTCTTTTTTGCCTTTCTTGTCCACCCCGGAAAAGAAACGTGACAATCAAATATTGGAGGACAGCTCATTCGGAGTTGTGGATTGGTGCTGATGTTGCGCTAGGCATCCTGTCAGAACCCGCCACTTCGCATTAGCCTTTAACGCGGTATCATTCGCGCAGACCTCCCGCCCAATTAATGAGTTGTAATTGCAGTTTTACGGTGTGTCGGCCACCTGGAGGTTTCTACTTTCTCGACGTACTGAAGTTTGGCTAAGTGTCCAATGCCTACCTTACTGAATCACCTGGAGCTGAATTGCATCGGAGCCTGTGCTTATTATAGGGCGTAGTAGGCTCTATGAACTTCATGTTCTTCATGGTTACCTTGAACTAGGAAAGCTTGGGAGAGAGGCTGGGTCAATCGGGAGGGCGATGGCGGAGCAATATGGTACTGCCAACTGGCGGTGAGACCGGCTGATATTGGTGATATGTAGGACAAAGTCGTATTCAAACGATCTGGAATTATTACACAGCCCCAATCCTCTCAAGTCCTGAGGTCGAATGGCCCCCATCAATCTATGGCCCCCAAGCCCCCTACATTCCTCCCCTGGCGCAGCGCGCCTAGCCGAGATTACTGGTCAGCCCAGCCGGTAAGACAACTGCCTCGGGCACTCTCAGGCAACGAGGCTTTCTCTCAGACAGATCGGGCTCTCAGCCTTGAGCTCTTGGTTACGGGTGACATGGTGAGCAGACAAAATCAAGCTGGCTTCTGTTCTTCCTTTCAAGAACTACCAGACAGGTTTACCTCCCTACCTTCTGTTTCCATTCTGACAGTGGCAACATATTGAATAGCCACCAAGGCAGATGCATCAATCCCAACTCAACATGCTCACCCTATCAAGAGTCGACGACATACCCAACTGTAGCCCCACCGACGCACAACGACTGCCCCAGCGCATACCCCTGGCAACGACGAACCAGGGGAGTCAACCTACAACCAAATCAAACTCGGGACACGTCAAGAATGAGCATGTGGACATTGGTAGCACCGTAAATAATTCTCAAGGCGCCTCAAATACGCCCGAGAAAGCCGCAAGCCCTCTGCTATCGAACAAGGGGCACGACGTGTCTTCAAGTTGCTATAGAACCCCAAGGATCACGACAGATGCGCTATTTGCATGGCACGCTGATTTCCCAGGTGGAGCAGCCATTGGGAGCCGCGACTACAACACAATTGAGGCATCGATTTTGCATCGAAAAAGTCTCGGGCTTTCTGAGTCTGGCAAGACAGATGCTGTCGTATCTGTTCACGATTTAGGTTTCAGCGCGGTACCTTGGTCAACACACCACTCCCGCAGCCGCAGTCCCAGCCAAAGCGATGTCTTCGATCATATATCATGCGAAGGAGATTCAGCGCAGCACATTCACTCAGCTGCGGAGATAGAAGATGATATTCGACACAGAATAGAGAGCAATCTTAGCTGGAGCGGAATGGACAAGAAGGAATACCTTCCAGTCGATTCATTCGAGAAGATCTTCAACATCAAAACCATGATGTCTCTCATCAGGGCTCTCTACCAAGATGCCTTTGAAGAAGAAATCATTCATAAGGCTGGCCAGATCTGGGGTGATGAAACGGGCAGCCGGCGAAGAATCGCCGCCACATTGGTGTTCATGCAGCAGACAAGCCACATCGAAGACTTCATCCAGGAAAATATCTTCGATCACCACCTACCACTGTGCAGTGAGATGAAGAGCAAGAAAGACTTCCGAACTCTCGGTGATGACCGCGTCAACACGACGCTTTTCCAAAATTGGGAGCGCGTTCACATCGATCTGTTCTATGTTTATCAGAAAATAATATTCGTTCCTTTCTTAAGCATGGGAAATGAGACTCTTTGCTCATATGTTTTCGATGGCGACGTTAGGCTTCCATGGGATAAGTTCGAGCAGAATGCGGTCGGTGGACATGGAATAATCTACAGGCTCGAGATTCACCAAAGCCACCACGACTACAAAGGGAATAATGTAAGAGGTTCAAACATATCTTAGTTGAAGTTTTTGCTGATGATTTTGCTGCAAGACCCCGGGCCGACCACCTTGCTTTGCAGTCAAGGAGATAAATGGCGCTGACCACGAATCCTACCGCAAGGAGCTTAGAGCCCTCGAACAAGCATGTGCCAAGGTGCGGAAGGAAAAACATCTAATAAAGCTACTTCTTACTTATCAGCATGGTAACAAGCCATATCTTGTCTTTGAGTGGGCAGATGGTAACTTGGAGCAATTCTGGAAAAAGAGACAGGTGGAGAAACTGCCCTTGGCGACAAAGTGGATGGCTCGGCAATGCCGTGGTATTGTCAATGCCATTAAACGCATTCATGGACTCGCAACATGGCAGAAGGACGAGAGGTCATCAAACGTCAATTCTGAAGAGGCGGTTGTTAAAGATTGGGGCCGGCATGGCGACATCAAGCCGACTAACATCTTGTGGTTTTCAACCTACGGAGAATATCGGGATCATCTCGTTGTTGCTGACTTAGGATTGACACGATATCACTCCAGGCTCACAAAGTCCCGCGTCATGAGAGTAGACGGCTATACTGGAACCTACCGGGCTCCAGAAATCGACCTTGGCAATCCCATCTCTTCCAAGTATGACATTTGGTCCCTTGGATGTGTTTTTCTCGAGTTTTGCATCTGGTATTTACTTGGGTATGATGATGTTGAGAATTTCCAGAGAGACCGCAATCTCAATCGCTGGCCAGATGATGTGGATGACATAGGAGAGCCTGACCACGGGTACTTCGTTGCTTCGCATATACCCCAGGGGGGTAAACAAGCTGAGCTCCACCCAGCTGTACACAACGTAAGTTCAGTCCCTGCACTGTCAAGGCTTATGAATCGCAAATCTAATACTCTTGCCACTAGTGGGTTGAAAGATTGAGGGGGTTGGCCCCCTGTACAGGCTTCGTCCGAGAGATGCTGGATCTGATCATGAAACGAATGCTCGTTGTTGATCCTAAACAAAGATACTCTATCGACATGATTTCTACGGAACTTGCAAACATTGAACCCTCGCTGCGAGAAACATCTGAGAGCTTTGCCCCCTTGTCGGGTACTGCGAAAAAAACCTATCTTTCACCGGAGCCAAAGTCTTCCAAGGTAAGTTATGCCATCGCTCTGATAGAGGCAGTTTAATAACTCTCTATCCATAGGGTCATCTCCGAGTGCCAGGATCTCCTGCAAGCTTGGTAACATTCGCAGAAGGAAATTGTGTCATCCCTGATAGTATCATGTCAAGCGTGTGTAGTCGACAACGATCGCTATCAATTGAATCTAACAATGTGGACTCGGACGACGGTTCATGGAACGACCGGAGCACGGCTGCGACCAGCGTATTTGGTGAAGAACCAGAAGATCATTCACCGATGCCGAATGTCATGATATCGTAGTCTATCATCAATCATAGGATATACACACTGTTCCGATACTAAGGCAACGATGACAAGAGGATTATGGAAACTGCGAGAGGTCGATGCATTTGTTGGCTAGACAGCGTCTGATATCGCGGCGCTGGGGAGAATAATTCTGTGGAGCGCTTTATACGTAAGTACTACCCAACCGGGTACGCTCACTCTGCGTCGTCATGAAAACATGAACTCTCCGAATTCTGCTGATCAGGAAACTGCCAATTTAGATGAACTGGAATGAAGTGTACTTGTGTCAAGAGAAGCACTCTAACATTTGGTAATATGGATGAATACTTTTGTTTCATACCTAGCTCAAACTTTCCCCTATAGTAGGTACCTAGGGATATCCATGTTCTTTTCAGAGGCCGAAGTCCAAGGGCTATGAATAACTAAAAAGGGCTAACCTAAATTTGAGTAGCTCGGCTGTGACACAGGGTTCGAACATTCCATCTTTCAAGGTAATTGTTGGAACAGCAAAGGCTGATAAGGAGTAATAGGCAGGTACCATGGGCTGGCTGGCACCTGCCCTGGGCGAAGTGGGACAACTGGCTTAGTCATCACGGCCGGATAAAGGTGGGGCAACCACTCTAATTATCGTATCCTTATCACCCTGCCGTTTCGGGAACGCAACTCCACCCGTAAAAGGTGGCACTTCCGCTGGGTTCTGAACCTTCCTGCCTCTTTCTCTAATTATTGTGTCTTTATCGCTCTGGCGTTTCGGTAACGCGACTCCGCCGGTGAATGGTGGGGCTTTGGCTGCGTTCTTGACACGACTAACATTCTCGACGCTGCTAAGCATATAATCAGCATAAAGAGTACCTAGCTAGAGCTTTCGCTAAACTTACGTAGACTCAACGGGAAGGGCGCTAGCCTCGAACAGAGATACAGCAACGACAAGTACGGAGAGTAACTTCATGATGACTATTGTTTGACCGTGACGAGAGTAGATTGGCTTAAATAAAGGCAACTCTCTTTCAGCCGTAGGACGACTTTGAGCCTTTATAGTGCTTCCCTCTTCTTACAATCGGCCTCGGTGTTTTGTATTAAATCCCTAAGACCGTGTTGCTGGTGCACGCAAGGTTCAAGGCGACGTTTCTGTGTGTTTTGGAAACACGACTCGCGCTGTAAGGTCGTTTCCAGTCGCCAGGGACGGCCTTTTTTCGCCGAGTGACCTCGTAATAAAGGCGCCTGATAAACTTTAAGGCTTGATTCAGAAGGCGCGCTACCCAAAGATAGTTGTCGCAATCATCCGAACTTTTGAGTGATCACTGGAAATCATGCCAAGTCTGGCCTTGTAGTACGAGCCCGTGTGACACACTCATGCTCTCTTTCCTGTGTACATGGAGTGTTGCAAATGTCTTGATTCTACGTTTGGGCATGTGTTCGGTGGCAGTCATCTCGACGATTATCACGTTTTTGGCCACGGCTATCAAATGCATTCTATTGAATAGGTCTGGTTTCAATCCCGAGCAACCTTTCGATACAAGACAGATATGGCCGTCATCACAACGTTCATCATTAGGCAGACTTAGTCACTTAAGCTATTCGTCATTTCGTGGTTTCCGAAAACATGAATCCTTTTTTCCCATGTTCTAATATGGTCGCATCAATATCTACAAGCACCCTCTGCCTGACATGTCACATGAGCAATTGGCTCTATCCATCCTACGAACCTGATATAAGACATCCACCGCTTAGGCGGCTTCAGCAGCCGCAGCTCCAGCTCCCGTAGACAAGTTGGCTTTCTTGCCAGTTTCCTTGCCATTACCTCCGTTCTTCTTCTTTCCGTCGTCAACCGCAGTACCGTTGTTCTTATTTCCAGCCTGGTTTCCCTTGCCGTTATCCTTGCCCTTGCTCTTGTCGGCATTCGCGTTTCCATTGTTCTTCTTCCCATCCTTGTTGTTGTTATTGCTGTTGGCGCCGGCGTTGGCATTTCCATTTGCCTTGCCATTGTTGTTCTTCTTGGCGTTCTTCTTACATCTGCATGCTTTGCCCTTTGCGTCTTTGCCCCTTTTCTTTCCCTTTGCGCAGCCCTGACAGTTGTTTTTGTTATTCTTCTTGCCGTCGTTGTTCTTGCCACCTCCTGCAATCCAATTAGCCTAATGATCAAAAGCGCATTGTCATATCTCCTACCAGCAGTGTTGTTGGCCTGGCGTGCTATGAGCTCGCCAAAAGTGGCAGCCTCGTCAATGTCACGGGTGGTGAGATCACTCTCATCATCCTCTTCGGCTCTGTCTTCAATCGAGAAAGGATGCAGAGCCGAATCTTGTTCATCTCTATCGACAAAAGTAGGACTGTCTGTGATAGCCTCAAGGTCTCGGGCAATCTCGTCGCGGGTAGCGATTAGCCCGGCGTCTGTGATAGCTGCCGCGGCGAGGCCAGCCAGAAAGAGAACGGAAATGGGCTTCATTGTTGTTGGAGTGAATGTAAGAGCCTGTGGCGTATAGAAATCCGAACGTCAAATACTGAGGGTGTAGGGAAAGGCGAGATATCAAGTATCTATAGACTGGAAGGTGAAAGTGGGTAAGAAAAGAAAGGAAAGCGTCCGGCGCAATGATGCAATCTGGCTGCTGTTGGTGTGATGCTGGTTTCAAGGCCCGAATAATTGAAGGGAATATTCTATGCTTTATAGATGTAGCCGGCATAGAGTCAATGGGCAGATTCGAGCAACGTGATCAAATACATGTTGAGCAGCGAGCTGTGCTGGCCTGACACCCCCTGGTCTGTCAACTCAACCCTCTACACATCGTGCCGGCGTAACCGAACGTCGTCAAAACAATTAAGATGATGTCCTCAGGTCCGTGGGAAAATGATGTGCATGTTGCACAGCCATCGAGGATTTGTGTTCATCTGGTGTCATGTAAGTGCTGCCATCCCTTCACTAGGAAAGTCTGTATGGAGACCTCAAGTTCGGATTCGGCTGTAAGCGGAATTTTCTGCAACGCTTTAGACGAAGACATCGCCTGAAAATCCAGTACGTATCGAGCAATATGGCTAGCTTGTATGATCATCAAACCAAGCATTCGGTCTTCTGCTTGGGGGGCCGGCAGGTTTGTGCCGACTTACTTAGCACCGCCTCCATTGCTTCAAATTTCCATGGAAAACTGGATTGGTGCGAAGCTTTTGTCGCAGATCATTGTCGCCGCGGGGAAAGAATCTGCGGAGGCCGAGGCCAGCGGTTGAAGGATTGGACGTGAAAGGAACAGGCGGCCTGGGCCAACTGACTAGGTCGGTTGGCTCGTGCCGAACAGCTCTGACACCACACGACAGGAGCTAGTGAGTGAGAATCTGCTGTCTCGTGTGAGATTCCTTTTTGGGCCTTCTGAGACAGCGGTTATTCGATGGCAATCGACAGGCGATCCTTCTCAGTCTCATGCTTGAGACGTATTAGAGTTAAAATGTTGAGCTGAACAGTTCATTGCTCGTTGGATTCCACGAACTTGGTCAATCGCAGGCCCCTGACATGAACGCTGAACAATCCAGACTAAGGTGTGTTGCGCGTCCCTACTTGCTTAGATGCCCGATCCGGGCGTTTGACTACGTAGACTATCATCCGAGCTTCTCTTTGCGGTTCTCTCTACAGATTCTGGAGCAATTGATCTCGACGTTACAACCTATCCGATTATCCGCGAATTATCTACCTGAGGGGCTAGGAGCTTTTTGCCGCGGAAACTAGTTGCCGTGTATATGTCAGCGATCACCTGGGATTAAAGTTGTCTCGAGTAAATTTAGTGTTGAGCAGGTTTTACCGGGTGGGTTGAGCCTCTCTTCAAGAGCCGTCCTCTCCAAGCGAGGTATACCCCTGCTCATAATCCATCCCGCCACCGTGGAACTGATATGATGCTCTGCCGCGATCCGAGCTGCCCGCATGTTGAGGAAGACATCAAAAAGTGTGCCCATTATGATGAGATGAGTTCTGTCAGATCGAATGGCAGGCTCCCATCCTTCTCCTCACGAGCAGAAACGGCCAGAGGAGTTGGACGAGCTCAACCGTGCGATGGCTACCCGAGTCAACCAGTAATGATTAGATGATTATTGGCGCTTCAAGTTTATTTGGACTGGAGTCTGGAAAGTCACCGGTCCGTGTTTAGAGATTCTCACGTGGTAACTAAATATCTTCTGAATCTCCCGACGGGATAGGATTCTTCACTGATGCTCGGAGCTTCGAGAGCAATACGCGATGATTAATCACTTCTCCGACGAGTAACCATGCATCGGGCCACAGGAAGCATTAGAATTCAGATGGGCATATGATGGCCGGTTTTGGGAAGGGATTCTGCTTGGCAGAGGGTCACCACAGAAGGTGTGAAATGTCTTCTAAGGGAAAAGGGGAAATGCGTTGGCTCATAAATGTGGTGGCCGATGTCCCCTGCGTGGCCTTGGGTCGGAGGAAGTCATTTTAATTAGTTGATGGAGTATAAGGGTTGTACAGCGTGTGCTGTTACGTCCAAGTTGACTGGTGCTTTCTGCAGTGGGAAGACAGTGTAATGATCTGAAATGAATAGGTAGCTATCGTGTTCTGGAATATAGCAATGATAGCCAACTTTTCACACTTGCAATTTCTCTGATTTTGCTCTTGGTGGTGCCGACGTGTATCGGTATTACTCCGATCGTCGTCCTAAACGACGATCCCAACGTGATCTGAATTGTATGCTCAACCAGAAAAAAAAAGACGAACGCCTGTCTTCTGGGAATGAGGCTCTCTGTGGCTCTACGTAATGTCCGCCTCGCTTCCCAGTGCGATCAACCCGTGGGTCGTGTTTGCCTTCTCCCACCTAGCCTGACTGATTGCGGCAATGTTGATGCGGTACGCGACCCTGTCATGTCTGCGTGCAACCTGAAGTGCAACCATCTTCTTCTCAAACTCTGGAGGTGCCGTATTATCTGCGATCACCACAAATTCGTACTCCCCGCTCTCACTCGCCCCTGCATCACAGTTTCCTTTGCATCGGCCAGTCTCGCCCACAACCCTGCCATTGGCATCAATGATACGCTGGACGTAATATGCATGCTGGTCTTTTTCAAGCGGATTCCAGTCAGGTTGCCACAGGTCTGACTTGATAGGATCGGTCACCCGAAAGCGCGCCGAGTCGGCCCAGAAAAATAGTAACTGGTCATCGGGTATCTGTTTCAGTACGTCGGTCTTCAAGTCAGGGTAAAAGCCCTGGATCATGTCAAGTGAAACTGCAGGGCTTCCACGTGGAACGGATGGGATATTGGGATTATCCAAAAACAAGTGGCGGACCTGAACCAGTCTCAAAGTTTGGTCGCATCTCAGAACGTAGCAAGATGTCACGAGTTATGGCACGCAGCAATGGGCATATGAAGTGTGGTAAAAGTGGCTTGTATTAACCCAAATAAAATCGAGCAAGGAAAGGTGCTATATAGGAACAAATGAGAGAATAACGTGATAACGCACGTGATGGGCTGATTACAGAGTGCTGATGCTATTCCTATTTCGTGACAGATTGTGTGGTTGACAGTTACAAGGTGGCTCGATCTTCTCTACCTTCCCGATCGGCTCAGGCAGTTGGGCGACACTTTCGGGAACCAGCATGGCCACTCCTTACGTGAGTAGTACAGCGAGAAGATGTGATTCGAGTTCATGTTTTGACTGATTCCCACTAGATCTCCGGTGTTGCTGCCCTATTCTTCTCATCCCGCGGCGGACGAGCTGCCCTCGGAAGTGGTGGTGCCAAGCTGGCTCACGAAGTGATTGTTGCCAGCGGCAAACCCATTCGTCATTACGATGGCACTGATAACCTCGCGTGAGTATTCTCAACAAACTTCAATCTGAGTAGTAGAGCTGACGTAAGGCCTCTTTGACTAGATCCGTGATTCATCAGGGAGCAGGTCTGGTTGATGCATTCAAAGTCGTGGGCTACTCGACCCTCGTCAGCCCAGCAGTGCTCAACCTCAACGATACAGAGCATTTCCAGGGTACTCAAAGTGTACAAATCACCAACTCTGGTGATGAGTCTGTGACGTATCAATTCTCCCACGAAGCCGGCATTAATGCCCTCACTAAGAGTGCCGGGACTGCGTGGGTATCTGTCTCTCCTCCTTACGTTTCCGGGGATGGAAACACCGCCACGGTCGAGTTTTCGCCCGCTGAGTTGACCTTGGGACCCGGTTAAAGCGGTTCTGTCTCTGTTACTTTCACTGAGCCGTCCGCGCCTGATGCTATCACCCTTCCAGTGTGTATGGTGGGTCAATTGTAGTGGCTGGCTCCCAGGGAGAAGCGGTACGGGTGTCCTACATGGGTAAGTCATTTACATTTCAGAACCACCTCGAACTAAGCTCACCAGTCTCCAGGAATCAAGGGCTCTCTGTATGATAGTGATATCTGGGAGATGGAGCGAGGCGTTCCCCTACTACTCAGTGGATATGGCGGCCTCATTGAGGAGGGCCATAACTACACATACGAGGAAGGTGGCGATGTTCCGCAGCCGTACTTCAATGTCCTCTGGTCAACTCAAGAAATCAGCTTCGATGTAAGACTGAGCCTCTCATCTGTTGCCACATGACTCTAACACTCTACTACTAGTATGTCGCGCGCGACTGGAATGAGACAGACTGGGCCTACCCAGTAGTCCCCGGGCAGGCCAAATATCTTGGTTCCTTCATCACAGTTCCTCAAGGTCTGTCGGATTCGATCACTTCGTTCCCTCTGAGGAACTACCCACGAAACGGCGGCGGTGTCTATGCCCCTCCGCAGAATGTTTTCGCGCATGGAGGTGATATCCCGGCTGGCAAGTACCGCATTCTCTGCCGTGCCCTGCGCACTTTCGGCGATCCCAGCAACTTGGACGACTGGCAGTACAAGGTCTCACCATGGTTCCGCATCACCAGGGAGAAGCCTCCTGTAACTGCGACTCCCACAACGGCGGAAGCTACTGCGGCTCCAACGACATCTTCCGTCAGTTTGCCAGAGCCATGCGCCGCAACTTCGACGCCAGTCAGCATCGAAGCAACCCTTGCTTCCGGCGAAGGTCCTTACAACTTATATCTCTACGCTGACTTTGCTTCAATCGATCCGACTGGAACGCAAACTCCATTGAACTTCTCCACCACCAACGGCACTCAGGTTCAGACCTGGTTTAACTCGTCTTGGAGATTCCTATCCGTGCACACCAACACTAACAGCTTGATCTACGTATACGCGTCGAGCCGTGTGACTGGGGCCTTCTCGTTCCTTGGGTGCACTGTCACAGATGGTGTTTTGGGATGCGAATCGAACGGCAAGTTCGCGCTTTACGTTTGCGACAGCGCCACTGGTCTCCTACGTCACGGAACCCAGCCCCTTGACGGGTGCCAGACTGTCACTCTCAAAGTTGGGCCGAGAGAGAATCCGAACTGCGCAGCTACGACGACGTCTGTCACTGCTACCGAAATAACAGCGGCGCCGACTACTTCGTCAACTGCAGTAATCTCGGTTTCGTCTTCTTCAATGGAATCTACGAATACATTGGGTCATAGTTATCTTGGACAAATGCTTGCCAGAATGATGTCACTAATGGAGTGACTACCGTCTGTTATCCCTGGACATAATTTTCCTAATGTATTTACAAATTTGATCAGTACTTAATGTTTTATGCACAAAGTCCCCTCATAACCTGAAGTCACTTGTTGAATGCGCTGATGAGAATACCCATGGCTATTTGTTTGCACATTTGCTCGTTAAAATACTATGTACACGATGAACCAACTTGCACCAGATAATTCCCATAGCTCGTACGTTAAAAACCCCACCATCAACTCCAGTCATCACATTTTTTCAACTGATCCTTAGTTAGGGTAGTCCTTCAACAAGATTCCGTAGCCCTCAAGCAGGGACGGGCCTCCGGCAACAACCGTGATCTGGTCATTGGTTCCGACGACAACACCATAGAGATACCGATCTCCATTCTCATTAATCCAGAAAGGACCTCCAGACTGTCCGCCCTGAGCATCGGCGTCAGTCACAACAGGGGAGCCCCTGTCGCACAGCGTTGCGGACGAAGCCGTGATAGCCTCTTGACGGTAAGCCTGCTGGCCGCCCTTGTCACCAGGGTATCCGTAGTGGAAGAACATGGCGCGGTTAAGCTGAGTGTCAGGGTTCACCGTCTTCAGCCCAAGCCAGCCGTTGGTGGATCCAGCCTTCTCGCCCAGGACGAAGATGGCCCAGTCGTAGGCATTGGCGCACCAGCCTTCTTGGCCGTAGTCAGGACGGAAGATACGGATCACGTCGTAGCCGCCGAGGACCTCGCCGTTGTCATAGGCGGGCTGGAAGCGGGCAGTCGCTCCATTCTCTGGGATGCAGTGGCGAGCTGTGACAACGTGGCGGGAACCGATCAAGGCACCACTACAGATTGCGCCGTTGGAGAGTGCGATTCTGCCCATGGCACGGTACGGGTAGTCCTTGTTGTTCCAGAGAACGCGGTTGTCGACACCTCCAATGATGCCGCGCTTGGAGGGCTGGGAAGACCCGGGGTTTGAGGGGGGGAAGTCCGTGAAGTTGGCATCTTGGCCGGTGAGACTAAGAGTGATAACCTCGGGGACAACTCCGGCGACCTTGCGCTCCTTGAGCGAGGAGACAATGGTAGGGTCGAAGCCGATGGGCTTTATCAAAGTGGATGGGTCGGGCAGGTTGGCACCTTCGACTATGGGGGCAGCGAACGCGCATGATCCCAAAGAGAGAGCCGCGGTAACCGCCAAAGGAACAAAGCGAGCCATTGTGAAGTGAGGGCTTGAGGAGAGACTAGTTGGTGGTGATTGGGATGTGAGACTGAGATGAACTGATCCTAAACGCTAACAAGTCTGAGAGCCATGGAGACTTTATACTTCAACAACTTGAATGTTGGAACATATCGCATTGAGACCATCTCTACCAAGTCGTGCCCCGAAGCTGCCGAAGCTGGGGAAGTTCCCTGGAATCATTGCTGCCTGGGAATGCATGCTACGTTGACTTGGACCCCATCAAGGCTCTAAAGGATGTTGCTAAGCAGTTGGACTGGGCTGGGGTAAGTTGGCCCCCAAGCATCGTCGGACTGGAAAGCGAGCATAAGCGCCTAGAACGTTCGCTCGGGAACTAGAGAACGGGTAGGATTCTACCACTGCGCTATGAGTGCGAGCGGCTATCCAGAAGTCCGCCCTGTCGATCTGACTACAGGGCTAGAACATCAGGCGACGACGAGAGGCCGTTGCAAAGGAATGCTTGGCGCATCCAGAGGAACATGAGAAATGGGATGCTTTTCAGGGGACGGTTGAATAGTCTTGCAGTGCTGATAGGTGAGATCGCGTTTATCCCTGTTCATTTTTTAGGTTGCGAGATTGAGCTGAGGCGGAAGCAGTCAGACGAACTCCACAGAATCCTTCAGGGCTATGTTAGGTTGAAGGCAACTCAAGGATGCGGGTAGCGAAAACAAAGTCAATCAGACGAACCGTAGAGTGCATCTACGATTGTGTGGCGTCTTCAGTAGTTACCAACTACCTTATGCATAATTCCCCTACATCTGAAACTTCTCTTTTGAATTTCGCTTTCTCGTGTACAGAAGGCATCACCGTTGTTGCTCTCTGAAAGAACCGCAAGCGGTAAAGATCGTTGCATACGGTTCTCTGATCGTCTCAACTCTTCAAGCATCCGAATTCCATTCGAGATCAACAGAACAGGTATGCCCTTGCCAACTCTAATTACATAAGATGATAATCATTCAGGAGTCGAGACAGTGAGACGAAAATGCAGCTCGATGAACTCTGCCTTTTCCGTAATTGTCAGCCCGATTCCAAAGTAAGAATGCCCCAGAATGCGAGTAAGCAGAACGTAACATCGACGGAGAGGAATTGAGTCCCAAGCTTCACGACAAGCAATCATCAACCACGGTAGAATTGAATCAAGCAATATTCTCGTGTCCCTTCTGTTAAGCGGGGTGTTTTTTCTTTGCCTTAATCGTCGGAAGGTTTTGTGGCTGTGTGCATGTTCAGAGCCCAGAAATAAACCCTGAAGAGTTGTATGTCGTGTGGAGCCGCCGATGCAGGTGAGCCTCCTTCGTGGGCAGGGTAACTTCGCTCGACGTGTCTACCACTCAAATTCGCAAGACGATCAAGCTCATGGTTCAAAGGCAACCGAACAATACGAACCCCTCCTAGCTTACCAGTTGTATACTTTAGAAATAGTTCTGCGCAGCTATCTAATCCTAGTTCTAAGCAATCAGAGAGTAGAGCCCGCTGTTGTCTGAGCCTTACTCTTACTCCTTGTCTTTCGTCGTGACAGTAGGACGACACAAGGTTTCCATGCTGATGATGCATCTGGTATTTTACTGTGAATTTCTGAGCTACGTAATCTCTGATGTTTCCACTAAAAGCTTGATGAACTTCTTCTTAGCTGAATGCTCATGGAGCATTGAAGCATAGAATGTTCCGAGCTTGGTGCACTTCGGGTGGAACCGAGCCAATTTACAGCTTAAGGGACGCAACGACACTTGCAAGGCCGCAAACTCCTGTCTAGAGCTTCGGCCCGAACAACACCACAGTAAGAATTGATGAAAATGAAACTGATAGATCAAGTAATACATTCCACTCCAAAGATCTGTAGTCTCTGCGGAAAACCAGCAAAGTAAATGTCATACAATCAACGGTCGCCACAGATAATAGTGGTCAGTGGACCCCGAAAACTCGGCTGCAACACTCGCACAGGACTCGATCTCGGATCTGTCGTCCAGAGAAATCAGACGGAACAGCTTCACAGACTCCTCGGTATCATGTCACCAACCTCCCTCTCTCCCTCCTACCAAGGTACATACCGTTTGGGGGGCAAAACAAGATCCGTCGTGTAGCCGCGCCATCGAGGTTTAGGACAACCCCGGCGCGCGTAGGAACTGGAATGGACCACTCACGTACGTAGTGTGTAGCGGCGTCACAGACCCAATAAATTGTTTTCCAGATCTGGAATGGTTGAGCGATCGTGGTAGGATGCACGACACGCCGCCGTGTTGGAAGGTTTGTGGCGATGTGCTGTAATGTCTCAAACGCTGTCAGTTTCAGTGGGGCATCAACGGTCAGCCACCGTGGTCGCCTTTTTGGTCGGACGACTTCAAAAACGTCATGGGGAGAAAGATTGGAGGATAAGGATCATAAAAGTGACATTTCGTGCAAAATGCAAAAGGATTGGGCCCTAACCAGGATTCGAACCTGGGACCTCTCCCAGACTTGTCGTGAAGACCCTAAGGGAGAATCATACCGCTAGACCATCAGGGCGAATGAACATATACGAGATCTGATTCGTGATTTCTCGAGCTCGGTTCTAGGCTTATCATCTCTTCCCAAGCAGGAGAATCTCCCTCGCCTCCGTCACCCGTTTGCCTCCGTCGCAAGGAGATCTTGACTCGATTAATTTGAGCTTCTATGACTGTCACGGCAGACTTCAAGTCTTAGTTGATCCGGAGGTGTCAAATTCTGCACCGATAGAGACACGTCGGCCACAGCATTGGTACATCTCTTTGGCCGTGTGATCTTTCCCAGTTGAGAACATTGTTCTTTCTCTTAAGAAGCTGTCTATAACACTCATCCTCCATAACTAGAGAAGCTTTCGCTGGAACTTCAGTCCTGCCCATCACAAGGTGTACTGGAAGTCCGGCCTCTTATCCCCAAGCGCCTCAATCTCTTTCTCGGACTTGTTCTCAACCCAGTGGTCTCTCTTGCCCTGCCTCCTCTTCTTGTTCTCGATCCTCAGCAACGTCGTCATGAGAGCACTGCCGCCGCACAAGAAGATGGACATGTACGCCAACACAACACCATGACCCTCCGGGAACCGCGGACCGTGGAAGTAAATGTTGGAACTGACGATGCCGTTCAGATTCCCCCACCCGATCACGAATCCAAGCACCACGCCGCGCTTGTAGACGCCTTCATTATTGTTCGCGACCCATGTGATGGTGTTGGCGATGCACGGGTAGATGCCGAGAGCGCCGAGGAAGGTGCCTGCATATTTGACTGGTGCGCTCTCGGTAGCGATGAGCATGCAGAAGCCGACAATGCCAATGAGACTGACTCCGATGTTACATAGACCGCGTTGCTGTGTCCTGTCCGCGACATATCCGATAAAAACTGTGAAAATTGCCGCCACGGCATAAGGCGGCACCGTCATCAGCTGCGATCGGACGATACTCGTATTCCACCCAAGTTCGTTGACGATAGTCGGCAAGAACAGACTAAAGGCGTATAGCGGCATGTCGCAACCCATGTAGATGACCATGCCCAGCCACATCTTCCAGTCCTTGACGGCCTGCCAGAAGAAGGTCATCTTGAACTCCTCGTGGTTGGCAGAGGCCTGCTGGTCCATCTTGAGGCGGCGGATGACGCGAGCCCGGTCGTCTTCGGAGAGAAACTTTGCCTCGTCAGGGAAGTCGTGGACCATCCAGAAGGAGGCGACGCCGAAGAGCACGGTGAGGAGGCCTTCGAGGATGAAGATCCATGCCCAGCCTGGGCGGCCGCCGACGCCGGCCATTTGTTCGATGCCTGCTGCGAGGGCGCCGCCGAATGAGCCCGAGATGGCTGCTGCTGAGAAGAAGATGGCCTGAACGCATTAGCTGGATGATGTTTCTTGTTGGGATTGAGAACTTACAGCACGAATGCCAAATTCTGATCTCTTGTACCAACATGACAGATAGTAGTTGACACCAGGGAAAAGTCCAGCCTCGGTAAGACCTAGGAACCAGCGTGCGGCCATCAACCCACTCCAGTTGTGTACGAATCCCATGCCTGTCATCGATGCACCCCAGAGGATCCTGTACGCGGTCAGCGCCCAGTGCCTGGTAAGAAATCACAACGGACACTCCTTTACTTACATGATGATCGGAATGAAAATAGACGGCCGCAACTTCTTGAGCAAAATGTTCGTCAAGGGCTCGAACACCGCATACGAGACGAAAAAGATTGTGAGCGACGAGTTGTACATGGAGCTGGTCAAGCCCAAGTCCTTATTTAGGCCGGCGATTTTCGCATTTCCGATGTTGGTTCTGTCGAGGAATGCCAAGAGGTAGAGGATGCAAAGCTGCGTCGGCATCAGTCAGGTTCAATTCTATCCGGATGAAATCAGACATACCCATGGAATCAAGATCCAGTCAAGCCGTCGGACTAGCTTACGTTCCTGCGATGCGCGTATCAGTTTACTGACCGTTTGAACGGCAGAGCGCACCAAAACATACGATTTGAAGTCTCTCATCTTCACTGAGATGCGCATCCGGGTCGCGCGGAATATCCTGCGTTCCTGGGTCTGATGTATGCGAAGCCGCAGCCTTCTCCGTGTCGCTCATGGTGGCGGGATGTATCTGGCGCCGATCTCAACTTTTGGTCTCGGCTAACATTCAAGCGAGAGATGAAGAAGAGAAAAGCCTCGCAGTAGAAGGCTGAGATTTTTCCAACATATGTAGCTAGGCGTGGAGGAAAGTTTGAGTAGACGTTGGCTCGGGTGGCGGACGAATGAGTTTGGGTGGTAACCAAAGGTCATTGACGGAAGCCAAACCAGATCGGCGGGAGACCCGTCAAATATAACCTAGGAGACCTTGGCCGCGATGGCGGGAGGTGGGGAACGCAAGAGCAACCCTCCCGATCGCCGGCAGACGACCTTCGGGATACACTCGGCAATGGAACCTGCTCTGTGACTGGTAGCCAAACCGCTGCAGCGGAACAAGTGGCTTGTCGTTAGTAGCCATTGGGGGCTCCACGTTTGACGTGGAACAGAGGACTCGGTCAAGGGGAATTGAGGCGCTCCTGTGCTTTGCGCTTTTCACAATGTTGTGGATGAAAGACGTTACTACGTTAAAGTCTATGGCCAAAAAGAGTAGACTCCTTGAACTCATATTGAGCTGCAGGACCAAGACTTGAGATGCGGGAGGCGACGTCAATAATAAAGGGATGAACCTCGGCAGCATAGTTTGTTTCTCAAAGGGTGTGAGATAGCCAAGGGAAGGTATCGGAGACGTGCGTGCATCGGCTGTTTTCTCTGACATGTCTTAGCCTTGTGAGGTCCAGTTCATGACTACACACCATTGACTAGGATTCCGAGACCCATGGCTGGTACCTATGTAGAATAGCTGGGCTCACAGCATATTCTGATTTCGTACGTGTGGCAGCAGAGACACTGCTGAGGACGAGTATCCGATTCCAATCGACTATTGCTCGCAGCGCAGCAAGATGAATAGCTCGCCAACGGGCCAAGTTCACGACATGGCATCGGCCGGGGGCTCCATCCGAGACTCCATTTGCCCGTGGGGAGAGTCTGGGGAGGGGGAATCTACCCGTCGAGACTAACAAGAGAGGGGGAATCTAACGGTCATCGGTCCGCGTGGGAAAGCGAGAAGTAGCTTATCTCCGGCGGGACCCCGTGGTTGCAAATTCCTGTCACTCGACCACAACAAGCATTGATCTGCGTCTCAAGCCCTCTAGTTTTGGACGGGCTGACGCTGGGGCAAGCTTGGTTTGACGGCCGACACTTCGGACGGAAAAAAGTACCGTTAGATCTGCAGTAAGCTCGGTCAATGGCAACTGGTTGACGGCCCCCCGGAATGATGCCAGCCACTGCGCCCTTCCAGCTAGTCGTAGTGGGACGGAACGGGCTGGGTCGTTGTGCACGAATTTCAAATACACCCACGTGAGGACAAGGGTGACGCCGTTGCTCGAGATCTGTGCAGTAGTCGCACGAACACCGCAGCGTGGCACAAGAAACACCGTATGGCGAGGTTGGATGGCCAATGATGAGGCCTGCTCGGCTGGCCTAGTCTTGCTGTGCGACTGAGATATGCTGCGGATGGCCGCCCCGCAGATAAGTCTTTGATGTTAGAATAGGCAGGTCCATGACTACAATGGACTGACGTGCGACCGCGAGTATGAATCAAGCATGTAGCTGGTTCGAAGAACGACGTTGCTTGGGCTTCGTCAGTAGACCGGGCCAATGGTACTAGTCGGATTTGCGCCGCTGAATAACTCCGGGATGGTAGGTCTTGTCCCGGCTTGGCGTGCTGCAGCACCTTAGTCTTTAGAAGAGAAAGCTGGTGATCGTGCAGCGTGCTGGACCGTTGGACGGATCAAGGATCAGTCGGTGCTGAACATTCATCCGAGGATGAGCGGATGGACTTTGGGCATCGGGTGCCATCTGAAGTTCTGGACATAGCTGGGTAGGCCCACTGACTGCACGAAGCCGAAGATATATCCATGTCAGTGCGGTGCCTGGTCCCGAACCGGCCGTAAGGGGTCCCGATGCCCTGGCTTGGCAATCCGCGTCCGGGGCCAGGCTGGCGGTAGGGAGGGCCCGTCGCTCGGGACATGGCAGAGAGCCGTCGATAATTCTCTGTCGCAAGCCGACTGGCCGTTGTTGGGCCGCGCCAACCATCGGCCACGCCGAATAAGCCCTGCGTTCAGGTCCCAGGCTCTCGGGGCGGGAACTTGCCTCTGAGAACCCACTGATTAGATGGTGTGGTGGTTTTCTTAGACTTCGGGACCTTGCGGATAGCTGGACTTCCAAGCCCGATGTCCTGGCCGTGGTCGACGCGCTGACTTGGGAATTAGGCAAGTCGCTCTGCGTCAGTCAGGAGAAGCACTCCCGGTAAGCCTCACGTTGCGGGAGCTGGAGATGTGTGCCCGGTTGGTCCCTGATCGAGCGTGAACGTTCTGTCGTCGAGGGGATTTCGATTCAATGGTCCGGCTTCGGCTGCATTGCATGAATGACGAACGACTATTCAACTCTGTGTAATCATTGAGTGACCCGAACCTGTCGTTAACGTATCGTCGTACGAAGAATAGAGAACGCGAGCAGCAGTTTATGCTCCGACGAAGGATGGAGGAACAGAGTTGGGAGGTGCTGAAGACGCGAGCCACCTCGGGCAATTGAGGCTGCCAGCCGGCGAAAGGTCCCGCCGGCTGGCGCCCCACATCAAAGTCCAAGCTGACTCATCACGGATAGCGCCGGTCTCGATCGGCGACAAGCCCCACCATTGCCGCTAATCCCCGACCGCGACAATGGCGCTTTCGGCGGTGGCTTCTGACGTGAGAACTCCATCTCTAACTTGCTGAGAGGCTGTGGTGCTCAGCTTTATATGTCCTCGTCTACAAGGGAGGTTATAAACTACAGCCGTACCCCAATTCATCTTGAATCCCATCTCTCGGCTCTCATAACAGGGGTCTGATTCTCTCAGTGAGGGGCAATTCACTCACTCACTCACCCCACCATCCCCTCCATTAACGCCCATCATCATGGGCAAACGTGTATGCATCGTCGGTAAGGACCACCAACTCCCCATGATTCAACCTTAGCTAACAGCATATCCTCACAGGCGCCGGCCCCTCCGGCCTCGTCGCCGCAAAGACCCTCCTTCACAACGCACCAAAGGGCGCCTTTGACGTGACAATCTTCGACGCCCAACGACGCATTGGCGGCCTTTGGCCCACGCGTCGCGAAGACGTCGACGGCCTCGTCCACCCCCTCATGCTCGCCAACCAGAGCAAGCACACCGTGCAGTTCAGCGACCTCGCCTGGGCCCCCGAGGACCCGGACTTCCCCCGCGCGTGGATGGTCGGCCGGTACCTAGAACGCTACCTCGAGCACTACCTCAAGAGCACCGATGCTGTCGCCGCCGCCGCCGCCAACGTGAAGCTCGGCCACCGCGTAGTCGAGACGGAGCTCTCCCCGAACGACGGCTCGTGGACCGTCACCGTCGAGAGCGACGCCGGCGGGAGAGAGACGAGCGTGTTTGACTACCTGCTCGTATCCTCCGGCTACTTTGGCAAGCCTATCGTGCCGGACGTCGTCTCTGGCGGTACCGGCACGGAGATCCCCGTGGTTCACAGCAGCAAGTACCGCGATCTTCAGACCCTGTTCCCAGACGGCGTGAAGAACGGTGGCAAGATCCTGGTCGTGGGAGGGCAGATGTCGGGCGTCGAGATCGCGGGGACCATTGCCACGCACATTTCCTGCGCCGTCAACGCGCCGGACCCGAGCCCTGTGCCGAATGCGGAGAAGCTCACGGTCGAGCATCTCACCCAGCGTCCGACGTGGGTGTTCCCCCTCCACACCACACCAAAAGTAAGTTGCCCTTCACATCCTTGACATCAAGAGAGAGACTCAACCCGCTGACACGAACTCCAGCCCGGCGCAACAGCAGCCCCCTTCCTCCCCCTAGACTTCCCATCCTATAATCTCAGCAACCGCCCCCAACCCCTCGAGAACAGCCAAGGCCACATCACTCCAGACGCCGCACGCCTAACCCACGGCATCTACACAACCTCCCTGGGCCAAGACCAATCCGACTTCTCCCCCTCCGTCGCCGTAACCCCCAAACACCACTCGGACCCAGCCTACCTTGCCGTCTCTGAGAACTACATGGAATTCGTCCGCGCCGGCCTCATCAATATCACGACCGGCAAACTCGACTCCGTCACCGGCACAACCGCAAAGAACACAACCCCTTCCTCCTCCTCCACCGCCCCAGACATCGAAAACATCGCAGCCGTCATCCTCGCAACAGGCTTCGACCCCTCCCCCTGCCTCTCCTTCCTCCCCTCCTCCGTTCTCACAACCCTAAACCACTCTCCCTCTCACCCCTCCCTCCCCCTCGCCCTCGCCTTCCACGGAACCCACGTCAAAGACCTCCCGACCCTCGGTTTCGTAGGCTTCTACAGATCCCCCTACTGGGGCGTAATGGAAATGCAAGCCCGCTTCCTCTCCGCCCTCTGGACACCAACCTCCATCAGCCCGCGCCCACCGTCCCCCAACGAAGCCCTCCTAGACGACGCCTCAGACTGGCGCACCGTCTCCCTCCGCGACGACCCCCGCGCCTCCCAGTTTCCAATGGGCGACTACGCCTACCTAATGTGCCAATTCTCCCTCGCCCTCTCCATCCCAATCTCCCCACCCGCCTCACCGCTCACCCCAGCCCTCCCTCACAACAACAAACCAATGGACATCCTCACCCCAGCCCGCTACCTCTCCCCCCTCGCCTCCGAATCCGCCAAAGCAGAAGCCGAAACCTCCCTAGCACAAACAAACACCACCGCAATCGCAGGCCTAACGACATCCCGCTTCGTCCCCCGCGCCGTCTTCCGCAGCTTACTAGGAACATGGAACCTCGAACGCGATCTCACGAGCAGATTACCAAGCCACCCCAGCGGTCACTTCAGCGGCACAGCACAATTCCTCCTCCGCAACAAGACCACCGATGGCCTCAAGTGCGCCGCCAGCACTTCCAACCCCGAGGAAAACTCCACAGACACCGACGACGGCGCCCTGGCAACGGAATACCTCTACATCGAAGACGGCGAATTCCGTGCCTCCAACGGCCTCGTCTTCCGCGCAACCCGCCGTTACGTCTGGCGCTACGACGAGAAGAAAGACACCATAAGCGTGTGGTTCGCAAAAGTCAACGAGCCCAAGAAGGCAGATTACCTCTTCCACGAGATCGAATTCGAGGGCCCACCACAAGATGACCAGAAGCCTTGGCAGGCAAAGGCTGGGCACCTCTGCATTGACGATTATTATGATGTCAAGTACGATTTCGCATTCAAGGCTGTGAACCTCAAGGAGTGGAATATCAAGTATACTGTGAATGGGCCGCAGAAAGATTACACGATACATGGCATCTATAGACGATAGAAATCTCAATGAGCAGAAGATGAATAAAGCGGGATCTTGGGTTTTACGGGAGATATTCAAGCCAGTTCACCGTATTTAATGAGCGAAGCGGAAGTGTAGGTTGAAGGGGTAGCTGCTACCTCAGTAGTCGTCAGCATGATTCTTGTACGTCTAAGCATTTCTGTATCTCCTACTTTTCTAATTCCTGCATTCGTGTATCATTCGCTGTCTGCTAGCATGGCTGAATCCAGCGAAGCCCAGTATGCAATCTCGCTATTCCACGCCAAGGCTCAATAAGGCCCTTATATATGAACTCTTTGGTCCGCGGCACTAGAGATGTACCAGCCTCTCTCGATATCAGCGTTCAGGACATGCTGTCCTGTGCTGCCCTAGGTCATACCCTGGGTCTGTGGCGAATTCCAGTCCGCCTATAGCATCGTTAAGTCCCCATCGCCGTCCAACTTCCGCATGCTTCCGTCACTCAAGATCGTATGCCTTTGCATCGGCCTATCGTCTCCGATGTTCAAGGCCCAGCAACGAGTCAAGCCGTCTCTGTCAAAGGCCCAGATCATCATATCGGCGCCCAAGCCCATCGAAAGGTCCACAATTCCGGAGCAAACGGCAACGACCTGGCCGTGGACATCAACTGGATACGTTGGCCTTTCATTAGGGTTGCCTTTTTCGATCAATCCGCTGTTCTTGGCTTCCAGATATGGTTGAACTGTATGCTGCAGTGTCGGCCACCATTGCGCCCATTGGTGTTCTCCTTCGCTGTCCACCAAACTCGGGAGGTTTTCAAAGTTTGAAATGTCCCGGAACATATCTGGTGGGATAGTGTAGAAAGCGAGGATCTGCTCCCCAGCTTGAGAGCCTGTTCCTTCCTTCCATCGTGTCGTTGGAAAAGCGGCAGTAATTCTCACGCCATGTGTCAAGTCTCTTCCGACGGCATATATGAGTGGAGCGTTCTCGCATGCTGATGCGGGTGGCAGAAAGTTCACTTTCCTCTGTAAGCCGGCCGTAGACTGGTGGGGATCATCAGAAGCGAGGCACAAGTACCCAGTTTCGGGGTCTGTGAAAAGTATGTGAGACCCGTCGCTCAAGGGCACAGCTCGATAGTTGTCGGCGACGGCTAACCTAGGCCTCGGGAGTATTCTCTCCCTCCTTGTCCAGTTGCGCCGTTGATTGGCAAAAGGACCAAGAGAGGCGGACAACTGTTGCTCCATGATGGTATAGACACTCGACGCGTCTTCTTCGAGGCCAGACGTCTCAAGTCGTGAGATGATAGCCGGGACCTGGGGAGTAAAGTCGCTTTCATTGTAGCCTAGAACACCCACTACGTCTTGCAGACAGCCGGCGTGGCAGTCCGAGATTGACGCGGAGCTGACCAGGCGAAGCTTGCGTCTTGGATCGTTTTCGTCCCCCGGAGGAAGAAAGTAGATGTAGTCGCTGGGTGTGGATAACGCAAAGCGGCGGACCTTTTGCTGCGCACGTGTATCGTTACAGTGTATCTCGATGCCTGAGGAGGAGCCAAAGGCGAAGTACAAGCGATGGGGGCAAATGGCGACGGAGCGAGGAGGACAGTCGCGCGTGCACACGTTGTAACGGGCGACTTGTAACTTTGCCTGCAAAGGCAGGGGGTGCGAAACCTCCCATGTGCTACAGTCGCATTGCCTGGATCGCGGACGCGGTTGCGTTGAGTATTTGACGGGGAAGCAGGATAACCATGGGATCTCAAAGACAAGGCCAACGCGGCCTTGGAGGAGCACAGCAACATTGTTGCGCCCCCATGTCGTGTCCATGGCACAGGCGAGAACAGGAGATTCGCAGGTAATGGTAGTGATGAGTCGAAGTTGACCTCTATGGTGACTCGAAAGCTCCTTCTAAGAAGACCTGGGCCATGGGCGCGAAATACTCTCTTCGCACTGGTGATGCAGCTCGAAGACAAGTATGACTGATCCGTAGGTGACCATCAAGAATCGACCACACATACTCGCCGTGTAGTCAACCTTTCGACAGTCGCTCGTAGAAATCGGACAGTCGCTGACGAACTGCGTCTGAGTGATTTCAACAAAGGCAGGCTCGCTTCTGTGGCGACGTGAGCCGAGAGCACATTCTCTCGCGAGCCATTTGGACATGATAGTCGCTCGAGTTGAGGACGAGTTCGCCGTATTGCCGGAGCTTTGATCGCCGAGGATGATGTTGATGCTTGAGTTCCACCCGCCTCTCGATATCATGCAGTCAAGGACAGCCTCGTTCATGCCGGCTAAGAACTAGGAGCGGCATGCGTGCCGTGATGAATTGAAGTCGCATGGATCCAACAGCAAGTAAATATGTTGCAAGATCTCGACCGGGAGCCTATGAGCAGCCGGCAGCTGTTGAAACGCATGATAGCCATGGCCGTGGCCGTACAACAGTAGACGCTGGCCGGGCTGGTTCGCCATGGTAGAGTCGAGCCACGGATCGGAGGACAAGAACATTGTCAAAGGAAGGATATCTAAAGAGAACTATGAAGCGGAGGTCTGTATTATAATAAAGTGCGTCCGTCGGATGAATAGAAGTCTCTAGCACTGCTAGTGATGCATGTGTCGACGTGGGGCGAAGTCGAGGCTGATGGGATTCGGGAGAAGTAAAGACGATGGTATGGGCAAGGAGGGGATTTTTGCCACAGGGGCTCGAGATCTCGTCAGTATATCGGCAAGACCAAAGATACATATATGCTTCTTGCCGTCGGTTAGCTTAGTACCTGACTACTGCGATGACTGTGCTGTATGTTGCAGTGAGAAGGTGAACCACAGGCGCTGCAAGAACCTCATGCAGGAAAGCAGTTGCCAACGATGTCAAAAATAACTTATAGAGTGACAGTTTTCGATGTCGACACCAGATTGCTCCTACCCGAAACTCTCCTCATTACAAAGAGTTAGAGAAGACGATAATTGAAGACGAGTAAGGAGCAAGGCGAAGCTGGAGGAGGTAAGATTGAACAAATTGCGTGAACGACCTGATTGGGCCCTTCAAGTAAAAGCCAGGCCAGGCAAATTTCATTAACTGGTCGGTTAGCTCAGTTGGTTAGAGCGTGGTACTAATATTTCATCCGGAATGTTGTGTAATGCCAAGGCCGGGAGTTCAAGCCTCCCACTGATCATGCTTTTGCCTTTTTGCCAATCTGACTTGGCTATCTTGCCCTTCATGTGGTGCAATTTGTTTCCATGACAATTTTTTTTTTGCGAGTTTCTTGTGCGACAATGATGTTATGGCGGGCGGCTGCTTTGTGTGCCTCTCTAAGCTGCTGCACTCACCTGCTGCTGACTCATTCCCCAAGCTTGAGGGAAGTGCCTACCCGTATGCTGTAGAAGGGGGAACCAAGTATGATATTCAGGTCAGAGCGAAGAGAATTCACTATCATCTTCCTCATCGCGCTCTGAACCGGGAACCCTGCGATGTTGATGAAAATGGTCAGAAGTGATTGAATGATTTACTGGGGCTCCCCTGAAAATCCAGGGCATGCCGCCTGACAGCTCCTCTGACAGGATCCATCCAGTTGGGTTCTGCTTCCGGTTAGCGAGCTGCCCAGAGCTCCCGACCTGGCAGAAAAGCATCCATCGATGGCGGGGTAGCTCTGGGCCGCAGGCGAATGGCATTCACCACCTCAAGGTGCAATGCACCGTCAGTCAAGCTTAAAAAAGAGCGGCAGCTGTAGCTAGGGCTCATACACGTCATCCGGTTGAGTTCAGCTAGAAAGCATTTCCAAGTGCCGGATTTGGCAACAACAGAAAGATCTTGACGCAGATTTTGGCATTGACGCTGACATGGCGAGGGAAAGAAGGCACTCGATGCTCCCAATGCGGCACGAGGCACTGAGATATCCTACCGGTAAGGCAGGTGAGGTAGGAGCGAGGAGCGAGGAAGGGCAGCCAAGAAGGAGAAGGGGAAGCTGACGCGCGCCTTTGCTTGGCTTGTAGCTTCCGACCCTCCTCCTCCTCCTTCTCCTCCTCCTCTTCTTCTCCTCCTCCTCCTCTTCCTCTCCTCCCCTTTCCTTTTCTCATTTTTGTACAAAATCTCCTCAATCCGTGCCACCAGTTCCGATTGACCTTCCATCTTCACGTACACCCTCTTCGTACACACTTCTGCAGACGACAATCCTCGGATACCTGACCCGCTAGCTACTGTTTTCCACAGCATCACTTGAACTACCCCACAATCGTGTCCAACCGCCATCATGAAGCTCGCCGTTTTCAGCGCCAAGGCGTACGACAAGAAATACATCGATGCCGCCCACGAAGTCAGGAAGGAGGAGTTCAAGAAGCACAACGCGAAGCTCGTCGATGACAACAGCGACTTTGGCATCATCTACCACGACTTCTCCCTCTCCACCGAGACCGTCTCGCTTGTCAAAGATGTCGATGCCGTTTGCGTCTTCGTAAACGACTCCCTCACCGCCGACGTTGTCGAGGAGCTCCACAAGGCCGGCTGCAGAGCAATCCTCCTTCGCTGCGCAGGCTTCAACAACGTCGACCTTAAGACCGCCGAAAAGTTGAGCATCTTCGTTGCCAACGTCCCCTCCTACTCCCCCGAGGCTGTGGCCGAGTTCGCTGTCGCCCTGCTCCAGTCCCTCAACCGACGCACCCACCGAGCCTACAACCGAACCCGCGAGGGCAACTTTAACCTCGATGGTCTTCTTGGCAAAACTGTACATGGCAAAACGGTGGGTATCATTGGTACCGGCAGGATTGGCGTCTCCATGGCCCGCATCATGAAGGGCTTCGGCTGTACCCTGTACGCCTTTGACCCCTACGAGTCGGACGCCTTCAAGGAAGTCGGCGAGTACCTTTCTCTTGAGGAGCTTCTCCCCAAGTGCGACTTCATCAGCTTGCACTGCCCTCTGATGGACAAGACGAAGCACATCATCAACGAAAAGACATTGAAGCAGATGAAGCCCGGCGCTATGCTCATCAACACCTCTCGTGGTGGTCTCGTCGACACCAAGTCCGTCGTTCACGCCCTCAAGACTAAGCACCTCGGTGGCCTGGCCCTGGACGTGTACGAAGGCGAAGGCGATCTGTTCTACAATGACCACTCGGGCCATATCATCGACGACGACTTGCTTACCCGGTTGATGACTTTCCCCAACGTCCTCATCTGCGGCCACCAAGGTTTCTTCACCGAGGAAGCATTGCAGGAAATCTCCGAGTGCACATTCCGCAACCTCGAGGACTTTATGCTGGGACGCAAGTGCAACAACTCTCTGGTCAAGGAAGAGTTTGTCATGTCTCGCAGAGAATCCCTTCCGGTGCGTATTGTCTGAGAGGTTATGGGAGACATGCTGGTGACTGGCGGATATGAAGCAAAGGCCTGTAGATTGGTGAATACCCTCCTCTTCGGTTATCGAGCAAATAGATGGTTACAGATTACGACTTACGAATAGACGATTCCCTATACCCACTTTTCCATCACTCCTCGTGTGTAGACGAAAAGTTTGTTACAAGAAGAGGACTGTTGTGTTCAAATGGTTGCATTATCCACACATGCATGCAATTGAACCCGACTGATTTGATTTCAATTTTATTTAGGATTATTAACGGCGCCGGCCGTTGAAATGTACATGCGTCTATAGTCTAAAATGCCCCTCGCTCCTGGATTCCTCTATCCAACGCCAGCCTCCTCTTTACGCCGAATAAACAAAGATTACCAACGAATCCAGGGCTGGTAGCCAAGGCGCCAATAACAAATAGCTGACATACAGCAACTTGTTGGGTGTTTTGATATGTGTCGAGGTGTATACATGTCGAGATATGCGAGTCGCTTACGCGGGCTCAAAGGTGCGGGTGGGAGCCAGAGCGTTCTTGACGGGCTTGGCCTTTTCGATGTCGGACCCTGACGTCTCCTCTTCATCGCCGGAGTAGGCGTACTTGCTCCTGGCACGGATGCGGGCTCCGTAGACCCAGAAGAGGAAGGGAATCGCACAGCACGCGAGACCGAGGAAAGCGAGGAGGGAAGAGGCCCACTGGTCGCCGAGGCGGTCGTACATTTGCTCGGTGAAGAGGACGACGGCGGCACCCCAGAAAGAACGGATGCAGGTCTTTGCGGCGAGGGCGGAGGCGGCCTGGTGCTGGTAGGAATCGACGAGGTAGTTGTTGGCCGAGTTGTACAGGAAGATGAAGCCGAAGCCGACGGGGAAACCACCAAAGGCCGGGCCGGCCCAGTGGAGATCCGGGTAGGATGTCCATGCGAAGATGAAGAGGCCGACGGGGATGAACCAGCAGCTGAGCATCATGGGGATGAGGCGGGCCTCGGCGGGCGGGTGGCCGTTGTGCTTTGCGACGAGGGTGAGATAGTGCTTGTTCACCCAAGGGGAGCAGGCTGCCGAGAGGAGGACGCCGACGGCGAGGGGGATGAACATGAGGCCTGTCGAGGAGGCGGAGTAGCCCTTGCGCTTTTGGTAGATGATGGGGAAGGCGACGAAGAACATGTAGAGCAGGCCGTAGAGGACGGACATGTAGATTGAGATGAGGAAGACGATGAGCTCGCCAAAGAGGAGCTGGAAGGGGCGGATGAGGAAGATGCCCAGGCGCTCGCTGAAGGGGCGCATGTCGATGTCCTGTTCCGTGACGTGGGTTGCGTCGCCGGTCTCCTTGCGCATCTTTTGGGCGCGGCGGGCGAGGATCGTGGGCGCGTAGGTTTCCGGGACGGTGAAGGAGATGAGGACCCAGACGACGAAGGCCATGATGAGCTGGATCCAGTAGAGCCAGCGCCAGCCCGCCGCGTCGGAGAGGAAGCCGCCTACGAGGGGACCGATGGCCGGGCCGATGAAGGGCGCGGCGGAGAAGGCTGCCATAGGGACGCCGCGCTCCTCGTTGCGCCAGAGGTCTGCGAGGGTGCCGCCTACGAGTGTCATGGGCGCGGAGAAGGCGATGCCGTCGATGGCGCGGCAGACGAGCAACGTTGCGAGGTTTTTGGCCACGGCGCAGGGGATGATGAAGATTACGGCGATGAGGAGGGTCGATGCGTAAATCACCTGGCGGCCGTAAATTTCGGACAGGGGCGCGAAGGCCATGGGACCGATGCCGAAGCCGATGACAAAGACGGTGATGGAAACCAAGGCGGCTTCCTCTGAGCAGTGGAATTCTGCGGCGACGCCTTCAATGTCTGCTGTGATGACCGAGGAGCAGAAGGCGACGACGAAGCAGGTTAGGGCGACGACCATTGTGCAGTACCACTTGTAGGCCTTGCTCCAGTTCTTTGGGTTTTGGGGGTCGTTGGGGACGAAGGTGACGAGTTTATAGTCTGCGCGGCCTGCTGGCGCGGAAGAAGCATCGGTGGCGACGGCTGGGATCTCGCCGTTGTGGGTTTCTACGCGGTACTCGTCGAGGTTTGCGTTGGGGGAGAGGGTTCGGTAGGGGAGGTTCACGTCCAGCTCTGGGTCGATTTCCTCCTTTGTCTTTACGGGGTGGAGGACGTTTGAGGCGATGGAGGAGCGGCGGGTTGGGCGGGCGTATTGGGGTGCTGCGGCGCCGTCTGAGTCTGAGGAGGAGCCTGGCGGGAGGGTGTGTGATGATGTTCGTGATGGTTGATCCATCTTTGCGGTTTGGAGGCGTATGCTTTGGTTGATGTGGTTGTGTTCAGGGGGTCCCTGGTGGGAAAGGGGAATCTTATGAGGAAGTCTGAAGAGGAGAGGGCTAGGGGGTATGGCCCGGTATGAACACACGATGATCAAGTAATAGGATATCCTCCTCGGATGAAAGGGAGGGGCATCACCCTGACTTTATACTCGGCCTCATTCTTTGGGAAGAACCACACATGAGGAAACTGAGTCACTGCTGGTGTAAGATGGGCAAGGTGCCTTGCATCAGAAAGATACGCACGCCCCTCCCATGTAACCATTGAATGGGTAAACAACCTACCTAGTGCAGGGCCTGGGAACCGGTCGCAATTCGGGCTATGGGTTGGGAATGGGATACTTCGGCGGCGGCATTCGGGGTGGTCTCCACTTATCTGGATGGACGGAGACCCGCTTTTCCCGTCCGAATCGCCCAACCCGGTTTATCGTCATGTGTTTCCCCCCCCCCCCCCCCCCCCTGTTTTCTCTCAAAATTGCAGTAGAGTCGAGTTCTGACACAGCGATAACAGCATGGTCCGTGAGTCGTTCATGTGAGGATTTCCCTCTTCTTGTGTTTGATGATACGTATCCGTACACACGCGTCAAGTTTTCGTGGACCACTTTCTCTGATTTTCTCTCTGCCATTCGTGATGGGGATGTTCTCCACCGCGGAAAGGCGAAGAGGGGCGTGTGTCAATCAGCAAAACTGCGAGAACGGAGGAGTGACATTCCAAGCTAAAGAAAAAGCAAACTTGTGAGAGGTCGAGATAACGTGCTGCCCGTCCTAGCAGATGCAATGGCAAGCTACCTTACCTTACCGTGCAGGCTGCAGCTTTGGGTTTGGCGGCTCTGGGCTCGCCGCTCGAGTAAGGTAAGCTCGCAGATGGACGGCCATCACGGGGAGGCGAGAGCCAAGAATTCGGGGTTAGACAGAGCTGGTTTGAAAAAAGCTTCATTCGAGGTACACGCGCGATGGGAAAAGGACTGGCCTGGCAAATCGTCATCACGAATTTGTCCGGATCTCCAATGGTTCATCTTGACGGCATCCCTGGATTTTGTGAATCTTGGAAGGAGAAATAGATGCTATTCCAGTTCTGAAATCTCAGTCAGCCAGAATGCAATCGAATCGAATCCTCGACGCGCTTCTCGTTCTCGTCAAAGGTTACCTCTGTACCTCTCTCTTCGCGGCTCTGCCCGGTGACGCAAAAGCGGGCCGGGTCTGGGAATAAGAGGGAATGACTTTTGGGCGGCACTAGAGCGTCTTGGCCGGCTTGGGTCGAGAGAGAACAGGGGCAGTCCCAGTCCGTGATTGTGTGTCTCCCAGGGCTGAGGAACAGGGGGGAGAAATCTCGGGACCAGCTCGGAGTGTCGTCATACTAAAATCAAAACAGAGGAACCAGAATTTTCTGTCTGTTTTCTCACCATAGCCGAGGGTTTGAATACATTCTGGGGCTCTGATTTCTCGACGTTGCTTAACCATCTATCCGCACGAGCTTGTCTTTTCTCTCACGTACGTTTCCCTTGTCAGCTAGAAGACTCGTCTTCATTTGAACCTCGATAAGCTTCGTTTCCCCTTCCTTCCAGTGTTTGAAGAAGCTAGTAATCTATGTCAACAAAGCCTGGGATGCAGCTGTTTGCATCGGTTGGCGCGTTGATGTTTACCGAAGCACATTGCGAATTTACGACTTCCAGAGCCGAGCTGGGCCCCCTTTCGTCCGGGACGCACGGACCGTGTGGAAGACCGGCGGGTTCAAAAGGTGGGTCCTCCGGCCGGACGCACAGTCAGTCACGCAGATGGGTTCCCGCAATGGGGCCGGCTCCAACTTTGAAGAGATTTGCGTTGCGTTGCGTTGCCGTGGAACTTTCCGTTGAAAATTACTTGAACTCAGCAGTTGATCTAGTCGCCACAAAGTCTGGTGCTTCTGGAAGTCTTGAAAATTGGTTGTTTCCTTGCAGGGTACCTTGGCTGGCGATGCTCACCCTAGACACCCGGCCAACGTTGAAGATGCTGAAGTAGGTACGGATACCTAAGGTAGTCTGGACTCTGAACACACGAGACCAGCCAGACTCGTGCAGGTGGATACCACCACAGAAAAGGTTTTTCGGAATCCAAGGATCTTAAGACTCTTAGTGCGTGCATTTGATTACGCTTGCAAGATAGTGCTTATTCCCGCCGGACCCAAGTGGGGGGCCACAGGCAGGAGCTCACATTCACTGATTCACATCTTAACTCTCAGCCTCTTAGGGAGAAGAAGCACGGTGATCCACATAATAGGTGTGCGTACCTTACGAAGTACCTCACTCATCACAGTCTTGGCCCCCGCGGCGTTATCAGCGAGAATCCCAAGTCACCTCGGTGTTTGGGCGTATCACCATTCCACTGATAGGCGACTAGGAAGTTCTGAAGCCACGCTGCGACAGACTGCAGTCCAGTGACTCCAGTTGGATTGTTTCCACATGGCGGTACCCCCGATTCTTCTCCCCTTCCCTTGAGGGAAACCCACGAGGCGAGCCAAGAGGTTAATAAGAGGGACAGCGGGCGTGTCTTGAGCGGTTCGAGACCTTTCAGTTGGGTGGCAGATGCACTGATGTCGCAGAGATCAACAAAAGTGATACAACAAGAGGCTCCAGAGCTCCAACACCTCCAACACCTCCAGAGTAGGCTGGAGCTGGATAAGGGGAAACTGCAGTGCACATATCAAGGGTGGGGGGAGGGGGGGGGGGGGGTGGTGTAAGAGTAAGAGGCCCGCGATGACAGAGCATCTTACGATTTTCCAAGGGGTGTTTCCTTCCCGAACGCAAACCTGCGAGATGAGCCCGGGATAGTGGGAGTGGGAATAGGGGCAGCTTAGGTTTCATTCCAAGAGGCTCGTTTTTTTCTTGTGATACCAATGGGCTACGGTGTGGATGATGCGGGATGTTGCTCAGTTCTTTTGGGGTCCTGAGACCTTGATCGTTGGCGTGCGTTGCAATCCACGATTGATGCCCAATAGACCACCACCCGATATCGTAGCTTAGATTCCATGATCACCTATTCCTGTGTCCTACCTCAACGTCGATGGAGATCTAAAGAAACGGGTATTGACGAACCGTTAAACCATCACCGGTTGCGCGTTACCCTGTTGCTTAGCTTTTAGGTACCTTAGCTCACGAGGTAAAGATCAAAACAAAAGTGGACCCAATTCGAAAAAGTCGGAGCTCGCGCCTACGGTTTCCGCGCCCCGGCACCCCTCGTGGTCGGCGTTTCCAACCCTCTAGCCCCCGTCCCCCAAGCCGCAAGGAAAGCTTCCCTCCTGCGATCGCCTCCGGATATCTAGGTTAGGTAGATGTAGTGACGCATTTTGAGTATTGGCTTATCAACTACTAATCTACCTTTAGGCCCTTTGGGAAACGGCACCGGTCTATCGGCCACTCGGGTCTCGAGCTTAAGCAGCAGTTAGATCTTGGCTGCTTACCCGTTGCCGTTGCCGGTGTCAGATACCAAAGATACACGCCCCGATCTCGCGGTACTTTTACTCTCCGCGCGGGTGAGCCAGAAGGTAGACCGTAGGATACCACGTCTGACATGCAGCCAAGGACAATCCGTCAATCTATTTGCACTCGCCTCCATCTCCGCCGACTGCCCGACCTCCGGGCGCGACTGAATGTAGTGCCATCAACAATTTGAAGAATCCGGGACGGCCAGCCTCCGCTCGTCGCGAGGTCAAGACTTGCATGATGCAATTAAAGGTGACGCTTTGCCGTGATGGGGCTCTTCGCAAACAGCAAAGTCGCTTGTCTGAGCCAAACAGAGTTCGATTTGGCATACCAGAGTTAAAGAATGTCCGGACAGCGACAATTGCGATGCCTTGTTGAATAGTACAGCCTGAATCTGGCTCTGGCTTTCCGACATTATCACGAGTACCACTGCGATCTTGCGACTGATCTGCGACCGCTCATGGCGAAAGGCCGCGGGGTCTTGGCATGACCTCTTTCCATCAACGGGGGATAATCATCTTACGACACATCATCACCTGACCTCGACACCAATTCTGCATGTCTGTATCGTTCATGAACTCTCATTATCTTGATAAAACACTCAATCACTCCAAAACTCCAAAGTGGTATAGTGCTGTTACCCCCGCTACCCACCCCAACGTCTCCTGATCATTAAAGTAATGTTCCCGTATGCACACGTGAGGATATCTACAAACGCAGCTGCGAGCAGCTAGGCGAAGCGCCTACACACTAGCGATTGTTGCCGTCACTCTGCTGCCGCCAGATGTGCGTGTCGCCCAGGCTCATTGTACTGTCCGAGGCGGCCGAGGCCGTGTTCTCGGGGGCGTTTGGTGTCTCCGTATCCGGGCCGCTCTCTTCGTCTTCCGCGTTGTTGTGAACTGGGGGCGGATCCTGGTAGATCCACGGCTCTTCGAGGCTGCAGAGAGTTAGTTTAAAGAAACGAACCAAGATGTTTCAACGTACCGAGAGGTCAGGCTGGGATTCGCAAACGTCAAGCCCTTTTCTTTGTCTTCGTCAATGGTGCTTCCGCGTCTCAGCAACCCTTGCGAAGGTCTCGGTCCCTCAAAGTCTTCGTCAAGCACAGCAGCATCCTCGGGGTCAATATCGATGCGAATGCTTCGCAGGGATATGTATCGTGTAAGTGGCTCAAAACGACGCTTGAAGTAGAAGCTGTACCAAATCGTGAATGCAATCAACGGCAAGACGGCAATAGACTGGAAGAAGGCATACGAAAGTGCCATAATACTGGAAAGGATCAACTGCGACACGAAAAGACCGAGAATGACGCGGTAGCTGATGATTCTCCAGGCGCCGCCGGTCGCATGCTGAGGCTGATCCATCGCATAGAGGAGCTGGTACTTGTAGGTGAAGTAGCCAAGGACGAAGTAAAGAAGCCCCACGGTCAAAATAAGCCAGCCAAAGTAAAGTGTGCTGTACAACAGGCACAGCATGAAGATGAGCAATGCCGTCGGAAGGTAGAAGCCGTAGCTGAACACAGTCGGTTGCATGATTTCGGCAAAGTCCCTGGGTGTCTTGGCGCCCATTCGATAGATCGGATAGAGGAAGACGCTGCCAACTTGGAGCAGTCTAAAGGGGAACAGGCCAACGCCTTGAAGCATAATGAAGTTGATGTAGAATATTCCGAGGTCCTGGATTTGCGTGGCGACATGCGATGTCAGGGTAGCAGGGCTCTTCCACACATCCTGAATCTGACGGACCAAGTTGGTAATGGTGAAAGCAGCGTTGGAAGTAGCAAAGACGACAAAAATGTTGAAGAATGTGAAGAAGAAGTTCTTAGAAATGATGGAGAGCTCCACGTCGCCCTTGGAGATCATTCCTTGCTCGTATGAAAGGTATTCGTAGAGATACGGCACGGCCACGTTCAGTAACGAAACGAGGAGCGTCGGTAGGCCGGTCTCGATCAAGGCACGCAAGGTCGGATACTGGTCGAAGAATCCAACAATTCCAGGGAACCATGTCTTAAAGTTGCAAACACTCAGTAGACTGGCAATCGACGCAACAACTGCCAACCACAAAACGGAGAGGACGGCGACAAAGATGGTAATGATCCAAGAGCGGATACGACGAATCCCACGGGGCGCGTATGTGTTGGGCCACATTACATCGGACGGAGCGGGTGCGGGCTTCGTAAGAAGCTGTCCAGGTCGAGGGTCGATGCGAGCCTGGATTGCCATCTGACAAGCGGCGATCGAGTCCATCGTGACGAAGGCCAGGTCGGTCGGGGTGAAGTCTTTCTTTCTCGCCTCGCGGATTCTATCGTCGAGGCGTCGCAGCTTCTCCTCGTAGTAGTCAAGGGCGTCTATCTTGCGACTCTGGAGTTTGAGAATTCCGTACCAAAGTCTCACTTTGGGGCGCGGTCTCTCGACAAGCTCGGGGTTGATGTTCTCGTGTCCCAATAATCCACCGTTTTCCCCGGCCTCTTGGTCGATTTCGTCTTCTCGATGCTCTAGGACTGAAGGCTCGGCCTGTGGATCGCGAAGGCGCTGGACAGACTTGGGGAGCGCGGCTTGTTTTCCGAGGTAGACGCTCCAAGTTTCTTCAAGCTGGGCCAAAGCCTGCGCTCTTTGCGCAATGAGCGAGTCGAGCTCCCGCCAGTCGCAACATAGATTGACGTGTTCCACCTCGCCGATTTCTAGCTTTTCGATAAGCTTCTTGATTTTCTTCTCATCGCGAAGGTTTCGGGGTATGCCAGTAAGGCGAAAAGTTCTGTCGGTGATGGTCGATTGCGTGCCGAGGTACTCCTGACGAACATGAATGATTCTGAAGGTTGCCTTGTTCAAGACGTAGAGGGTCAAGCCCGTAAAGAAGTAGCCAAACGCCAGCCACGCCCAGATATAGCTCTTTTCCGACTTGAAACTCTTGTCGTCGTCGTCCATCGCAGCCCAAATAAAACCTCTGTCGTGGGTGTAATCTTCCGGAGCGCTAGTCGCCATCGCGATGGAGGCCGTGGCAGTACTGCTAGGCTTTGGTTTCGGTGTAGGGAAAGTCTCTTCAGGTGCGTACGCAGTGTTGATGGGTAGCATAACTGTATACGCGAAGAAGGCGAGTATAGCCAGAATACGTATAGCCATCTTAAAGAAGGTAAGGAACTAATCCTATCAGTTCAGTATGCCCAGTCGCGAGGAATAGTTTCGCACTTACGACAAAGGCGTCGAGGCCAGCAGAGGCGAGGACTTGCTCCTCCGTGACGCGGTAGAGGCCCGGAATCCATCCAAAAAAGGTATCCGGCAGGGCGGGCAAACCGATCTTGGGATCCAATCTGCGCTTGCGCGCGGCGTAAAGGGTCGGCCATCGTGGGCGCAAGATGCAGAATGTGATGAATGCTGTGAGGCCAAGGACCAGAGACAAACCAAGCTGGACCCAAACGTCACGATCGCTCGGTTTAATCGCCTCTTTCCCGTTGCAGTTCGGGGTTTTGTCTTCAAATATTATAGAGTCCATCTCGCGCGAGGCATTCCCCCCTTCGTAGGAGCGACTAATAGAGCTGTCGAGTCGCGAGTCGTTGGGCAGAAGCTAGTGATGTGTTGGAGAGATTCGTAGTGGGTTGAAACGGTTGCTGGGAGCTCCAAGGGCAAGGGAGGTCCCCACTTTCATCCGAACCTGTGACGTGATGATGCGTCGGGTGATTGTGGTTCTGGCTGTGTTAGATAAGCTAACGCCACAGTTTAATGAGGTGGCTGGGATGAACTGGCGCTCCAGCCACAAGAAGGATCGAAGGGGGCGCAAGTGCGCACCCTGTGCCTGCATTATCTGCAATATGGAACATGAAAAGAATGATGCATCAGTGATCTTCCCGCAGCTCTATGAAGTAGGTCTGTCGCTGTCCGACTGTGGTTCCAATTGATCAATGGGAGAGAGAGTAAGCAAGCCTGCGACCTGGTCAGCAAGGCTTATTGCAAATACCGAATGAGTGGCCCTACGGCACAGCTTATTTTTCTGCAAACCATTTTATCTTGGATAAGCAGTGCTTTAGATTACCTACATACCACGTGAGGTACCTTACCCTTACCTAAGGTATTTCATACCTGATTGCAAGACAATTGTCGACAGCCAAGACGGATGGCTGCTCGGTAGCTGCTTCAAAAGTTTGGCAATCATCGGCCCCACTGCCGTGGTGTGGAACCAGGACCGGCGTTCCCCCGGATCATGTCAGCCCCTCCACTATGCTCACCGCCGATGGTTGGAGAGAGATGTACTTACGAAGGTACAGCATTCTTGCAAGTCAAGAAACCAGCGGACGTGAAGTGAAGCTGCAGGGCTAACACAGCCACGCGGCGCTCTGTCTAGCTGCTTCTTATGCCCGGTGCTGCAGGCGAGCTGCACGTCGAACGAGCACGCCGAAAAGCTTCACCGTGAGACAGCACAGCCTCAACGAAGAAGCCGTTTGGCGGGGCAGGCGGTTGTGGACATTCCCATGCTGTGGCCCACAAGCAAAGTATTTGGGAGCAAGTTCCAAGTGCTCGGACGACCAAAAGTTGAGATGAATGGGAAATTCCGCCTCAAAATTCCAGAGGTTTCAATGCCTGCTTGGTGAGAGTGCCATCTGGGTAAGCCGCGCACTGACACGTAATGTTTGCAGTGTGGCCATCGCAGACATTAGGACCATGTTCCAGCGTCGTGCATCCTGCATCGTTTGACTACTGTGAAGGCAGTGCAATGCGGTGATGCACCTCTTCTTCGACTCTTTGGGTGACAGTCTGGTCATCTGCAGTCGGCGACAAAGACGAAGATCATCGGCGCCAGTGGCTGCAGAGACTTGGCGTCTACTGGGCGCCTCAAGCAGCACCGTTTGCATCACAGAGTTTGGAGAGGCATGACGCCCATGGACGCAGACGAAGAAGACTGATGCGCCCATCTGCGCATACCCAGATGTAGCTTCTGCAGAGAACAACTCTGGAACTGGCGCAGGTACGAATGCTGTTGGTGATATGAAGGGTAATGAGCATTGAAATAGTAAAGCAACGACATGAGAAGAGCAAAGAGCAGGCAGCAAAGGGAATAAAACGTCTTGCTACAATTGAGACTCGGGCGAAACAGTCTGCAGGGCCACTCGAGTGCCAAGATGCGGCCCGGCCGGGGACGAGTCCAGCGCGGGTGGCTCTGATGCAAAGACGGTCGAAGAACCATCTCATTATGTGCTTGTTCTTGTTCTGGCCGGCTGCCGTCCTTTTTGATAACCGAGACTTCAGCAAACTTCGTCGAAGGGAAGCGAGCGGTGGTGGCCATTGCCTTTGTTATCGACGGGTCTGGATTGGCTCTCCTAGTGTCACTTTTCGCTCATGTCAAAGTCTCAGATCTGAGGTTCCCTGTATTTGGGTCTTTATTCGTAAGGTACCTAAATTGAGGTGAAATGATGAAAACTGCGTCCGGCGACATTTGGAGACGTTCCCAAGGTTCCTTAAGATGACCGGTCCCTGCCGCCGTGGTTATTAGGGCTCGTCTTCCCGCCCCCTTCCCCTCCATTTAGCTATTTCCCACCCTCCTCTTTCCCCAGTCCAGTCCCGTCCCTTCCCGTCCAGTCCAGACTCCAGAGACTTCCAGCCCACCGCTGCACCGCATCCCCTCCCGAGTCCCGAGTGCCCTCCTTCCCGACGCTGTGGAATTGGGATCTGCCCTTGCCTTCCCATTCAATTGGACCTCACCTTCCTCCACGGATAGACCGACCTGCATGCACCTGCCTCCACGGCTTTTGTCGGCCCACAATCGATACAAAGTACATCGAGAGACAAGAAGGAAGGAAGGAGAAAAAAAATAAGGGAAACTGCTTCCCCAGTCGTCCCACTCCTCCCGGATTCGCCAATCGACCACGAAAATTTCGGCAATTTCCAATCTTTTCTGCCCCATTTCACGAACCCCTCCATGCCCCTCTCTCCTCCACAAACTGCCCACCGACAACGACCTTCAAGTGCAATTGAGAAGCAGGGCAATGCTCGATACACTCAAGATGAGCGAGAAGCAATTGACCTTTGGTCGGACCGACGACTACATCTTCATCTCAAAGCCAAAGAAGGGCATCGCGTACGTTGAGGCCCGTTTCAAGGATGGCAAAGGTGTACGTTCTGCCCCGCAATGCTCATTTTCACGAGCTTTTCCCCAAACTTGCCGGACAATTGCTTATAATGAGAACAGCTTGCGCAAACTGACAAGGGATGTCAACTGGTATGTTCTGGTCTTCAATATGAGTCTCATTGATCTCAACGTCCGTTTTCTAACCTGCCCCAGCTTCTCTCCAAGCTTGAAAGAGAATGGAGCGCACCCAAACTCAAGGACGACACCGTCATCTCACTCGAGGCCGACCTCTTGAAGGAGCCAGTTTGTGAGTTTTTCATGACTACCTATCTTCAAATCGCATCGCTGACCATCTCATCAGTCCACAAGGAAATTCCGAGCGACATGTTCCACTCCCTTCGTGTGGTTGAATTTCAGGGCCTGGACCCGTCGACTCGTGTTGTCTCCGTTCGCGACGTTGCTATCAAAGTCAACCTCTACGGATGCACCCCAGAGTCGCCCTCCGAGTCGGATGATGAGATGGTGACCATTCTTCCAAGCGCCACCAAGGTCGACGGCATCTGGGAACTGTGAGAATGCCTCCCCCGACTATGACACACACACACATTGCTGACATTTAGGCTCTCTAGATGCTGAATCCAACCACAACCTAGCTTAGGCAGTGACTAAGCTACTTCACCTAGAACCACGCGATAGGGATGAAACTACAGCGGTTGCTTCCTATCAATTCAGACTCGGTACTCCGGCCGATCTCTCGGCGAAGTCTTGTGCCGTCGAGTTGTTCGCCGGGAGGTCCGAGGTCCCGAAGAGCGCTCGGCCGAGATCGCCGAATACCTCATCATCAGCTTCGGCGATGTTGAGAGCATCGGTGATGTTGAGAACATCGCTTGTCACCGCAAACCCGACGACGTCGAATCATGAGTGTGCATGACTTAGTTGTGTGCATCATGAACGCTCATCTGAGCAGCCCCGACCAAGGGCGCTCCTTGATGTCTCGGCCGATGCCACATCTAGCCTGATCGACATACTCGACGACGATCTCAGCCATCACCCTACATCTTACCTACTGTATCACGGCGTTTGATATCGGATCATTGCCATGAGACTGCGAGGCACCGGATTGCAATGACAGACGAGCGACGTTTCTGGGTCATGTCAGCTCTCTGTCAGTGTGGATGCTACGCAGCCTTTGTTGAGGGTCTTGCTATTGAAGTAGGCACACCAAATGATGCACGACCATATGAGTCCTGTTACGGATGGTGTTACCCACATCGAAAGGTGCCGCAGGCAAGGACGACCGAGAAGCTCTGTGGTTTGGGTGCAGAGCACAACACACGGTCTCACGGAGAATGTAGACTCGCTGACCAAGGCCGAAGACATGTCTCAGAGATGGCGAGATGTTTTGACGGCCGATTAAACACACTGTGGCCTTTCGATATTCGTTAGGTATATGATGAACTCAGTGAACATTAGCTGTGGTCATAAAGAATAGATGAAGAAGAGGAATTCTCGATTCGCACAGTTCCGCGCTCGCCTGGCTATCTCCTCAACTCATCAATAAACCACGCGATCGCATCGTGACCAATCTTCCTCCTCCTCCAAGAAATCCTTTTGAGCGGAAAGTTTGAGACCCAAGGGTCTGTCTCGTCGCATTCATCCAGGGTCATTGCTCGGCCGAGACACGGGTCTCGGCCAAGCATCAAAATCGCAGTGTCCAGAAATGCCACGTTCAACCAGTCCCTTCAGCTGCTGCGTGCCGTTCCCTTCACCGGCAGTTGCGATGTTTTTGTTGCTGCTGGCCCGAGGGGTCTGGACCGGCCATGGCTTCAGCTTCACCGAAGATGCCATGATCCCTCCTGGGGAGGGGAAGTGATTGCGTCTCGGCTGGTGAGTCGGTCAAGTGCTTGGCGACTTCCCCGCACTTGATCTGGACGCCAAGCTGAAAGTTCTAGGAACTCTCGCTTCTGTCATGTCTTGGAAGATGACCCGAAAGCGGCATCGGTCAGTAACGGGCGGGAATGGACTCATGGCGGATCGCCCCCAATCTCGCCAGGATAGTATCGTTTGAATTCTCGACGATGAAGCACATAAGCCATCAATTAAAGTCGACTGAAACACATTGTGCAGGTCTTGTCCTCTAGATTGTTGCATGAACATGCCTTGTTGTAGTTCAATAGTTCACTTTCCGTAAGTTGACCAGACTAGTAGCGCTTTCGACGACCACCGGTGAATAGACAACGTCGCACAACTAAACAAGCAGTAATCTAGCAAACCTTAATTCAAGATATCCATCAAATGGCTTAAGAAAAGGAGGCCATTGAGCTGCCTGCGGATTTCAACCAATCGCATGATCAGCTTGAGTCACTGCCAGGGTCTCGTTCAACATGGAAATTTACGTTCCCAATGTTTTCAGGGATGGCATTCAGCTGCCGCTAAGCAAGCCTCAAACAAAACCCCACCACCGGAGCAACAACAGTTCATGTACGCAGAAACCGCTTTCGAGAAATGGAGCGTTTCCGTGAGACTCGCAAGAATCAGCTAGATTCTGGGAGATCGGAACCTGACGGCGAGAGGTTTCTGGCCAGCTCTGTCTCGCCCGCTTCAGCTTTCAGGCAGAAAGCCACAGGATATCAGCTGCCGGTAACGAAATTGTGTGTTTGTTCGTTTCTCACGCCATACACTCGGCTTCGAGGCGGAGAAAGTTGACCCAGGCAGTATTCTGAACTCCAGAAAATCACATAAAAGCTCGTGAGAGAACAGAGAAGAAACAAAACTCGAAAGCTCTTCAGACTATAAGATGCTCATCGTCGATCTCGCTGCTCGGATTTTCTGGTTCCCCTTCAGGCCATTCGGACGATATCTGCCCCCTTCTCCTCCTTCTTCTGCACCCATCTTGAAGCCCGCACCTCCTCGCGGAACCAACTCCCCTCCTGTCAACAAACCCGACTCCACTCCTGTGGCTATCAAGCCTTCCAAGATGTATATCTACACGGGTCGGCTCAACTGAGACGACGGCTCTGCTCAGGCCAAGGACGAAACCTTCATTGTTATTCTGCCCAACGGTCACGTCAGCAAGGACGATGTCGCCTACGTCTTCTTCCAGTGGACCAAGAACGAATACGGCCAAGAGAAGGTCAACTGGTTCCAGACCTTCCCCATCGAGAACCTGACAAAGACTGGACGCAACGACAAATTCAAGCTCAACCACCACAAGTTCAAGTGGGAGATCCTCGCCCTCGACGGTTACCAGACACTCGAGGTTACCATGAAAGGACCCAAGCATAACAAGAACCCTGAGGCCTTCACCGTCGACCGTTTCTGGGACTCGGAGTCCCATGGCGGAAAGGCCAACGATATCCCTCTGGTTTGGACCGGCAAGGTCAACTACCAGGACAGCGCCAAGGATGAGATGGCCATCTTTGTCGTCCCCGAGGGCTTCGGAGCCGACCGACCCGTGGTCGCGCTTTGGCAATGGAACCGATTCGACATTCCCAAGAACGACCCGAACATCGCTTGCTCTATGCCGACCGACAAGCCCCCGCCAAGAGTCTCGTTCGTCCAGCACGGAAAGCAGAACATTGAGAACGAGAGCGAGGAAGGCGTCCAGTTCACCTTCAAGGCAGACTACGAGATTTCCGCCTCCTAGAGCCAGCAAAGCGGCAAACTGACCCTCCGCTTCAAGGAACCTGACTCCAAGGCTAGCCAGGAACTTGGAAAGCTTAGCCTTTCTGGTCGGTTTGATCGTAACTCCTTGTAAGTTGATCTCGAGCTTTTCTACAGTAAATGGTACTAATACTTGATGAATTAGTGGCTTCCACCCGCCTGAGTCGAAGCCTGAGCACCTCAAGCTGGATGTCAGAGTCCCTCAGCCTCAACCCTCACTCCCTCGCATCACCGGGAAGATGCCTTTCCCCGAAACTCTTGTGGAGACTCTGACGCACACTGCTGCGTTCGTTGACCAAGCTGGATACCTTGCCAAGTCCGTTGAGGAGGTACGTCTCTAATCATCTGTGGTAAATAAGGCGTAATTGCTGGACGGCAATTACGGATTCGTTTTTGTACGACATCATCTCTATACCCTCAGGAAAGCCTCATACTAATGACGTCTCTAGCAATTCAACGCTCTCAATGCCAAGTATGGTCTGCGCGGTCAGAAGCTTGATGCTCTCCAGAGCAAGAGCGACGGTCTGGAAAAGAGCGTCAAGCAGAAGGAGGCCGAACTTCAAGCTGAGAAGAAGTCTCTTGCGGAGCTGGCCAAAATTCTCAAAGACACTCAAGAAGCGGCGGCCAAGAAGGAGTCAGAGCTTCAGAAGAAGATCGATGAATCACTCGCGGTGATTGCCAAGGCCAGCACTCATGACAAGGCAGACCACGCGGCCATCGAAGAGCTGAAGAAGAAGATCGAGACTGAGCGAAAGAACCTCAATGCGAAGATCTCCAGCTTGCAACAGCAACTCAACAATGCCAAGACTGAACTGACAACAAAGGAGTCTTTGCTCAAGAGTGCACAGAAGGATAACAGGGTCCTGAACAGCACTATCATTGTGCTTAAAGGCCAGGTGATTGCTGCCAACAAGGAGAGAGACGACCAGAAGAAGACGATCAGGGACCTCTAAGCGTACAAGAGAAACGCGGAGTACGCCAAGGGAGAAGCCGATCGGGCCCTTACTGCTGTCAAAGCACAACTGAAGGATAAGGAGGAGAGAGTGAAGGAGCTTGATAAGTTGCTTTTGGCGGAGACAGCCGCAAAGGACAAAGCTTTATCCGATCAGATCTCGGCCGAGAGTGGACTGGAGGCGTTGAGGAACTCAGTCAGGGACCACAATCGGTCCCACGAGCGATTGGCGGCTGACACGATTAAAATTTAACGGCTACCCACATCAACAATAAGCAGCTGGCGCAATGGGCAAGTCTTGCAGAGATGGGAGCTGGACTTTGGATCTGGTGATTGGTTTTCGAAAACTCTCAAGTTTGGACTCATCTTAGTTGGGTTGTTTCACTTAATCTTATCTCATTTGTAATCACTCCTTAGGTAGAGAAATGGGATTACCTACTATCGCAGCATTGTTTCTTCACCCTATTCGTGCTAAAAACCTCATGACAAATGCCTTGGCTGTGAAAATCCTTGAGATCCTGATCATCAGCAATCGGCGGGACTCCCAGCCGCTGAGGCTCGATTGGAAGCCGCGCTACTGGATGATAGACGAAGTACCTAGACATTCGAGAGACCTGGCTTTAGATCGTGTTGGCATCAGAAGGAAACTTCAACAGTAATCTACTTGTAGAGATCTCCGGACTTCAGCATGTGGTATTTGGGAGCTAGCAAGGCCACATCAGCCGACCAGAAGCCTGCTCGAGGGGATTCCATACCGCCAAGAATCAAAATCATCCAGTAGTTTTCTTAGGTGGAATCCAGACTCCTAAACTTGTGGGTTGTAATTTGGATATTGGGCATTCGTGATCCGGCCAGTTATTTGATTTTCTATCCATTTATACTGATAACAATGTTTCCGAAAGACTTCTGTCAGAAATTATGTAACTACATATCTCGAAACTCGTATATCTGGAGTCTATCGACGCATAGCCTAGGGTGGTCGCCTACCTTAAGCAGGAACGAAGGACGATATCGGCCACCACGCCAGAAGAGATGTTTGGGGGAAAAGGTTAGTTGGAATTAAACTACGAAACCAACATATTCCAGCACAGCACCGCCATCTAATCCCAAACACCCGAAACCCCTCCACATGACACTATTATGTACAGTACCGTCATGGGTAAACTCTTAAATCTCCTTGACAAAACCAACCTCAACAACCCTATCCATCGCCAACCTCAGATTCGCAATCTTGGCCCGGGTGTTATCCCGAATCCACAAGAACGTACCCAAGGTGAAGCGCCTCAGAATACTCGTCCCCGTCCGGATGTGCATCTGCCCCTTGCCGACGATATACAGCACCTTTTGCGAGTAAGCACGATCCAGCTTCGCCAGCTCCGCCGCGACCTTTTCATCCCGCAGCTCAACGGGGCCGTCGGTATCTTCCCATGAGCCGTCCGTCGTCGTCTCCCCGCACGCAGTAGCCGCCTTAGCCGCCGCCTTGGCCGCCGCCTGCCGCACGACAAACTTGCGCACCTGCTCGTAGATCAACGCGCCGAGATCGGGGCTGACGACTTCATCCATGAACCCGTGGCGCACGACGAGGCGGTAGCAGCCGGGAAGGTTCGCGAATCGGGAGATGTGGAAGCGCTCCGTATCAGGAACGGTAGGGACCTCAACGGGATGCAGATGGAAGAAAACCGCCACATCGGGCAGCGCGCCTAGCTTGGAGGCAAAGTGCGTGAAAACACTGGGCGTCTGCACGCCCGTCTTGTCAAAGAAGATACCGAAGCCGCTGACGGGGGAAAGCACATCCCCGCCCCACCGCTGCGTGAGCGCCAGCATGCCCTCCTTGTTCTTGGTCACGAGCGTGCTGGGCTGGAATCGGTCCTCGGCCTCGGCGCGCCACTGGTTCTCCTTGCCGAAGCGCCAGAGGAGGAACATGCCGGCCATGAGGGCCGAGATGAGCAGCGTGAACCATGCGCCGTCGGGGACCTTGTTGAGTGCCGAGGACAGGTAGAGGCCATCGAGGGTGGCAAAGGCCAGGAAGGGGAGGGCGATGAGCCAGACGGGCAGGCGCCAGACGAGGATCGCGACGAGGGTGACCATGAGGGTGTCGAAGAAGGTGACGAAGATGACGCAGACGCCGTAGGCGTGTCCCAGGCTGGTTGTGTTGTTGTAGACTGCCGTGACGAGGATCGTACCGATCATGAGGAGCCAGTTGAGTAGGGGCACGTAAACTTGGCCGTGGAAGGTGGAGGAGGTGTGGACGACCTTCATTTGCGGACAGTAGGAGAGCTTCATGATTTGGCTGGAGAGTTGGAAGGTTGCCGTGATGATGGCTTGCGAGGCGACGATGGCGGCGAGCACGGCGAGGATCAAGCTCGGGTAGAGCATGCCGGGCGGCACGGTGTTGAAGAAGGGGTTGGTGTACTTCTCCGGCATGACGGCGAGATGGGCGGCCTGTCCGCTGTAGGCGAGGATCAAGCATGGGTAGGTCCAGAGTAGCCAGCTCATTTGCACGGCACGCATGCTGAAGGCACCCAGGTCGGCGAAGAGGGCTTCGACACCGGTGAAGCAGAGAAGAACGCCGCCGAGCATCTTCCAGCCCTCTGTCTTTTTGTCCATGAAGAAGTGGATGGCGTAGTACGGGCTGAATGCCTTGAGAACGGTGTAATCGTATTTCACGAGGTTGTAGATTCCAAAGGCGCCGTTGAAGCCCAGCCAGATGATGACGATGGGCGCAAAGGTGGTGGCGAGCTTGGTGGTGCCGAGGGGCTGGATCAGGAAGAGCAGGACGAGGATGCCGCAGGTTGTGCCGACGATGGTGGAGGTGCTGATGTCGGGCTTGACGACGGACAGACCCTGGATGGCGCCGAGGACGGACTGGGCGGGCGTGAGGATACCGTCGGCGATGACCATGGAGACGGCGAGGACGCCAATCGTCTTGAGGAAGCCTCGTGTGAATTTGGACTTTTCGATGGCGGTGCGAATGCCGCGCGTGACGGGGCGCACGTCTTGGGTGTTGTGGCGTTCCATGCGGACTGTTGCTTCTTCGCGGGGATCAAAGTTTGTGATGTTGGCCTTGGTGGTGTTAGTAAACGTACAGGGATGGGGAGTCTGTTGATGTGCTGGAGCAAGTTGACTTACAAATCTGGTCAAGAGGGAGTAGCATGAGAATGTACCACCCTCGCCCTCGTTATCGGCGTGCAGGACGATGAAGACATATTTGACCGTGACCATGAGAGTGAGGGACCAGATGATGAGAGAGAGAACTTGGGTAATGTCGTTCTTGGTCGGGAGATCCGAGAAGGTGGACGAGTATACATAGAGAGGACTGTACTGTCGTTAGCAAACTTGATATTTCTGTACACGTTTCCTGATTAAAACTTACCTGGTTCCAATGTCACCATAGATGACACCAATGGACTGATACGCAAGCCTGAAGAAACAGTCAGCGCATGATTCCCTCAAATCAAATAGATGAGCCCGTCACCGCTCACAACATACCACATCAATGTAGTCCCGGTAAAGACCTGCTTCTTCCTTCCATCATCACGACGCCAATCATCACCACCTTCATCGGCCTCGGCATTCGACTCCCTCGTGATAGCGCGCGAAAGGCGGTTTGAAGAGACGCGGTTCAGGTCACGGCTGTGGTAGATACCGCCAGCGATGCCAGAGCTGGAGCCGACATCAGGACCGGGGCGCGGCCATGTCGACCACTCGTCGACGGTCGAACCGGACTTGTGCTTCTCGAGCTTGTCTTCGATTGTGATTCTGGGAGCGCTCGGGGTTGTTGGGGTGCCTTGGGCGTCCATGCCAGGCGGGAATAGGTTTTGGGGTGGGGAAAAGCTGCGAGGATAGGTAAGGAAAGGAGGAGAGGTAAAGAGCGCCGGCTTAAAGCACAGCGTGTGGGAGATGAGACCTGACAAAATAGCAGGATCCGAGGGACAGAGAATAGCAAAGTGGTAAAAGGGGGACGTCACAAGAACCAACAGACTGGGAAGCTTTACTGCTGAAGACTGGGAGGGCAGACGCGACTTCTTTAGGTCCCGGGAATTTGGAATGGCAGGGTCTGGATCTTTTTGGGTTGCCCTACCCTAATCTCACGATTTAAATCTTTGTCTCAAAAGACAAAGACGGCAAAGTTGGATGAGGGAAGAGGAGAGAGTGGGGGTGCCATGAGGGATCTTTGCTTCATCTTGCCCATCTCGGGAACCCTTCGAAGAGGTACAGAGAAACAGGCCAGCATGGTGGTCAAGGCTAGCCCGGCTAGTGTAACGGGAATTCGACGCATCCTTGATGAAGCGGCCCTAGAGGCTAGTACAGACGCGGCCTCTACTTTTTGTCAATTAGCCCGGTAGAGCAAAAGCCACCGGGGCCCATATTAGCATCGAGGAACGACTGGGCGGTCGACGACGACGGCCATCCCCGGGGGCGGCTTTCCAGTTTCCAGCCCACTCGTACCCTACCACCCTTCTTGACGTTATCCACCTCGGGGCCTACTTGTGAGATCCCATGTGGCATGTGGCGTGCAGGTTTCCCATCTGCACATATGCACGGGCTTATCTGTGAACAGACGGGGATTACCCTCCCCCTCTGATGCCTATGGGAAAGAGTTTGATGACAGAAACAAGGCTGTCACAAGCTTCTCAATCATGGGGGTTGGTTCGGAAGCGGAGCGGTTAGTGATGCTTTGCCATCTTCCTTGGTGTTGGATGGCTCGTGTACGGTGTAGGTACGGTACTTCAGGCAAAGTGCGGCAAGGTGTGCCGGGTGGGAGGAAGGCCGGACGATGCAGTCGAAGGAGCGAGCGCCCGCTGTGAGTGTGCCGACATGCTGTAGCCTGTATCCATAAAGTAGTGATGATGAACGTTTTCTCTGCAAGACTGCACGGTGAGCAGAGGGGGGGGGGGGGGGGAAGGATGGCAGGGGTAGCTTGAGTAAAGGTAGGGGTAAAGGCGGCTCTCCTCCAGTCAAGAGATGATGGGAGGGCACGCAGTTGAGTCTTTCACTCTTTTGAGACTAAGAATGCGGTGTTCGCGGGGCCCGTATACATGGTTGAAATGGTGGTGTCCTTATGGAGACTCCCATCGAGACAGCTTCGGCAGCGTGGGCAGCCAAAGGATGAGGCTCGAACTTTGACTTTCCATGACAGAAAACGGGTCACACTCACAAGAACGATGACGGCGTCTCAGTTTTTCTGTTAAGACGCTTGTTGGCGGTGGGCTGCCGCTGGCCATGTTGTCTCTTGCCAAAAGTCTCTAGCGTACTTTCAGCTCTCGACTTCTACACCCTCTCGCGATGCTAAGTCTGTCTGACTTCTTGATCTTTCGATTCTTTTCTGACGGTCTGACCTGATCTCGCTGCACGTGCCAGTGTGCCGATATGCTGCCAAGCCCTGACTATGTGTGAGCAGAGGTGGGATGAGTTCCTTGGCCCATTATTTTTTTTCCCCTCCGAACAGCAGAGCAGAGCCAACTTGCCAAGGCGGTGCCAAGAAGAGCCAAGTTGCGGGCGTAAGGGAAATTGATGTTGACGATGTGGTCCGTGGATGGATTGGGGGGGGGGGGGGGGGGGCATCCAAGGAAGTGAATACCCAAAGGAGGAATGCTCTTCAACTTTGAAGCTGCAACAGAATAATGCCTCACCAACTCTGGCCACTTTGCCGGTCGTTGCCGTAGGTAGATGGCCCGGGCTGTGTAGGGCATGACTAGGCGGTGATGGGCAGAATGATGGACCTCGGGAGGTTGGGAGGTTGGACATTAGGCTTTGGATTTGGAGTAAGAGAGAGAAGAGAGAAGAGAGAATCGGGGGCAAGCCGAACAGGATGGAGGGAAGATGGGCGTCGGGAGGCAGCCCAGGCTAAGGTGCGGTCTACCTACCTACCTACCTACCTACCTACTGTGTATCCGTAAAATGGAGGATGGAAACAAAGAGGGGGGGAGGTGGGAGGATGTAAGCGACACCCCCGTAGCTACCCCTGCCATCCCCGGAGGGTTTCTGCGGGGACATGCGAGACAGGTGGGGCATTGTGGGACTAAAAATGGATCCGGTGTTCGGAGGCACGAACGGGTATCTGGACCCACCCGGCCGTGTTTGGTTTGTTTAGAGCTGCTAAGCTTCTGCTAGCGCCCGCCAAGCACGCCGCATCCATTTCCTTAACAATTTCCAAGAGGTCGGCTATCCGCCCTAAGAAAGGGCGACTTGGGTCATGACAATCTCATCTCACGGAAAAAGCCTCAAAGTGTCAAACTTTTCGGCGTGAGTGATTTTTCGGTTCACCATGGTCCCATTGGACCGCCAAGACATTGCTCACTTGTGTTTTGCCAAGACTTTTTTTTCGTCTATCCCACACTCTCTCTCACTAACAGTCTCTCACTGACACTCTCGTCTGTTTATGTTTGATTGATTGTTTGCATAGCCACACGGGATACTGAATACGGCTACCATTACTTTTTCCAGGTTTTTCCTCTCCCACATCCCATCAACAGACTGACCACCAGGCTAGCTTTGCCCATGTTGGTGACAACTGACAGATCCAATCCAATGTACACTCGCGTGCCGCGCCTGGCACGGACTCTGGTGACTCTGGTGACTCTGGTGAGATTACATCGCATGCTTGACCGTCCCAGACTGTTGGGACCAGGTCAGGGTGAATATTGGTCTGTGTTACCCGTGATGCCAGCCATGGACCGAAGGAGATGCTTACCCTCAGTCGATCTTTCTTCTCTCTGTGACCTGGCAAGGGCAATGTCCGATGTTACATGGGACACACGACATCGTGCTTGAACCACAAGCCTATTGCATCTGTCAACCCCAAACTCAATCTTTGCTCGGGGTTCACTAACAGAGTAGCCCGTCGAGCCTCAGGTAGCCTGTCTTGCCTACGTACTTCGCATGGCGCCGAGACCATGGTACACCGCCCAAGCCAAACAGGCGTGTCAAGATGCGCAATTCCTACGCGTGGTCCGTAGTCCGTATACCTGGATCCAATCATTGCTCTATTTCATTGTACGCTTTTTTGCCTTTTAACTGATTTGCTCCACTCCAATCAAGCCTTTCCCGAACATACGTACGCCACAGAAACTATGCCACTCCAGACAAGTCCAGCCGACGGCCATGTCGTAACACAGACATGACAGAGCACTCAAACATCCCATCATGGGCAGTACTCTCAATCCATCTGATCAACAGTCTGCGCAGACCCATTCGTCTTGGCCTCTCCCACAACAGCCGTGCCGTCCGCCTCGCTGACGACAAAGTTCCACCCAAACTCGTCCTTGAGCTTACCGAGCTGAATAGCCTGCAGCGTCGACAGCAGCTTCAGGCAGATATCGCCCGCCTCCTCCTGGCTTTCGGGGATGAAGGTCACCGTCTCCTCGCCCGCCTTGGCGCTGCTGACGCGCTCCTGCGAGCTGCCGGCGAGGGACTGCGGGGAGGAAGCGTCGACGCGCCGCGTGATGGAGCGGATGGGCACCAGGGCCGCTGCCGTGCCGGCTGCCATGACCTCGGAAAAGGTGGGGAGTTCGCTGTACTTGATCTGTTGTGCGCGTCCTTGATTAGCATCATCATCATCATCATGACACTTCCTGGAGAGAAAGAGGGTTGGTTCCAAAGACTCACCACTCGCTTCTCGACCGCCCAGCCGAAGCTACGTGCAATGTCCTGGATACTGGCGCTCGTCACACTGTCGATAACACACTTGGAATCCGGCACGACGAGGGTAATCTTGTCGCCCTCCTTCTTGGCACCAATAAAACCACTGGTGCTGAACTCGTCAATCTCCTCGTGCTTGACACTGTCCAGATGCAGTGTGATGCCGTATCCCTCGCTCCTCGCGCGGTCGCTGAAGCGCAGCACGGGCGCGTAGTTTCCGCCCACCTTGGCGTGTCCAGTACCATTCGGCGCAGCACGGTCAAAGTCGTCGAGAATCAGCGCATTAACAGGGTGGCTGCCGTGGTAGACGCCCGTGGGGATCACAAACACGGCGAAAACGTACTCCTCGGGCGGGCTGAGGCCCAGCTGGGCGGAGGAGCCGTAGAGCTGGGGGCGGATGTACATGGCCGCGCCGGTCTCGTGGGGCGGGACGTAGCCTGCGTTGAGGGAGACTGCGGCCTTGACGGCGGCGATGAAGAGGTCTTCGGGGACGCGGGGCATGGAGGCGACGTCGGCGGAGTGCTGGAGACGTTTTGCGTTCTTGTCGGCGCGGAAGATGTTGATTTGCTTGTCGCCGGGGGCGCGGAAGGCCTTGAGGCCCTCGTAGGCTTGTTGGCCGTAGTTGAGGGCGGGTGCCATGCCGTGGATGCGCATGAAGGGGTCGGCGACGAACTTGAGGGGGGTCCATTTGCCGGTTGTGACGGAGTAGGTGGACTCGATGTGGCCGTTGACTGTAGATAGACGTTAGCGTAGGGTTTCTTTCGTGGTGGTTCATGGAGACGATGGTTGAAGGAGGGGTTGAAGGAGGGGGGGCAGCGTTTGGAATAAGCTCTAACCTTCGCGGATCTTGAAGCCGACGTTGGACCAGTCAATGGTGTTGACCGGAGGGGGCGGGAAGGCAGCCATTGTGAGTATCGTTTGTTATTGTATCGGGAATCGTGGGTTCGTGGATCGTGGGTTGAATCCGTTGGTGTTTTCGGGACTCGCGGAGGTGTGGAAGGCGGGGGAGTGACTCTTAAGTCAATTGGGGTTGCAATTCGATGTGGTTCGATGCTGGCAGAAAAAGTCCACTTTGTTACTAGATATGGATGCTTTTGGGATCTCACGTAATAGCCCCCCGTAAAGCGAGTTTCAATACAATCGAGGATTGATCGTGGAGGGGGAAATTGGGTCAGAGTCATATTTCGTGATTTGCTTGGGCAGAGTTCAAACTTTTGGAGGGGCGCCGATCTCGGGACTGCGGGGTGACGGCCTCCGCCGTGCGTCTGCCCCTTTTGGTCTGCTGTGATTGGCTAATTGCTTACTGAGATGGCGGGGCACCCCTGAGCTAGCCTCCGTCTGCCGGAGGGCCGCATCTGGCAGATGCGAGGGGCCGAGGTGACGCTGCCGTCGTTGACAGTTCCATGGTAGGAACACTATCCGTACCTAGTAATTAAGTCGAGTCCATTCACTTAATGTGATGTCATTCCTGTCGTTTTCCACGCGGCAGCTGCAGAAGAAACGGTCGAGGAGCACGTGGGGATCAGATGAACTCTGACGGCGAAGAGGGGAATGCCTTGTGTCCAAGTGTATCAAGTCTAGGGATGAGTCTGCGATACCAAGTGGGGGTTACTACTGAAGTTTTCTGTTAGTTGATGTCCATTGATCTTAATCAAATAGACCCCAGAACTCCACGATGAAAGATGTAGAGATCCCCATAAGCATACGGGGCAAGACATATCCATCGGAGCGGCCCGTGATGGCGCTCACGTGGGCCTCTCTAGGTTGGAGAAACACAACATGGTACGGAGTATGGAATAGAAGAAAATGATATAACGAACCTCGTCGCCCTGGCTATGGGGGAAGTAGCTTGTAGGTTCTGTGGTTTCTCAAGAAGACACTATCGGATCAAGCGATACCAGCTGTTCCTATCTTCAAGTTGTTCCTACTGTCTACGTGAAGTACCTTGCAGCTTCTCAGTGAGCGTGTATCCGTACCCCATGTACTAAGTCAACAGTTACTAATGATGGGTCTCGTGATCGGACTCTTGACGGAGTTCACGAACTTGGAGAAGGAGGAGAAAGTCAATAGGGAGTGCTTATCTGGCGTGGGTCTTCCCCACGACCGGGATGTGTCACCCGGGCCGCCGGTTTATCAATTTCCCTGCCCTGCAATGTGCGGGGACAGTCCAGTCTCTGCCATCCATCCATCTGCCATCTGCCATCTGCCACCCATCCACACGCAGTCGACCTGGGAGAATCCAAACCCATGCGAGTCCATATCATGCCGATAAGACGGGGGGTTTACTCCTCAACCACCTATCGCCCAAGCATTAACGAGCTATCTTCAAGTCCGAGTCTAGCCCGAGGACCCCGGATTACGGACAGAGCATGGACTGGGCTCTAACTACGATTGATAGCGACTGGAATTCCCCAGATGGAACATGCCTACCGATAGTAGCCTCATCCAAGTTCGCGATTCATTCATCCCAAGGGACTAATAGATCCCATTGACGCGCCTCTGATCGTCCCTCACTGCGGAGCCTAAACCCTCCCCTTCCGGAACCCACCTTATCGCAGCACCGCCAGCCCCTCCTACCTACCTGGGGCCTCACGACGACTCCCTTGTGGTGATGGACGATGCTCGATATGCCAAACGAGCACGCCAGGCCTGTGAGCCATGTCGGTATGGACATCATTATCACAATCACAACGTCAACAGTATGAATCTAACAATATCTGCAGTCGCAAGAAGTCAAAATGCCCAGGCGAGCGCCCGACATGCTCATATTGTGAGCGACTAGGACAGCAATGCGTATACAATGCGCCTGGCGGAGAAGTGCCAGACTCGCAAGTCACAAAGCACAACAGAGAGATGGTACGTATTCCTAATCTAGGTTTGACTTGAGAATGCGACAGTGCTGATTTGAGGTCTACGTGATTAGGAAACCCGGCTCAACAGTCTGGAGGATAAAATGGACCGCTTGATTCAACATTTGAGGTTCGCGAACATCTTCCCAGCAGAAACAACCTAAGTTGACGTATCCAACATAAACTAGCCCCGTGTCACATCATACCCAACCATCAGTAGCGTCTCGCCACGTGCTCTCACCAAGGCTGAGCGTATCTGCAGAGGAGATAGGCCCGAAAACAGACTCAGGTCCCCCAGCATGGAGTCCTAGGTATGTCAACCTCGGTCATGCAATCGTCGTCATCCTCCCCTCAAACATCTACTTACACTCGAGGATCCAGGAGCCCATCAAGTGCTGCTGAGGCGCAGTTAATGGACACAGGGCGTCGCTATCTCTTATGGTTCCACGCCCAGCCCATCACGCTCTTCGCCGAGGAGACCTTTCTGCAGTCTCTTGCCTCGCGAGATCCAGAGTTGATACTATCGCTCCAAGCTCTAGTGCTGCGATGTCCGCCGGGGACTCTCACAACCCAGATCAAACAGCAGGTTGACGACCTCGCGAGGTCTGCCCGCCGCATGGTCATGGAGCGGGTCACGGAAGGTCGGGTCGAGCTGTCCACGTTGCAGTCGCTATGTCTCCTGAGCATGTTTGATTTCGCTAGTACGTGTTCCGATGACGAGCTTCCTCTTCATCATGCCCTAGCTCACACATCTTCTAGCTGGTAACATCACACAATCCGGACTCAGCATCACCACCGCGAGCCATCTCGCACACAGCATCCCACCAACCAACAACCCCAACAACGCCCAAGAAAGGAACTACTGCCTCCGAACAATAATCGTCCTCCAGCATCTCCAGGGCTGCATAATGCCCGCCCCGCGACTCATAAGCTCCCTCCCCGGCTCCACCAACAGCGGTTCCCACGTCCTCGGACTCACAGCATACTGTGGGATCCCAGAGTACCACCTAGACGACAACCCAGATAAGAACATCTCTACAGTCGCCTCCGATTTCTGCGTTGTCTGGCGGATGGCCCGCGCCTACGCCGCATCCAGAGTCAGCCCCGACGCGCCGCCGCCGTGGGACTCTCGCTCCGACTACTCCATGGTCCTGCAAAGCCACCACGACATCGACTGCCGCGCGCCGCAGAGGTTCCGCTTCGCCGCGAACCGCATCGACCAGCAGAGCCCCGAGTCTCTACAGGCGCAGCGGCAGTACTGGATTCCCTTCCTCTTCAGCCAGTTCGTCCACGAGACGATCCCGTGTCTCCTGAACCATCCGTTCCTGCTTTCCATGCGCCTGCGGCATTTCCGACACACCATACCCGTCCACTTTATCCAGCAGTCCTTTGAGAGTATGAATCGGACAGCTGGTTGGATCATCTTCTTTTTGGACGTCATTGAGAAGAAGTCGCTGCCGGTCATGGACCCGGTCATGGCGCACTGCGTCGTGATTGTGGCGACGATCCATCTTCAGCACAGCTTTGTTCACGACCAGATACTTAGAAGCAGAGCAAAATCCGGCTTCGAAAAGTGTATGAACTTTTTACGAAGAACAGGAGCCGTCTGGCCAAGCGTCGCCAACATGGTATGTCCCGTCGAATGCTCCATCAGAAACGTGAACTAACCATTGCCAAGGCAAGTAACCTCCGACGCCTCCAAGACAGCGTCGTAATGAAATCCCCTCCGGACCGCGGCGACAACACGTCACAAAACCGCTCCTTCTCCATAAACACCCAACTCCTCTGGGACCTCCTCATCTACGACCGCGCATGCCGCCCCGACGCCGGCTGGGACCAGTCCATGTTCGGCGCCACCCTCCGCTCCGACGCCCGCGAGCTCTCCACCGAAACGGGCGCCGCCGAGTTCGACCTCGTCGGATCCGCCGGCATCTCGGGTCACAAGGCCGTGCCCAACGACGTGGGTGTCTATGCTCCTAATGATGATATTGCGCCTGTGGCGATTACGGAGCAACCACCGCCACCGCCACCGCCGCATCATTTGGTTGGGCAGGGACTGGGGGATATGGGGCCTTCGTTTGAGGATATTTTCTTTGAGGGCGTGGGACCGTTTGGGGACCAGTCGAATCGGTTTATTGAGGCGAATGATTATGGGAGAGCGATTGATGATTGGTTGAATCTTGAGAATTAGCATGTTTATCATGATAAAAGGCGTACAGCAATAACGAGTCCATTTCTGTCCATGGCGAGGTCTCGTTGGTGCTTCTCACATGGCACAAGTCAGCCTGGTTCTTTGAGAGCTCTCGTGTTTAGTCAGAAGACCCTTGACCGCTCGAATGCTGGAGTCTTGGCCTCTTGCACAGGCACGAGGCTCGAACATTGTCACCGAAGGCCAAGAGACGAAATGCCTCTCCAGCATGAAGCCATCACCAGGGATCGAAAAGGATTGGTTCAATCAACACATTCGAAAAGTCGCTAATCAATTTGTACCCGTGAGAACCCTTAACCAAGGCTTCAACCACCAAAGTCATACTTAACAAACGAAACGCCAGTCTACAGTTTGACCTCTAACTCTTCCTCATCATTACTCTCATGCTGATTACTGCGACCTACCAAGCCAACCCCTCAATCTGCCCCGACTCAGCCCCACAATCAAGACTCCGACAAAACGACACATCCTCCCCCGTCTTATCAGAAACATCATGCTTCGGCGTCGCCGGCCAAATCTCCCCTCCCTCCTTGTCCTCTTGCTCCTTGTGCCGCATCACCAGGCTCCGCGTAATCTCCTGGAAGAAGAGCGGTCCTTTTTCCACGCGCGGGTGGAGCTCTCCGTTCATGAAGACGCCCGCGTTGAGGTTCTTTTGCGCGCCGTTGCAGAGGTCTTTGTCTTCGCGGAGGACCTGCTTGAAGAAGTCTGAGATGAAGTTGAAGGCTTCGTCGGTGGCGGTCTTTTGGCGGTAGACTTCGTATTCCATTTTGGATTGGGTTGCTGAGACGGGGACGCAGCGTTGGATGTACATGAAGTCTGGTCTATATGGACATAAACGTTAGCCCTTGCTCCGTCATATGTAACTGCCTGTTTCGCAGACTGAATGCTAGTGGGAAAATACTCACGTTACGGTCGTGGATGCGTTAGGGTAGAGGTAGCAGCTGTGAATTCCCAGACCAGGAACAGTCTCCTTGTCAACGTTCCAGTGCTGGATCCAGTTTCCTTGAGTCTCGACCCAATATCTCGTCAAGTCAGTGGTAGCAGCCACCGCAGGATGACCAGTCTGGCAATGATAGCACTGCGGTTTCGAACACGTAGTCAGCCATCTGATATCTTGTCACCAGCACGACAATACGGCCTCAACCGACGACACATCGAACGTACCTCATTGTAGTTGTCCGCCAACGTCTTCCAATTATAATCACCAAGCATCTCCCACGTGTGATCAAAGTGGTAGTCATCCAAGTTGAACCCCTCCAACCGCGGCTGTGTGTCGACCTCGGCGAAGAACTCCTCCCACGGCACCGACGGCTTTTCCGCGCCGTCCAGATTCACCCAGACGAAGCCTAGCTGATCCACGTGGACGTGAACGCTGAACAGGTTGTTCTTGCTCTTATCGAACGACGGCAGCTCCTGGTACTTGGGCGCCTTGGCCAGCTTCCCGTCGAAACCATACGACCATGCTAGCATACCAGCGTTAGCATTTACGCACTCTGACAACTAAATCTTGCTGTATATGTATAACATACCGTGGTAATTGCAAGCAAGCACATTCATATGCCCGCTATCCTTCTCCACTAGGGGATACGCGCGGTGTCGGCAAATGTTGTGGTGCCCCCTGATCTCACCCTTGCGGTCCTTGACGAGGAAGAAGTTGAAGCCCGCCTCGGTGACCTGCACAAAGTCGCCTGCCTCGACGAAGCGCGCTTTGTGCGAGACAAGCATCCATCGCCTGGAGAAGATGGCGCGCCTCTCGAGCTCGTACATGGCCGGAGAGCGGTACCATATCGCGGGCAGAGCACGGACGGCCTTTGGCTCGTCGGGCTCCGCTGCGGTGGAAGGTTTGCTGAGGCCGAACCAGCTCATGTTTGTGACTTGGATATCCTGTAACGCGGAATTGTGGATTTTGGGTGTAAGTTGTTGTCAAAAGACTTTGTTGAACAAGCTCTGAAGTGTGATAGGTGGTTGGACTAACAGAACACGAAGGAAGATTCGTCTTCAGCTAACGATTAAAGAGGTTGCGGGAAAATGTTGCAATATTCACTATTTGTAACAATACACGCCAATCCCTGTTCACGATAACGACTCCGCAGTCCCGAGTCTGCTCCATCGCTATGCTAGTATACAATGAGGATCACCCTTTCGAACGCCGGAGTACGGAACCGAGAAAGTGGGGACGGGCCGGGCCTCCGGATCCATTCAATCGGGTGGATTGCCCCGATCCAGGAGATAAACGTCCTTGTCCGCCTCCGTGGCGTCCCTATCTTGGGCCATTGAGGAACTCTACGCCTATCGGTTTGTTGTTATTGTCTCAGATTCGATTTGCTTAGAGGATATGGAGGTTTGATGTTGCAATGGGAACGACGCCCGTACGTTTTGTTCTTATCTGCACTCCGCGCATCACACGGGCCGTCTCCGATCACTCTAATCACGCGCAGCCATCTCTGGTTCTGCTTGTCCACCTCATACAATGACGGTCTCTGGACTTATCACATTACCTTACCTACGTAAACTTTGACTTGTGACACTACATCATTGGTAGATCAAACCTATCTCTCCATTTCTTGATCCTGACCCTGAGACTATCATCTTTTGGCCCACGCATTATCCAAACCCTTGCAACAACTATCTGAGGCTCACGACCTTACAATGACTGTAAATGGTAAAATAGGCTCGGTTGCCAACGGCAGCACACATGTCCCGGTGAACGGTGTCAACGGCCATCTGAACGGCAGCTCTTCGCCGGCCGAAGCACTACACAGCACAAATGAGACTTCATCACATGCCCATATCAACGACACCTCGAACGGTTTCAATGGCCTCCATGTTGATCAAATCACCAATGGAACACTCAACAAAGATCGTCAACGGCTTCGTGTAACCATCATAGGTGCCGGGTGAGTAGACATGGCTATAATCTACCAGAGACAGTCTTGGCTGATGGAATTGCGGCAGAGTATCCGGGATTTCGATGGGTGAGAATCCATAATCCTCATTGGCTACTATCGATCTCATGGCTGACTGGTTTCACCCACAGCCTACAAACTTGAGAAGCATCTCAAAGACTATGTCGAGATACAGATTCTTGAAAAGTCACCAGAACTTGGCGGGACATGGTTCGAGAACAAATATCCAGGTTGGTGTTCTCTTGATATAGCCCGCACGGGCAACTTTGCTCACTCATCCCTCCTCTTAGGATGCGCATGCGATGTCCCTAGTCACTGCTATCAGTTCAGCTTCGCGCCAAATCCCGATTGGTCACGGTTGCAAGTACCCAGATTCTGCAAGCAAGATTTTCAAGTAGAACTAACTTTATCGTACAGTTATGCTTCATCCCAAGAGATTCAAGCCTATCTCGATGGTGTAGCACGCCATTTTGATCTGCGCAAGTTCATCAAGTTCAACACAGTCGTAACTAAAGCAGAGTGGTCAGAAGACTCCGGCACCTGGTCCGTAGACACCGCGGATGGGTCAAGGCTCATATCCGAAATTCTCGTCAACGCCAGCGGCATTCTCAACAACTTCCAAATGCCAAACATTGAAGGATTCGAAACTTTTGCCGGGCCCGTGCTTCATACCGCCAACTGGGACTCATCCGTTAATCTCAGCGGTCGACGAGTCGGCGTCATTGGAGCGGGCGCGAGTTCCGTTCAACTTCTCCCTGAAATCCAAACAGAAGCCAGAGAGATCAGCGTCTTCATCCGGACACCCTCGTGGATCTCTCCGCCGTGTGCCCTGCCGGAGGCCAATCGTCCGGAGCACACCTATGGCACAGACGAAAAGAAGGCGTTTCGAGATGACGAAAGGGAGTATCTCGAAACCAGGAAAGGTCTAGAGTCGCAGTTCAATGGGATGTTCCAGGCCTTCTTCAAGGCGAACCCAGAGCAGAGAGATTTGCGTCAGCGGTTCGAGACAAGGATGAGAAGTCTGATTCAGGGCAAAGCCTTGCAGGACCAGCTCGTTCCCAAATTCGAAGCAGGCTGCCGACGGATCAATCCCGGCGAGAGGTATTTACTCACTTTACAGGAGCCAAACGTCGAGCCGGTGTTTGACGGCATTGAGAGAATTACGTCGAGCGGTATTGTCGCGGGTGGCGTCGAGTACCCAGCCGATGTTTTGATTGCTGCCACAGGCTTCAACACTTCGTTCCGACCACGTTTCCCCATCCTCGGCCGCAACGGCGTCAATTTGCAAGATCTCTGGGCCGATGAGCCAACGTCATACTGTGGTACAGGCGTCTCTGGGTTCCCCAATTACATGGTTTTCCTAGGACCTAATACACCCATTTCCAACGGAAGTCTCATGGGTAAGTCATCCTGTGAGGGATAACGAATGTCATTGAACGACGACTAAGAAGTTCGTATTCAGGCCCCATCGAAGCGACGGGCGACTACTTTGTCAGAATCCTCTCTAAGGTTGTCAGACAGCGGGTCAAATCCTTTGACGTGAGACCAGAGGCGCAGAGCGACTTTGATAAGCATACCCAAGAGTTCATGAAACACATGGTGTGGACGGGCACATGCCGCAGTTGGTGTCAGTAAACAACCCAACCCTCAACTCGAGAAGATTGCAATCACTGACGGCGTGTACCGTGTAGTCAAGAAGAACATCACAGGAAAAGTCAGCGCCCTCTGGCCAGGAAGCTCCCTCCACTACATGCAATGCTTAGCCGAGGACCGGTGGGAAGACTACGAGTGGCGTTACGACAGGGAGAGGTACTCGTACTGGCGCGAGGGCTTCTCCTGGATCGAGCAGCCCGAAAAGGATCCGCTAGGCATAGAGCAGCGGGAATATGCGACGTCCATGACGACCATTGCGAACAGGTTCTCTGATCTCAGCTTCTACCTGCAAAAGGCTGAGTCTCTTCCGCCAGGCGCGGTTGCGTTTGTGCCTCAGGCTCTTGAGCAGAAGCAGTATGTTGAAGGGGATGTGAAGATGACGAGCAAGGTGGAAGACTTTGGAAAGAAGGAAGGATGAGAAGTTGTCAAAGACCAGACATGTGCGTCTGCTGAGAGTGTCCAGAACATTGGGGCTATTAGGCCGAGTGTTATGGTTCCGGTCTAAGAGGAAGACAGGTCTAGCGGTCTAGCCTATAAGCTCTTACTAGCACGTATTCCGAAGTAACCGCGATGAGCCTCTGATAGAGAATAATATGGCGGGACTAGAACATAGACAAATGATTCCGATTGCGTCTAGTTACAGTCATCATGACAACGGGTGTAAAATATTTCTGTTGTGATGCAATCAACAACTGGTAGTCTAGATTATGCAGGAAAAATGGCCTAAAACTTCAAGGAAGCATCCGTTCCAATAAAGTCTTCTTAAATTCAAAAGCCTTGAAGCGTTATCGCCATTCATCCTATTCGGCTTGGTTGTACGCAATAGTGTCAACGGGGAGCACCAAGCCTACAACCCCAATCATCGCGAAACAACCGCACGCCACCCAGATAGGAGCCGGCGTACTGACGTCGGCAAAAGTAGCAATGAATGGTGAAGATAGAGACGCAAACTGCCCAACAGCCATGAGCAACCCATTTCCCAGCCCTCGATTCTCCACACTCAACGCCTGCGGCGTGTACCTGTGACACGGGCAGGTCAGCTTCTTTACCTAGAAGTATCAACCACTGATATGGAGGAAAGAACTCACGCATAATTGATAGCATACATGGCATTCAGCCAAAAGCTAATCATGCACGAAAATGCCAGGTTCTGTGACTGGTTCTTCACGGACGTAAACGCAGCCGAAAAGGCCGCGCATGCGGCGCCCGTCAGGACGAGGGACTTGCGGCTCCGGAGCCAGCTGTTGGAGACCATCCACATGCTGAGAGCGGGACCGAAGATGCCGACGACCGAGGTGATGGCCCAGTCGCGGTAGGTGGTGTAGTTGCTTGAGTCGTTTAGGTCTGCGCCGTGGGCTCGGAGGTAGTAGGGGAGGAAGAGGGTGAATAGGGGGTCTCTGGATAGAGGTCATGTTAGTCTCGACACCCATACTGACTTGGGTATCTCCTGGATATCTGTAGCTGGAGAGAAGGATGGTTACTTACGCTATGCCGACAAGCATCCATAGCAAAGTCAGACAGATCATCAATCGCACCTGAGCCCAACCCTCAAACAGCCTCGCCGCACGACGCAGGTTCTCCCCGAGAGACTGTGTCTTTGCAACAGCCTCTTCCTCGCCATGATTCGCCACAACCTCATCTTCATCCCCTTGCTGCCTCGTCGTCCTGACGAACTGCGCCGCAGTGACCGTATACTCAGATCTATTCATTGAACTAATCCGATTCACAACCTCGACCGCTTCATCCACACGCCCACAAGAAACAAGCCAGCGGGGTGACTCGTGCATGCGGATTACCACGGCGCGAATGATGGACATGATGAGGCAGAGGCCGCCAAGGGTAATGTAGAGGTATCGCCAGCCCATATTTGCCGATTTGGGGCAGGTGGAGGGGGTTGCGTCCTGGGGACAGCCAAAGTTGACAAGGAGGCCCCATCCTAGTGGTGAGATGTGTAAGTCATGCATATCGAGAGTTAAGGGATTGGGTGTCTACGTACGAAGGAATCCGGTAATAGAATTTCCTAGACCCCAGACGCATGCGAGGCCGGCTAACATGAAGGACCACCGCCGTGGAATGTTCTCGGCGAGAATAGTCAAGTCGATAGCAACTACAGCAATATTTCGTCAGCCTCATTTCCCTCAGGAGACAAAGCCTTTTCAAAAGCTCAGGAAGTTGAAATTTTCATCGATGGAAAGTCTTGACATACGATTTCCACCACCAAAGAACCCACAAAGCGCAACCCAGGCATTAATTGCCGCTCAGTTAGGCGCCGACGCCGCGAGCATCGTGCTAATGGATATCTCAAAGATGGAGAGCTGCCACACGAGCCGGCGACCTATGTTATCCGCCAACAAACCCATAGCTATGGCGCCGACGAGAAGACCCGCGTAATTCGAGGCTGGGAGGAGGGTCGGGTAGGTAGGTGCAAATTCGGGTGTAAGTTGAGGACCGACAAGGGAGATTGAGACGAGGAGCATCTATAGACATGGCCAGTCAACATAAGCTCAATATCTGAGGCTTTCCTTTTATTCGTGTTTCGTGATTTTCAGGGGGCGAAATAGGAGCAGCAAACCTGGTCGGCAAGGAAGCCAAAGCCGCAGGACATGCTCAGCTGCCAGTGAAATTTTCCAAACCCGATAGCTTCTACAGCCTCTTCGATGACCTTTAAGTTTTGTTCAACGTCGTTTAGTCCTCCCGTCTTGAACTCCGCCGTCAATCCGTGGGTGTTGCTGGGAATAGGGGCTATGGCGTTCCCGAAATCGTCCTTGTTGCCAGCATCATCGAGGGGTTTTGATTGTTCGTCCATGTTGGCAGATTAGTAACTAGAAAGACATAGATACTCCTGAGAGGCCGAGTCTTCGAGTGGAGGATTAAGGTGTGTTCTTTCTGGAAGGAGAGTCTAGAGCTTTACAAAAATGTCAAAACTCTGCACAAAGATCCTGAAGTTCTCGATGGAGGGTGTCTAAGAAGACGGCTTTCAAGTCTTTGATCCTGCTCAACAAACCACAACTCGGTACGCTCATGGAAACGCCGACAATTATATACCACTTGGCTTGCAGCGTTGGTATCCTCCGCGTACTAGTAACCAACACTCGACGGACTTATCATCTGCGAATAGTCCCGGTATGCGTACGTCGTCCATCAACCATCGTCCAGATACACCCTTCGCATCTGTCACGAAAGAGGTATAGCAGTGGATATCTCAGGGGTAGAGATAAGGGGTAGACAGGGGTATGAGCATACAAAAGGGGTTCCCTCGAGGGCTTCCCTTTTCCCCTTTCCATAATTGATTAGACCACAGGTGAGATCCCGATTTCCATGAGCTACTCTATATGCTGATTCGTGACAGCATCCCCCCCACCTTCGGTCTCACCCCTGTCTACCCCAGACTTCGCGAATCTTTGGTCCCCATAAGCAGTAACTATGCCGTTTGCAGCCTATCAACTCAGAGCCAAAACTAGACAAAAGAACAAAACATGTGGCCAATACCCACATAGCCTATCTAGTAGAGTCTCACATATTAGTCAAACTTGCCCTTGTTGGTGTTTGGAGGAAACGGAACACGGTCCGGACGGGGATGTGAACTACAAAGTGACAAAAGTGGGGACGGACCGGTATCTCCGTGGTCCACGGGGACGATGAACCGCCTGACTACCTATCTGTATGTAGGCTCCCGTCCAACCCCTCCATTCCCCCGCCTTATTCTTTTGACAGTTGAGACTAGGTTTGGCAGCTCCTACCGATAGCGGGCAAGGTAAGAGGGGTGATGTAAGGTAGTTGCCGAATGAAGCAATTCTTCCCTGCTCTTTCGCCCCAGAGTTAAGATATCATCCGAAATACCCAACATTCACGCTCCAAAGTAGACAGCCATTGCAAAAAAGTAGAAGCTTGGTCCCCTTCTCCTCTCTTAGCACCCAAAATCATCTGTATCCAAGAGCCATCTCTCTCGTATTGACTAACACCGAATCCGAAACTCGCAGAACTTCCACAATCATGGCTTCATCAATGGAAGTAGAATGCTACCTCCTCTCCTCAAATCCAGATGCGCCAAATAGCCCCCTCCCCATCATACACTACAGAAATGTCCTCCCGGAGCCCCGGAATGAGGAGTCGGTGACCGAGTTCCTGACCCGGAACCGGTGGGAGAAGAGGGTGAGTCCGCTACGGTCATCGACCAGGCCCTAAACCTCAACCCCTTCTCTCCGTGCCCTCTTAACGACCTCTCGTCACCGTCACCATCCATGCTTCAAATGGTGATGAAGTAAATCTGTTACCTCCATCCTCAACTGACACTTCCGCGCTCCCGGAAAAGGGTACCTGGGGTCACATTCCCATCCGCCACTTCCATCCAAACAGCCACGAGTGCTACGGTACGTCCACCAAACCCAGCATCCAGAGCAACATCCTGCACTTCCCTCCTACGCCACTTCTACTTGATCTCAACCCGTGAAGAAGGAAGCAAGAAACGAATCTCTGACCATCACGTAGGCATCTTCAGCGGCTCCTCAACCCTCCTAATCGGCAAAATCAACGAAGGCACAGGTCAAGAAATCTCCGTGTCGACGGGCGACGTCATAGTCCTCCCTGCGGGCACAGCACATTCTTGTCTAGAGAGTTCGGAAGATTATCGATATATCGGCGTATACCCCGAGGTCAGTTTACTTTTCAATAGTTCACGGCATATACATCCTCCCTTATCTGCTTTAACCTCTTTCTTTCCACTTTCCTCTGATCCCCGTCCGTCTCTACATGTATCACAAGCTTGAGGCTATCGCTCCCAACGAGCCTTGAACTACAAAAGGACAAGGCTTCCGGCTTACACAGTTGACACATTTCAGGGGTGTCCAAGATGGGTAAATGAAATGGGCAAAAAGCCAGCCGGCACTTTCAGCCCCGTCATCAGAGACGTGGGCATGCCGGAACGGGATCCGGTCTATGGAGTAGACGGACCATTGATGAGACTCTGGCATCGAAACGTGCTGGCGAAATTGTAAAAGGGGGCGAACGAGTTCCGTGATACACACAAGACTCCATTCATTACGATACGATGCACATGATACACGTCACTCAGAACAAACGTTAATGTAGCTTACGGAGGGAATATTCGTTCAACTGTTTGTGTGTGCGCGCCATGATAGTCGGTATGATGCTACCTACGCCCTCATCTAAATCTCAGCACTCCTTCTAGTCTTGATGCGTCTTCCCTCAAACAACCTCGTACAAATACATAGATAGGTACCCTAATGGTACCAAGGGGGGTTCATCTTCAGCCTCAACCCCTGATTACAGACGGTACGCAAACCAGAAATTTGATAATACAGCAGAGTAGGGGGTTGTGTACTCGGAATCTCGGAAAACAAATTGAACGTTTCGAGGTCAGTCATCGGCATCGTCACAAGCTTCAGGTTAAGATCCGCATAGAGCGAACATAACTAAGCGTTAACTCGTGAGGTGTGTGTGTGTGTGTGTGTGTGATACTGAAGAGAAGCCAAGAGCCAACAGGAACTGGCAAAGAGTCGAGTAAAAAAGGAAAAAAAAAAGAAAAAAAAAAACACAATAGGAAATATTCCTTTGCGAGAGTCGCCCCTCGTATGCGTATGATGCATGCCAATGCAGTCGTCATCGTTTCCCAAATGCCATGGTCGTGATCCTTCCTTCGCCGATAGGAAAGAGTTAAAAAGAGAAAAAGAAAAAGAAATCCTAGCTTCCTGTTTTATACGCCTTTGCACTCCGTCTCTCCATGCTATCCCACTGTGGTATCATTCGCCTGGTGGCTTGGCCAGGTCAATCACAATCAAATGTTATGTGCGCCAAATCGTTGACAGCACGAGTTTCACAGTGCAGCGCTGTATGCTCGACTTCAGAAAAGCCCTGATATGAGCTTGCTCTACGGAGTAGTAGCAAGTTTCTGGAGAGCCAGCAAGACACCTAGTCTCAATTAGTATTTGGCACAGAAGCTGTATGGAGGACTGTTCGACTTACCGCTCACGCCCTGTGTCAATGTCGCACCAGCCTCAGTGTTGCGGCTGTGTAAGCTGACAGTCACGACGTCCTCGACAACCTTGTCTTCACCAAGGGCGTTGGCCCACTTGAACACCTTCTCGTCCTCACGCCCGTCACCGACAACCATGAGGAAGTCAACGGGGCTCTTGTGTTCCGAGTCAGGGGCCATGTGGACACGGAGGTCGTCAAAGATCTTCTCTGCCGCCGTGCTCTTGGTCCAGTCAATGGGCTCGACGACGATGGAGCCATCAAGAGGAATGGCATGGACACGCTGTTCCTCGCATGCATCGTTGACGTGACTGGCGCAGTCTCCCGCTTGGCGGGCCGCGGACTCGTAGTCCTCGGCGCTCTTGTAGTGGAAGATCAGACTGCAGCGTCGCTCCTCGATTTCGGCACCGGGAGTACGCTCAAGGTAGTAAGTCATGATGGACTTGACGGACTCCTTCCAGCTGGAAATTTGCTCTCTGTCGGCCATCTCTTGCCAGGCGTTTTTGCCGCAATCCTTGAGGAAGCAGCCGTTCTCGGCAATGAGGCCGAGGTTGGGTACGCGGCGGAACAATCGGTCGAGCTCTTCGGGTCGGCGGCCGGACATAATGTAGACGGTGTTGCGCTCGTCGAGCAGAAGCTCGTTCAAGACATCCAGGGTACGCTGCTCCAATTAGACTTGTTAATAAAGCAAAGGTTCTTGACAAGATTCTTACCTGAGGGCTGACCGGGATGATCTGGTTCATCGGGCCCCAACTAACCAAAGTGCCCTCGTAGTCGAGGATAAACAGTCGTCGATTGCTGCGCGCGTATCGCTGCGCCAGAGTGTTGATGTTGAGACGCGGAACCGAGGTTTGGTCGTGCTTGTGTTGCTCGTCGTACACGCGGTCGAGGCGGGAAAGGAACTCGCTGAACCAGTGCGAGCCGGTGTGGTGCATGACGGCCGAGTAGAGCGCAGTCCAGCGGCGTTCCTTTTCTTCGTCGCCCATCTCCAGCGCCGTCTTGATTGCGTCGGCGCATTGGCGGTAGTCCCAGGGGTTGACCGAGAGCTCGTTGCCGCCAAACAGCGACGACGTGCCAGTGAATTCGGACAGGATTAGCGAGCCGTGCTTCTTCTCGGAGAAGACCTCGCCGTCTTGGCAGAAGAGATACTCGTGCGATGTCAGGTTCATGCCCTCGCGCTGGCTCGTTATCATAAGCGCATCGGCCATGGTCAGCAGGGCAAGGTACTGGGGGTAGTCGATATCCTGCTTCAGGTAGACGACGGGTTGGTAGGCCAAGTTAGCCCAGGAGGAGTTGACTCGGGTGACGATGTCGCTAACAGTCGCATCCAAGTCGGACTTTTCGCTGCCGGAGAGGGCCACCTGGATAAGGACAATCTTGTCGCGCCATTCGGGATTCTTGTTGAGGAACAGCTCATAGGAAAGCAGTTTCTGACGAACGCCGCGAACGTGGTCGAGCTTGTCGCGAGCTACGATGAGCTTCTTGCCCTGGTAGCGCTCCTTCATGATCTCCACCCATCTCTTCACGTCATTGTCGCCGCGGTGTTCGCTGAGGTTGACAGGATCAATGCCGATGGGCAAGTTAACCACGTCGACAAAACGGTCCTCCAACTGCAGGCCGTCAGTGGTTGCCTCGACACTCAGCAATCTGCTGCATGTCTGCAAGAAGTGACGGGTGTACTCGTGGATCTGGAAACCGATCAGGTTGGCGCCCAGCATGCCCTCGAGAAGCTGCTTGCGCACGGCCAAACATCTGAAAACCTCGGAAGAGGGGAAGGCAACGTGCAGGAAGAAGCCAATCTTGGCATCAGGCAGCTTCTTGCGCACCATGCCGGGAACGAGTAGCAGGTGGTAGTCGTGTACCCAGATAACGTCGCCGCGCTTCCAGTTCTTGACAATCTTGTCGGCAAAGGCCTGGTTGACGTTGACGTAGTACTTCCATGAGTGATCCTCAAAGGCCTTGCTCTTGGGGTTGTCGGGTATCTGGTAGTGAAAGACGGGCCAGAGAATCTGCTTGCAAAAGTGCGAGTAGTGGCCGTCAAAGTCCTTGTCAGAGCAGAAGACAGTCAACATGTCGTGCTCAGTGGCGAGCCTGTCCTCAATATCCTGCTTTTGCTGGGTGCCCTCGAGAGCGTCGGTAGGCATGCCGAGAGTGCCAACCCAAGTGTATTCTCCAAGCTTGCCATCGCGGGCAGCGGCCTCGGCGGCATTGCGCAATCCACCATTGCCCTGGTCGGCGTTCATAACGCGCCAGTTGGCGTGGGAAAAGACCCGGTCATGGCTATCGCTTCTAACGAGCGGCCGAGGCTGGGTGATGCCCTGACGGCCAAGTTCCCTGGCCTTCTCGAGGGTGCGACTGTGCTCCGCGATGAATGCAGGCGGGGGCGAGCTCGCGCGGGACTTGGGCTGGGTGGCTCTAGCACCCCACTTGGGAGAACCTTTGTCGATGGGCGCACCACGCTTGCGCTCCTCCTCGGGGAATATACGGAAACCGTCCTCGTTCGTGAAGGGGTCTTTCGGGACAACGTCTTCGGTCGGGGTAATGGGAGGTGTAATGTCGCGGATCGGGTTGAAGAGACTTGGCTGGCTGTCGCCTTCGGTTCGCTGGGACTTTTCGGACTTCTTGGCGCGGCGCAGAGGGTCGCCACGCTGAGGCGTGCCCGGGAGAGCGAAGTGGACGGTCTTGGGGAGAAATCTGGACGTTGCCAAATTAGTTCTTGATCTTGCATGACAAGGCGATCAGAATTGAAGCCTGGCAGCCGGTGGGAGTCTTGGATGGTTGCGTGGGAAGCATGTGCGCAGAGGGTGGTATCCCGGCAGATGCTTCATCGATGTCCATTGTAATGGACGGGTAGGCAAAGCAAGACTATGAATTTTTTTATTTTTTTTGGAGACGAGGGAGGGCTTACAATGATGCGATAAACACCGTCATCTTGGGCAATCTGACTAGGAACTAGCCGTCTGTGTCGTGCGAAAGTGAGAAAGGCCTCGGGGTGGTCCGGGTTGGAAGAGGCCGCCGGGTGATGGCGTGGACTAGAGGTTGAGTAAAAGTTGACGATGAGGTCGAGGCAGGGGAAGTGGGTAGCTATTAGCAGCTTTTCGTAGGGCAGAACATGTGGGAAGAGTAGAAATGGTGTGTGGTTGAAAAGCTGAAGTTAATAGGTATGTTCTGGGTTGGGAGGTTTCTCCGTTGTCAAGGCGAGGGAGAGGAACCGAAGGCGAGGTGACGTTGTTCGTTCGTAGCAAGGTACCACTTCTGGGAAAAGGTCCTCCTGCAAAAGGATGGGATGGGAAGGGTCTGGTGGATGAACAGACGGAGGGGTGTAATGTGTGGCTGAGGTGAAATGTGGGAGACTAGCGAAATGTGATTGGATTGATGCGTGTCTCAGACACAGCCGTAGGTGAAATGTGAGTTGGGGTTTCCTTTAGGTCGGGTAGGTAGAAAGAGTGAGGATGTGATGGGAGGAAGATGAGGTGAGGGAGAAACGAGAAATAGAGAGCTGCCGGGAGCTGTGCAGTTGTAGTTGTTGTGGCTGCTTGCTATGTTGCTGGGAGCTGCGCAAAAAAGGCACCGTCAGCTTTGAGCTTTTTTATTTTCTTGGTTAATTAAGTCCTGGTCCTTGTCCCCGGACAAGCCAGAGCCTGAGCCTTGCGCAATGTAAAATAGCACTGGCTGACACTGGGCTGGGCGGAGGCGCATGCGTCAGGGAAAACACAGAAAACGGTTGGGCCAGTGAGGGATGCAGCTGCGAGGAATCGATCGGAGATGGTGGTGGGTGGAAACGGTGGAAACAGAAGAAGTAAGGATAGGATGACGGATAGTGTTTGCCTGTACAGAGTATCGTGAAGCGTTTGTCTTGTGTTCTTCTTCTTCTGTATTCTCCACGATGTTTCGGCATGCAACGTTTTCTCGAGAATATTCCAAAGTGGGGGGGGTTGCCGTTCTCTCGGTCTTTTTTTTTTTTCTCAAACTTTTTTTTCTCTCTCTCACTCAACCCTGGGCGAGAAAAGCCACGATGGAAGGGTGGGATTGGACGGGATGGAATGGGACAGAACAGGACGGGGATTGTACTTTTAGTGTGAGTTTAAGGTGAGGGTGAAGTGGATGTGGTGTGGGCGTGGTGGATGTTGAATTTTGACTGGACTGTCACTGACCGGGAGAGCTGCAAGTGTGAAAATGTGGATGGAGCGGCGGGATTGGACCGGAGGGAATTGGACGGGCTCGACTGGGGTGAAGGCTGATGATGATGGGCGGCTGTTGGATGGTCCAGGGGTGTGGAAGCTCTCGGGATGGATTGCAACTGCAAGAAGAAGAGCATGGAAAGTGGAATTGTGAAGATGAAATGATGGAAACCAAACAGTGGTCTACTCCATAGTGCGTAAGGTTGAAGTATGGGTTGGGGAACGACGGGCTGCAATGGGGAGTAAGCGTAGGTAGTCTGAAGGTGACGCCATTCGCAGAACGACCCAGCCCACTCACTTGTTCACTTATTCACTCACT